TTACCCCTGCTTTATTTTTAAACGTAGATTATTGGTAGCAGAACATATAAAAGAGGAACATATTTTAGAACAGGCGCAGTAGCTCATGCCTGTAATCCCATCACTTTGGGAGGCCAAGGTGGGTGGATCACCTGAGGTCAAGAGTTCGAGACCAGCCAGGCCAACATGGTGAAAACTCGTCTCTACTAAAATTACAAAAATTAGCCAGGTGTGGTGGTGTGTGCCTGCAATCCCAGCTTCTCAGGAGGCTGAAGCAGGAGAATCACTTGAACCCAGGAGGCAGAGGTTGCAGTGAGCCGAGATTGTACCATTGCACTCCAGCCTGAGTGACAAGAGCGAAATTCCATCTCAAAAAAATAAAAGCATATTTTAAAAAGAATCTAAGCTTGTATATAGCTACAATCCCTATGCTTCCCTCTAGCCAGTATTTTTGTTCTATCTGAGGTGCTCAGGTACCATCCTCTCTATAGCAAGATCCAGGCACTGTGCTGGTGCTGGGTCATGTTGGGACACAAGTCTAATAGAGGGATTGGTATTAAATGTTGGCACAGATAATCAACTGTAAGGTGCTGTGAGTCACAGCAGCACACGGTGATGATGGGAGTATGACCCTGGCCATGGCATCTCACACCTTGGGAAAGGGTGAGCAGGTCTCACTTCGCCCTTGAGGATGCCGACTCCACTTCCTTTCAGTGGTACCTCATTCTCTCCTCAGTGCCTTGTGTCCCCCAGTTCAGTGCCTCTCTGGTTCTTTTTCTCTATAAAATAAACCTAAAGTGTGTGTGTGTGTGTTGGGGGGTAGACAGGATGTGGTCACCTAAAAATGTGGAATCAATGTGGCCTGTGAAGTCTAACTGTTCCTTTTAAACAATCCGTTCCCACCTGGGACCTTCTGTTCCTAAGCCTTTCTTGAGTTCTCTAGTAATGATCAGGTTTGACCTTCTCTTTGTTTTTCTTTTCTTTTTTTTTTTTTTTGAGATGGAGTCTCACTTTATCCCCCAGGCTGGAGTGTAATGGCGCGATCTCTGCTCACTACAACCTCCACCTCCTGGGTTCAAATGATTCTCCTGCCTCAGCCTCCCGAGTAGCTAGGATTACAGGCACCCCCCACAACTTCTGGCTAATTTTTTGTATTTTTCTTTTTTTGAGACGGAGGTCTCACTCTGTTGCCCGGGCTGGAATGCAGTGGCATGATCTCAGCTCACTGCAACCTCCACCCCCTGGATTCATGTCATTCTTCTAACTCAGCCTCCCGAGTAGCTAGGATTACAGGCACCGCCCACCACGTCTGGCTAAATTTTTGTAGTTTTTTTTTTTTGAAACGGAGTCTCGCTCTGTTGCCCAGGGTGGAGTGCAGTGGCACGATCTTAGCTCACTGCAAGCTCCGCCTCCTGAGTTCATGCCATTCTCCTGCCTCAGCCTCCCGAGTAGCTGAGACTACAGGCGCCCGCCACCATGCTCAGCTAATTTTTTTTGGTATTTTTAGTAGAGACGGGGTTTCACCGTGTTAGCCAGGATGGTCGTGATCTCCTGACCTCGTGATCCACCCGCCTCAGCCTCCCAAAGTGCTGGGATTACAGGCGTGAGCCACCGCGCCCGGCCTGACCTTGTCTTTCTTAACTTTGGGTTCTTCCAGTAGGGGAGAAGGCGGCAGCAAAGACCTCTTCACATCATCTTGTAACTAATGCCAGTTTACTTATGTCTGTCTCCCAAATACCTATGGAATACACAAGGGCAGGGGATTACCTCGAGATCTCCAGATGAGTGAAATGCCATGCACAAATTGATGCTTAGTAAATATTTATGGAATGGCAAATACTTAAAATCTGTGTAACTATTTTTGTATTCATATTAATATTCACAAAGCCGCTCTTGGGTAATCAGAGGGCAGGTGCTATTATTCTGTTTTCAGAGTGTGAATATTTTTAAATTTAGTATCTATGACCAAATGAGTTACTTTTCCAAAGAGTTGCATTGCCATTAGTGATCACGGGGAAGCCCATAGCATGGAAGCTCCTTACTCCATCACTTACCCGAAAACCTTCCTGTCCTTCCCTCCAAGACACCTGTGGTGGCATCAGTAGCAAGATCGGTAAAGACTCATAGGCAGTAAGCTGTTTTTTTGATTTAAAAAATGCCTTCATCTGCTTTCCTGGTTACACTCTCTTCTCCCCAGATATACAAAGCAACCTGATCTTACGAATCTGAGAACTCCTCCACAAGGTATTTTGCTTTGTAAATCACTCTTGGAGGTTGGCCAAAGTGCCAAAATGCAGCTATTGGGTAGGGTGAGGAAGATAGAGAAGTAGATGAGGTGCTGTGTGTGTTTTGATTTCCTCCTTGGATCCCAAATGTAGCCATAATCTGTGACTATTTGCCTGTACAAAGCTAGTTATTAAGCAGAGCTGGGGCATTAATGGTACTGAATTTTATCCACTATTATAAAACTCAAATGGACCGGGCACGGCGGCTCATGCCTGGAATCCCAGCACTTTGGGAGGCCAAGACGGGTGGGTCACCTGACGTCAGGAGTTCAAGACCAGCCTGGCCAACATGGAGAAACCCCATCTTTACTAAAAATACAAAAATTAGCTGGGCATGGTGGCGCATGCCTGTAATCCCAGCTACTCAGGAGGCTGAAGCAGGAGAATCACTTGAGGCAGGAGGCAGAGGTTGCAGTGAGCCGAGATCGTGCCACTGCACTCCAGCCTCGGTGACAGAACGAGACCCTGTCTCAAACAAAACAAAAAAACCTCAAATGGTTAAAGGTAACAATTCACATCACATCATGGGAAAAGGGCACAGTATTATGGGAATAAAAATCAGTAGGGCATGAATGCCAACCATCCTCCCAGAGGTACAGAGCTCACTGATAGAGGGCTGACATATCCAGTCTAAAAGTAGCTACTTGTGCACTGCCACCTCCCCAGTCCCCACAGCTGATGGCAGAGCCCTAACAGTGTCATTTACCGCCAGATTTATTTGTACTTTATAAAATTAAATGTGACTATTTTAAGAAATACTAGTCTACAATAGAGAAGTCAATTTAAAAGCTTATTTGGGCCGGGCGTGGTGGCTCCCGGTAGCCTGTAATCCCAGTACTTTGGGAGCCTGAGGTAGCCAGATTGTTGAGCTCAGGAATTCGAGACCAGCCTGGCCAACAGGGTGAGACCCCCATTTCTACCAGAAATACAAAAATTAGCCAATCATGGTGGTGTATGCCTGTAGTGCCAGCTACTTGGGAGGCTGAAGTGAGAGGATTGCTTGAATTCGGGGAGGTGGAGGTTGCAGTGAGCCAAGATCACCCCACTCCACTCCAGGCTGGGCAACAATGCAAGACCCTATCTCAAGACAAAACAAAACAAGCTTATTTGATAGGCCTTAAGGAATATTCCTGTACTCCAACTGTTACAAAAATAAAAGCAAGAGAGTAGATGAAAAGATCGACTACACAGCTACAAGACTTAACTAAGGTAAGATCCGGAAGAGATGTTTAGGTGATCAGCGTGGCACACTTGATGGCAGGTAGGGTGCATCATCTGAGACTGAGGGTATAACCCGTGACAGTCAGTGGGGCTGAACGGAGTCCACAAGCTCTCTGGATGGCCTGCTCCATTGGCAAGATGACCTCACAGGGCCACCTATTCTAAGAATTCATCATATCTTTAACTGCTCTCTTCACATTTTTGTTTTTTCCAAATTTATTGGCCTTCTTCAAAGACACTATTTTGTGTCCATATAGAATTGAATATTACATGATTCATCTAGGGAAAAGCTTGAGTAGAAAGTGAGAAAAATGAGAGAAAACAATGTTAAACAACTTTAACAAATATTAATGTTTTGCTTAATTCATTAAACATCAAGGAAATGTTTAATGAAGTTATTTGATGTCTGAGCTTCTGGCTCCTTTTCAGATAAATGAAAATATCCTAAAGAATGAAACTGTTTCTTCAGCAATACTTTTTTTTTTCTGTGATCTGAGAGACAAAATTTTATTAATAGACATCTAAAATGGAGGGAAAATTATGGAACATAGGAAGATCCTTACAAGAAAATTTCTTGGTAAAACAGGTCCAAATTTCACCACCCTCCCAGAGGGTTAGTGAAACAGCAAATGGACCTCACTAAAAGGCAGTTAAGCTACAGACTCTGAGGACAGTTACAAAGGAGGAATTTCCCTGCAGAAAACAGAACCAGAGACAGGCTGAGTGTGAGCTAGTTTTAGGCATTCATGTTGAATGACCATTTGTTAATATGGCTGTATCCAATTATAATCAGGTTAAAAATGGTTATTCTGTTGAAAATATTGTGTCAAGTCACTATGATGTATGTGGAAGTCCTGACAGCACAGAACCTGTAAGTAACAGAACTTCATCAATCTACCCACGTAAGGGAAAGAAAACCCCAACACTGAGGGCTAGCCCCAGCCTCCCAAACAAAAAATATCCCCAGAAGCGGGAATTTGTTATGTCTTAGCAAGATTTGAGAGAAATTATGTTCAGACACAGGCTATGTATCTCTCTGGTTCCAATATTTACCATGTAATTTTCAGAAAATGAATCCTCCCAACATTTGTAAGTACGTATTCTGGCAATGGAGACCTATTTCTGTTAAGTAACTAGGTAATTCTGTCAAAATAAGAACTTTTTTCTATTGAAAAAAATAGGCATATAAAAATTGGCATTTAAGTTTTTAAGAAGTAATGTAGTTTTTGCTTTCCCTCTGGAAAGTCCTGACCCCAAGATTAATTATATCAAAATGAAAATGAACACTGAAGATCTACTAACAAGTACACTTTTAGAACTCTCTAAGAGGATGAGTGCTAAATTTTCCTTTTTTTGCTGCCTTTTTTTTTTTGTTTTAACCCTGAAGTTTTGGTAAGGAAATTGCAATATCAAACGGGATATAAAAATGTGTTAAATTTACTTCATTAAAACTCAGAAAAGGCTAGGGTAGGATGTAACCAATGTAGACTTATAAAAAACATGAAGTAACACTGCTATATTTTATATTTTATTCAATTTTAATAGGGTTTCCATTATTAACTTTTAAAACAAAATGATTTCCAGTTTAAAAAACAATGCACTGACCACATAATTCCTTTTTTATTTTACACAGTTATACAAATATTCTAAATACACATTTTGTGTTCAAGATGATGGCAAATAAGATTAACTGTACAGTACATAAGGAAAGAAAATATTTTAAGCATATTTAGAAGCAATAGAAATGTCTATACAAAACAAGCAAATGGAATAAAATTTTTTATTTTTAAAGTATTGCAACAGGCCCACAGGTTTGTAACAAAAATGTCTTTGCACAGTTCCTCACAATGCCCCATTAATAGCTAAAGCAAGACAGCATTTTTTAAAAAATAATGTTTCAAAATGCTACACATGGTACTACTGTTTGCACAGTTTGATCAAAATAACGATCTACTTTGAGTCAAGCAAAACCTAGAGGAAATATACCAAACAACTTGAAAATCATTTGTATAAAAGTCATTGCACATTATTTTACTCAGTTGTTTGAAAAGTAAAAAAGTGTATTTACAAAATATTTTGCAGTCAAAATTATAAAGTGAATGGATATCTCGAAGTAACACGTCTTGATACAGACAGTTCAAGGAAAACACACGAATGGTTTTTCTTTAAGAGGTTTTCAGTGCTCCTTCCACTGGGAAGTAAACATGATCTACTCAAATGGATTTACAAGGTGGTACACGTACTGGAGCAAATCCAACACCTGCATTATAAAACAATGTTTAAAAGGTGACAGAATGAGGAATTTGTACATTGTAAGAAGTGAGCTATTCAGAGATCAACAAGTACATTTTAATTCGGTTAGCATAGAAGTCTTCATAGTCTTCAGATAACAGACAGACAGTGAACATCCTTGACTCGATGAAAGTTAAAAAGCACCATGCACAACAGTTTAGTGGTAAACACTGAAAAAAATAGCACCTGTAATTCTCTGATACTGACAATTTAAAACTGGTCTAATAATTGCCGGAGATATGGTGCCTTGGACAATTCTCTGTTTACTCGGGAGACTTTGAAAAGTACTGGGCAGTTCAGAGAAACACACGGGATGTGTCGATCAAAGCAACCTGTACAGTTCTTGCATATCTGAAAGCATAAGAGAAATACAAAAAATAATAGGAAAATTTTTATGTGCACATGCAAACAACAAATTTCTATAATCCCTACTTTCTAGACTACCATAGATTACTGGCAGACATACATTATAGAAACTTTCATTAAGTTTAATCTCTTAGAAGCCTAGACTACCCTATGTTGAGACATTTCTAAAGGATACTATTTTGAAAACATAAGAGTACAAATTTCCCTAAGGATTCATTTAATTCCTAAGATTAACTTTCATTTACAATGGAATCCTATTAAAATCCACGTAAACTACCCAATTATCAAAGAATGTCTCTTAAATGAACTATAAGCACAATTTTTTCCAAATTACTTAGACTATGTTATCATATGCCAATCATAAAAAAAGTTATTCTTTTTCTTATTCCAGAAGAGAAAAGCCAGTATAAAAAAAAAAATCAAATGTGAATTTGAAAGTAGTAGTGCAGACCAGTGGTTCTTAACCCTGGCTAACAATGAGCTTAAAAATAAACAAACGCCCCATCCCAGACCCATAATGAGTCAGAATGTCTGGGCATGAAAGGCTAAGAATCTGTACTTCTTAAGGCTTCCCAGATGATTTGAATGTATAATAAGATCTGATCTTAAGGAAAGTAATAAATCATAAGGCAATTTTTAAAAAGAGAACTGTTATGTTTTACACAATGATCAGATTTTTAAAAATACTTAAAAGTCTCAAGTTGCATATACAGTTAAAAAAATATAAAACATGAACATAAAAAAATTAGAAAGATTTAAGTCTCTAATCCATCTTGAATTAATTTTCGTATAAGGAGTAAGGAAAGGATCCAGTTTCAGCTTTCTACTTATGGCTAGCCAATTTTCTCAGCACCATTTATTAAATAGGGAATCCTTTCCCCATTTCTTGTTTTTCTCAGGTTTGTCAACGATCAGATGGCTGTAGATGTGTGGTATTATTTCTGAGGACTCTGTTCTGTTCCATTGGTCTATATCTCTGTTTTGGTACCAGTACCATGCTGTTTTGGTTACTGTAGCCCTGTAGTATAGTTTGAAGTCAGGTAGCGTGATGCCTCCAGCTTTGTTCTTTTGACTTAGGATTGTCTTGGCAATGCGGGCTCTTTTTTGGTTCCATATGAACTTTAAAGCAGTTTTTTCCAATTCTGTGAAGAAACTCATTGGTAGCTTGATGGGGATGGCATTGAATCCATAAATTACCTTGGGCAGTATGGCCATTTTCATGATATTGATTCTTCCTATCCATGAGCATGGTATGTTCTTCCATTTGTTTGCGTCTTCTTTTATTTCACTGAGCAGTGGTTTGTAGTTCTCCTTGAAGAGGTCCTTTACATCCCTTGTAAGTTGGATTCCTAGGTATTTTATTCTCTTTGAAGCAATTGTGAATGGAAGTTCATTCATGATTTAGCTCTCTGTTACTGGTGTGTAAGAATGCTTGTGATTTTTGCACATTAATTTTGTATCCTGAGACTTTGCTGAAGTTGCTTATCAGCTTAAGGAGATTTTGGGCTGAGATGATGGGGTTTTCTAAATATACAATCATGTAATCTGCAAACAGGGACAATTTGATTCTTCTTTTCCTAACTGAATACCCTTCTTTCTCTTGCCTGATTGCCCTAGCCAGAACTTCCAACACTATGTTGAATAGGAGTGGTGAGAGAGGGCATCCCTGTCTTGTGCCAGTTTTCAAAGGAAATGCTTCCAGTTTTTGCCCATTCAGTATGATATTGGCTGTGGGTTTGTCATAAATAGCTCTTATTATTTTGAGATACATTCCATCAATACCGAATTTATTGAGAGTTTTTAGCATGAAGGGGCTATTGAATTTTGTCAAAGGCCTTTTCTGCATCTATTGAGATGATCATGTGGTTTTTGTCTATGGTTCTGTTTATATGCTGGATTACATTTATTGATTTGCATATGTTGAATCAGCCTTGCATGCCAGGGATGAAGCCCACTTGATCATGGTGGATAAGCTTTTTGATGTGCTGCTGGATTTGGTTTGCCAGTATTTTATTGAGGATTTTTGCATCGATGTTCGGGATATTGGTCTAAAATTCTCTTTTTTTGTTGTGTCTCTGCCAGGCTTTGGTATCAGGATGATGTTGGCCTCATAAAATGAGTTAGGGAGGATTCCCTCTTTTTCTATTGATTGGAATAGTTTCAGAAGGAATGGTACTAGCTCCTCCTTGTACCTCTGGTAGAATGCAGCTGTGAATCCATCTGGGTCCTGGACTTTTCTTGGTTGGTAGGCTATTAATTATTGCCTCAATTTCAGAGCCTGCTATTGGTCTATTCAGGGATTCAACTTCTTCCTGGTTTAGTCTTGGGAGAGTGTAAGTGTCCAGGAAATTATCCATTTCTTCTAGATTTTCTAGTTTATTTGCGTAGAGGTGTTTATAGTATTCTCTGATGGTAGTTTGTATTTCTGTGGGGTCGGTGGTGATATCCCCTTTAGAGACTTAAATGTTAGACCTAATACCATAAAAACCCTAGAAGAAAACCTAGGTAATACCATCCAGGACATAGGCATGGGCAAGGACTTCATGTCTAAAACACCAAAAGCAACGGCAACAAAAGCCAAAATTGATAAATGGGATCTAATTAAACTAAAGAGCTTCTGCACAGCAAAAGAAACTACCATCAGAGTGAACAGGCAACCTACAGAATGGGAGAAAATTTTTGCAATCTACTCATCTGACAAAGGGCTAATATCCAGAACCTACAAAGAACTCAAACAAATTTACAAGAAAAAAACAAACAACCCCATCAAAAATGGGCAAAGGATATGAACAGACATTTCTCAAAAGAAGACATGCATACAGCCAACAGACACATGAAAAAATACTCGTCATCACTGGCCATCAGAGAAATGCAAATCAAAACCACAATGAGATACCATCTCACACCAGTTAGAATGGCAATCATTAAAAAGTCAGGAAACAACAGGTGCTGGAGAGGTTGTGGAGAAATAGGAACACTTTTACACTGTTGGTGGGACTGTAAACTAGTTCAACCATTATGGAAAACAGTATGACGATTCCTCAGGGATCTAGAACTAGAAGTACCATATGACCCAGCCATCCCATTACTGGGTATGTATCCAAAGGATTATAAATCATGCTGCTATAAAGACACATGCACACGTATGTTCATTGCGGTGCTATTCACAATAGCAAAGACTTGGAATCAACCCAAATGTCCATCAGTGACAGACTGGATTAAGAAAATGTGGCACATATACACCATGGAATACTACGCAGCCATAAAAAAGGATGAGTCTGTGTCCTTTGTAGGGACATGGATGCAGCTGGAAACCATCATTCTCAGCAAACTATCGCAAGAACAGAAAACCAAACACCGCATGTTCTCACTCATAGGTGGGAACTGAACAATGAGATCACTTGGACTCAGGAAGGGGAACATCACACACCGGGGCCTATTATGGGGGGGGGAGGGGGGAGGGATTGCATTGGGAGTTATACTTGATGTGAAACACAAGTTGATGGGTGCTGACAAGTTGATGGGTGCAGCACAGCAACATGGTACAAATATACATATGTAACAAACCTGCACATTATGCACCTGTACCCTAGAACTTAAAGTATAATAAAAAAAAAAATTAAAAAGAATGCCAGTCAGGACTCCAAAGGTTAAGAAAATGCAGGCTGACTTTCCCCCTGAATAGTGTAGACAAGTGATTTTAAAAAGCAATACCAAATGGCAGCAACTACTCTGGATTGCCTTTTAAGAGAAATCAAATACGCTCTAGTGAACTCTGATCTATATTTATCAAAGGGTTTCAGTTTCAGGGATGGCTCACAGGCCAATGAATTTTTGTTCTTTGCCCCAGTTATCTTCCAGTCAACCGAAGGGCACATTTTTTCTAAGGAGACTGGTTACTGTATCCAATATTATGATATTGTCACAAGCAGACTGCTTAGAAACATGTGCTTCAGTATGCTCCATGAAGACCGAGTATGCTGTTCTATGATGAAGCCTTTGCTAATTAGATCTCTGCCAAGAGACTCAAATCTATTCCCAAATATAGAATTTCTGTATTACAGCTCTATGAATTGCAGTTACATTCAGGTGCCAGGACAAACTGATAAATATTTAAGCTCTTTCTGTGCTTGTCTGATAAATAAGCCAGGATGGAATTACTTGACGCACTAAATTTAACTCAGTGTTTAGTTTCAAGATCCTTTACTGGTGGTTTAAACCCTGAGCATTATAGCTTGAGTCAGGCTTACATTTAAAACCTTAAATGCCCCAACCTGGACATCTACTTTGTAGATCATAGGGAGGCAGGCACTTAAAAAAATACCTGCTTTAATCTTTATTCTTTTTACTATCCTTTGGCTTTCTTATTTAAACAAAATTCAGTTAAGGCTGGGCACAGTGGCTCATGACTGTAATCCTAGCACTTTGGGAGGCGGAAGCAAGTGGATCACCTGAGGTCAGGAGTTTGAGACCAGCCTGGCCAACACTGTGAAATCGTCTCCACTAAAAATACAAAAATTAGCTGGGCGTGGTGCTGCACGCCTGTAATCCCAGCTACTCAGGAGGCTGAGGCAGGAGAATCTCTTGAACTTGGGAGGCAGAGGTTGCAGTGAGCCAAGATCGCACCACTGCACTCCAGTCTGGGCAACAGAGTGAGACTTTGTCTCAAAAAATTTTTTTCAGTCAGATGCTTACTTCATTTGCTTTCATTCTTTCATGTTTATGATTAAGTGTTTAGGTGATGAATTTTTCTCTGCGATCTGCCATCTAGAATCTGATTTGCAGTGTTTTCATTTTGTTTAACAGAATGTGCAAGTGGAAGGATCACTCTGTTTTGTTAGTTTGTAATTACCGTTTTTATAGCATTGTATTGTATTACATTCATTTGTAATATTTCTACTTTTTGAAGTGTATTGAGGCTTTTCTTTCCTTTTTTTTTCTTTTTTCTTTTTTTTTGAGATGGAGTCTCACTCTGTTGCCCAGGCTGTAGTGCAGTGGCACGATCTCAGATCACTGCAACCTCTGCTTCCCAGGTTCAAGTGATTCTCCTGCCTCAGCCTCCTAAGTAGTAGCTGAGATTGCAGGTGCCTGCCACCATGCCTGGCTAATTTTTAATTTTTATTATTTTAATTTTATTATTTTTGAAATAGAGTCTCACTCTGTTGCCCAGGCTGGGGTGCAGTGGCACAATCTTGGCTCACTGTAACCTCTGCCTCCCTGGCTCAAGTGATTCTCCTACCTCAGCCTCCCAAGTAGCTGGGATTATAGATGCCTGCCACCATGCCCTGTTAATTTTTGTATTTTTAGTAGAGATGGGGTTTTGCCATGTTGGCCACGCTGGTCTCGAACTCCTGACCTCAAGTGACCCTCCTGCCTTGGCCTCCCAAAGTGCTGGGATTATAGGCGTGAGCCACGATTGCCCTGCCGAGGGTTTCTTTAGACTATGACTTTTTTTTTTTTTGAGATGGAGTCTTGCTCTGTCACCCAGGCTGGAGTTCGGTGGTGTGATCTTGGCTGGCTGCAGCCTCCGCCTCCCGGGTTCAAGTGATTTTCCTGCCTCAGCCTCCTGAGTAGTTGGGAGTACAAGGCTCGTGCCACCATGCCTGGCTAATTTTTGTATTTTTTAGTAGAGTTGGGGTTTCTAGTAGAAATTTTGGGGTTTTAGTAGAAATTTCACGGTTTCTCCATGAAATTTCTCCATTTCAAATGCCTCAAACTCTGACCTCAGGTGATCTACCTGCCTTGGCCTCCTAAAGTGTGGGGATTACAGGCAAGAGCCACCGCGCCTGGCCAGATATGGCCTTTTTTAAAACATTCTAGAAATACTTAAGAAGTATATTTTTTGGTACTGGGTTACAGAGTTTGATATATAATCACAAAGTCTGACTTACAATGTTTAGAATTTCCATAACTTCACATTTCTGACCACTTGATTGGTCTTGGATTGAGAATAATGTAAAATCTCCTGTTTGGATGTGTTTCTAATTCTCACTACATCTCTAGTAATTTCTGCATCATTAAAAATTCTACAAATTAGTGCATGGGAGACATTCATTTGAACATTCTTGAAAAACACCTCAAATTAAAATAGCTCTTGAAAGATGACAACCATCATTATTTATAAATAGTATCGCTTTTTTAAAATTTTATTTATAGATCCTAGGGTACACATGTAGGTTTGTTACATGGGTATACTGTATGATGCTGAGGCTTGAGCTTCTAATGATCCTGTTGCCCATGCGGTAAATGTAGTACCTGACAAGTGGTTTTTCAACTTTTCCTCTCCCCACCCCTCTTTTGGAATCCCTAGTGTTTATCGTTCCCATTTTTATGTCCATGAGTACCCAATGTTTATTATAGGTGAGAACTTATATGTGAGAACATGCGGTATTTGGTTTTCTGTTTCTGAGTTAATTTGCTTAGGATAATGGCCCCAGCTGCATCCATGTTGCTGCAAAGGACATGACTTTTTTTTTTTTTTTTTGAGACAGAGTTTTGTTCCTGTTGCCCAGGCTGGAATGCAATGCTGCGATCTCAGCTCACTGCAACCTCTGCCTCCCGGGTTCAAGTGATTCTCCTGCCTCAGCCTCCTGAGTAGCTGGGATTACAGACATGTGCCACCATGCCTGGCTAATTTTGTCTTTTTAGTAGAGATGGGGTTTCTCCATATTTGTCAGGCTGGTCTTGAACTCCTGACCTCAAGTGATCCGCCTGCCTTGGCCTCCCAAAGTGCTGGGATTTATAGGCATGAGCCACCACTATGCCTGGCTGATTTTGTTGTTTTTTTTTTTTTTTATGGCTGTGCCATCACTGTCTTTTAAACTGTATTTTTATAAGAAATAAGATGGCCGGGCATGGTGGTTCAAGCCTGTAATCCCAGCCCTTGGGCGGCTGAAGCAGGAGGACTGCTTGAGTCCAAGAGTTTGAGACCAGCCTGGGCAACATCGTGAGACCCCATGTCTAAAAAAAAAAAAATTAAAAAATTAGTCAAACATGGTGGGATATGCCTGTAGTCCCAGCTACTTGGGAGGCTGAGCTGGGAGGATCACGTGAGCCCAGGAGGTTGAGGTTGCAGTGAGCTGTGATCATGCCATTGCACTTCAGTCTGGGTGACAAAGTGAGACTCTGCCTCAAAAAATAAAATAAAATAAAAATAAATAAATACAAAGAAAAAAGAATGAACACCTAATGTTGAAGGAGGATGGGCTCTGGGTAAATTGATGGCACCAAGTAGTGATGTGTTTGTCACTGAGTGCAGAAACAACATAAGAAAGTCTAGGAAAGGACCATTTAACAGACTGACCTTAGCAGAGCTCTGGAGGTCCTGCTCTCACCTAGGCCTCATACTAGGATCCAACAAGGGAATTTTCTATGAGAGTTGGCTGCTGCCATCAGGACTGAAGTCTATAAAATAAATAGAAGCTGGGAGCACCCAGTGACTTCAGTGGTTGTACTAACTAGAACCACAAAACTGGTACAAAATGGCTGAAAGTTGGTTGGTAATAACTCCAGTGATATATTCCTTCTTTAATCATGCATTAAGTAGGAACTTGTTCATTCATTCAGTAAATATTTACAGACCAGCCCCATGGACTTGGCTATATGCTAGGCATAACTGACTTGACAGTGAAAGAACAGGAAATGTGTCACTGGTTCATTTGCTATTTAGTGAGAAAGACAGACAAACCCCAAATCATAGTACAGCAGAGAAGATTATGGCAGGAGTCTGCTGCAGGGAAGGCTTCACCCAGTCTAGGGGTTTCAGCTGATTCCTCAGATGAGGAAGGGTGGGGTGGGATGGGTGAAGTGTTCCTGGCAGAAGGAGCAGGGTGTTTAAAGGCCAGGAGGAGGCAGCGAGGAGCATTCACAGACCTAAGAGAAGTTCAGTATGGTATGGGTGGAGGTAGACAGAGTGTGACACAGAGAAGAGCAAGAAATGGTGACAGAGGGATAGCAGGTAGGGACAGAATGGAGATGACTTATCAACCATAATAACGAGTAATGATTTTATTGGGCGGTGTGAGGTGGTCAATTTTTCTTTAGATTTAATTCAACTTACTTCAAGATGTTTGTTGTTTATTTCTGCTAGAATTCCCATACTTTAAAAATTATCCTTGCATTTTATGTCTATATCCCACCTCAGCCACTTATCAGCACTATAACATGCAAATCACTTAAACTCTTTGTGTCAGTTTACTCACCTGTAAGGGTGCCTAGAACAGTCTCTGGCACACAGTATGACTCAATCATGTCATTAATCATCTGTCTGGACTCACAGAATTGTAAACCTTCCAAGTTTACTAGCAAGCAATTCTCTAAGACAACTAGGTATTTTCCTTTAAAGAATGGTAAGCACTAATAGAGCAACTGAGAGTTTTCCTTCTTTTTAATACTGTAGATTGAGTATCCCTTATTTGAAATGCTTAAGACCAGAAGTGTTTCAGATTTCAAATTTTTTCAGGTTTTGGAATAAGTGCATTCATTATACTTACTGGTTGAGTATCATTAATCTGAAAATCTGAACTCTGAAATGCTCTGATGAGCATTCCCTTTGGGAGTCACGTTGGTGCTCAAAAACTTTCAGATTTTGGAGCATTCTGAATTTTGATTTTTTTCTATTAGGGATGCTCAACCTGTATTATAAAAGAAATTGGAAGGATGGCCATTCTTGTTGTAGCTGTTAAGAAACACAACACACTATTCCATTGAAAAAAAAAGTTATAAAACAAATTAAACCATTATTAATAGTTTAATTACATTTTTGAGATTTTTACGAAGTTTATCATTTAGACTCTTCATTTCACTTTTCATACCAGTTTCATATCTCATACTGTAATTCAAGAGTTGACTATATCTTCCTGTAAGATCAGACTGCTTGTGATTCCAGGCCTATGGAACAAAACTGTACCTTTACAAGTTGCTCCTGTTTACGTTCCAACTCCCGGATTTCTTGGTTGAGGATGACTGCAACGTGCTGAGGTTGGCTCCGACATTTACTACAGATGCCATGCTGAGTTAGGTCATCACACACAGGACAGTGTAAGGTAGTAAAATATTGTGAAATAGTGCCTTTCCGCCCTTCAGGTTCACTTCGCGAGGAGTTGGTAGCTTTATGGATCTATAAAAACATCCATTCAGAAGTAAGTCTGAGTCAGCTTCACAGCAGAGCTGCTATTTTCATGCTAATTACAGGTTTACTCAGGCATTATTTCATTCATTCATTCATTCATTCATTCACTCACTCATTCAACAAATGTTGAGTAGCTACTATGTGCCAGGCACTGTTCTAGACACTGGAGCTACAGAAATGAATGAAGTCCTTGCTTTCATGGAACTTACATCTTATTATCAGATACATTTTTTAAAAATTACTATAAGTTCTAGGGTACATGTGCATAACATGCAGGTTACATAGGTATACATGTGCCATGTTGGTTTGCTGCACCCATCAACTCATCATTTACATTAGGTATTTCTCCTAATGCTATTCCTCCCCTAGTCTCCCACCCCCCGACAGGCCCTGGTGTGTGATGTTCCCCGCCCTGTGTCCAAGTGTTCTCATTGTTCAATTCCCATCTATCAGTGAGAATAGGCGGTGTTTAGTTTTCTGTCCTTGTGATAGTTTGCTGAATGATAGTTTCCAGCTTCAACCATGTCCCTGCAAAGGACATGAACTCATCCTTTTTTACGGCTGCATAGTATTCCATGGTGTATATGTGCCACATTTTCTTAATCCAGTCTATCATTGATAGACATTTGGGTTGATTCCAAGTCTTTGCCAGTGTGAATAGTGCCGCAATAAATCACTTTGTAAGAAAGTTATTAGGTTAGCCTCTTACAAATGCCATTGGGTTAACATTCTTGCTGGTGATGAAATGAACATTAGTAATGAAGAATATGAATTTCCTGCATTAGAGCCAGGATATGTGCTTAGAACACTTACAGTAACATACAGGTGGGCAAGATCATCTAACACAAAGCCTATTTTATAATAAAGTGTTGAATATCTCATGGAATTTATTGAATACTGTACTGAAAATGAAAAACAGAATGGTTGTATGGGTACTTGAACTATGGTTTCTACTGAATGCATATTATTTTTGCACCATCATAAAGTAGGAAAATCTGAAGTTGAACCATCATAAGTTGGAGAACAACTGTAATGCTATTTTACCATTGCAGTAATTCTGGTTTCTTCAGGACTGTGTCTAGATACTAAATCCTACACCTTTCTTAGACATTCATTTCGAAGGAATTTTTGCTGTCCATTTATTTTCCATTAACTCGTTTATTCTACGTTATTTTGTGGCTGTTCACCATTGAAATTGTGGGATTTATTTTAATATTTCTATAATTTGGACAACTTGACAGAAGCTAGGAATGTGTTTGTAGAATACTTAAAAGTTTCTCTTTTAGGAAACCAGAAGAGCGTGGCATCTTTGCCAGTTTACGATAGAGGATCTGCTTTGCTCTCATAGTGAAATAGGAAAGGTTCCCTTGTTCCCCTCGCAGGGTGTGCGACAGGGGGAATGGCTTGCTTCTTTAGTGCCCTGCTGCTCAAACCTCTAGGGGAGCATACAGACAGGCAGGTTGTGGGGCTCTGGCCCCACGGCAGTGTGTAGGGGTGAATGTTTACAGCTGAAGCCCCAGTGGGTGTGTGTTACAGGGTACTCTTTTAGTTTGCCGTCTATAGGTGGCTTGTGTTAACCAGCTCAATTAGACCCTCTAGCTTGTCTCAAGGATGGAGGGCTTTCTGTATCCCGGGTTCTTGCCTTGGTGTACCAGAAGAATCCAATCACCCGTGGGCTTGGAGACTGAGTGCAATGTTTTATTGAGTGGAAGTAGCTCTCATCTGATGGTGGAATCAGAAGGGAGATGGTTTTCCCCTGCGGTTGGGCTGCTAGGTGACTCCGTCTCTTCTCCGACTGTCCTGGCCAAACTCCACCTCGTTCTGCCAGTCAATGGCCTGCCAGCATGCCAGTGCCTCTCGGTGTGCTGTTCTGTTGGCATGCTCCTCTTGACAACCAGCCGCTTGGGTCTTCCACCGAAGTGTTCCTCATGACGTCCAGCCGCTTGTGTGTCTGCCTACTAGGGTCTTGGGTTTTTATTGGCCCAGGATTGGGGCGTGGCGGGCCAAGGTGGTCTTGGAAAATGCAACATTTGGGCATGAAAGCAGGAGCACCTATCCTCACCTAGGTCCGTGGGGGTGGAGCCCTAGCCAGGGACCCACCTTTCTCTACCCAGTACTTCCCTTCTCCCTTTCCGTATCATTTAACGGGACCACACTGTTCCCTTCCCAGCACTCCCATATCAATAGCACAAAAAATCTTTAGTTCTACTGAAAATTTGGAGTGAAATCTCTCCATAGTTAGAGTACATGTACTATTTGGTAAGCTTACCCTTGGTAATTCATGATACCAGCTGAAGACATCAATACCAATAAGTGAGAAGATTCTTGCTAAGGGTGGAAGGATTTGCTTGGTAATATAGTAAGTGGCATTCAGTCTCAGAGTTGGGTCCTGCAGGACTTCCACTGGGCGCCTTACAAGCTGGATAAGTGGTACTCCGGGGGTCCCATAAATGATGACGTATGGCACTCGCTCACCAACTTGAGGCTCGGAGCGCCGGTCATAAGTCAGCATTTTCCTATTCAAATTCAAAAAAAAAACACCACCACACCCAAATACTGTCACGGAAGCCATCTTTCTCGCAAATTAAGTCAGAGTTAAACAACAATAAAACAATGAAAAAGCTACAAAAGACACTTTCAAAACATAATTACTATTTGAGAATAATATACATTTTGCTTAGTTGACACCAAGTATAGATATGCTACAGGAGTTTAAAAATTACTCCATAAATCATTGTTACCTGGAAAATAATGAGTTGGCAGATATCAACTAGCTTCAGATGTACTTTAGGTGGGAGTGGTGGCTCGTGCCTGTAATCCTAGCATTTTGGGAGGCCAAGGATCGTCTGAGCCCAGGAGTTTGAGACCAGCTTGGGCAACACAGTGAGACCCCCATCTCCACAAAAAAATTAGCCATCATAATGGTGCACACCTGTTATCCCAGCGGGCGGCCAACGTGGAAGGATCGCTTGAGCCTGGGAGGTCAAGGCTGCAATGAGCTGTGATTGCACCACTTCTTTCCAGCCTAGGCGACGGAGTGAGACTCTGCCTCCCGGGGTGGGAAAAAGATGTATTTTATCCCCTAAGAATGAGAACTACCTATCATAAATCTACCATGAAAGATAAGAGAAAATTTATCCAGTTAAACAATCTGATTCCAATATGATACCATCTAAATGCTTCGGTAGAACAATATTAAGGACTACCTAATCATTTTGATGTGGGAAAAACAAATGAATCAAGCACTGTGTCACAATTTCTTTGCATAAGTTTCTGAAGGAAAGCCCAAAAGAGGATTTCCTCTTCACACCTTACAAAGTATGAGGGAGTATTCACTAACCTTCAGTGAGGCTTCATGTGCGCAGGTAAAGAAACAATTGTACTCTAGACCTGTGCAGAATCCCAGGACTATCCTGGCAAGGTACTGAGGGTATCATTACCTTGTAAGTTCAAGGGCTGGCACACAAGCTCCTGGTTTATAAGAAAAACTTCCTCTGTATTCCTTGGCAAAGATAAAGTCTTGTATGCTGGCCTTTCCTTCCAGAAGCTTCATACATTGTCGCTGAACATACTGTTTAATTAGACTTATATCTCTCGTTTCAAATAGCAGCTTTAGAGAACGCTCAAGTATCTTAAAACAAAACAGATATGCAAGTAAAGATAAAATATCTCCTAGTATGTTTCACCATTGTTATTATACTTTCAATTATGTAACTACTGGGTAACTTGCTAACCTACCTAAATAATCTGTTACTTACAATGATGGGATAATAAAAATTATTAAAAATTGAAAGTTATTTGAGACTTTATAGAGCTTGCTATTTCTAAAAATAGAATATCATGTAGTTTGAGGAAAATCATGTAGAATGACACGCAAATTAACATTTGCTATGTGATAAGCAACATAAAACACGCAATTTTTTTTTAATAGTCAAAGCACTCTAGGTACAAGAAACCAGACACGAGCTCACGTATTGTTTTTTTATTTACCAGTATAGAAAGGGTCCTGATTCAGTCACAGGCAGCACAGAGAAGTTTAAAGATTACCAGGCAGTCAAATCCAAATCAGCCTTTTTGACTTTTTATGGTGTTGATAAATAACTGTGACAGAATTTTCTGTGTTGGAAATTTCTACTAGGAAATAACCAACATGCAGTGGATTTATGTAAGTAGATTAATTTTTTTTTCCCCCCGAGATGGAGTCTTGCTTTGTCGCTCAGGCTGAAGTGCAATGGCATGATCTCGGCTCACTGCAACCTCTGCCTCTCGGGTTCAAGCAATTCTCCTGCCTCAGTCTCCCGAGTAGCTGGGACTACAGGCGCATGCCACCACGCCCGGCTACTTTTTTGTTTTAGTAGAGATGGGGTTTCACCGTGTTAGCCAGGATGGTCTCGATCTCCTGACCTCGTGATCCGCCCGCCTCGGCCTCCCAAAGTGCTGGGATTATAGGCGTGAGCCACCGTGCCTGGCCAAGTAGGTTAAATTTAAGTTAGTTCTAGGTGAAAGCTCTGTGTCTTATTCTGAATACTAGAACCAATGGATATTTATACAATAATCTTGTTAATTTAGCTTGGGTACAAGTCTGCCTACAGAGAAAGAAGGTACTGGATTATATCTCTTCCAGAAATAGTGCTGAAAAAAATCCCAAATTCACATATTATATATATGACATAATACATTGATAATATTCAATCCATTATGCTTTTAATGCTCTCACAAAACAGTATATAGAGTGCTATTCCCATTTATACCATTTATTTTTGTTTTGCTATAGAAGGAGTTTAGGCCCAAGTAAAGAAAAAGCCAAAATACCATGGTTATTATGGTTGAGAAATTTGAGTAATTTATAGCTAATTGTTTGGAAATCTTCCTAATTTGCATTTGATAATCCAAATAAGTGAAAGTTCAGTTAATCTGGAATGGATTATGTTACTTATGCAATCTCTCTGTTTCTCTTTTTTTTTATTTTGACGGAGTCTCACTCTGTTGCCCAGGCTGGAGTGCAGTGTTGTGATCTTGGCTCTCTGCAGCCTCTGCCTCCCAAGTTCAAGTAATTCTCACGCCTCGGCCTCCCGAGTAGCTGGGATTACAGGCATGCGCCACCACACCTGGGTAATTTTTGTATTTTTAGTACAGATGGGGTTTCACTATGTTTGCCAGGCTGGTCTCGAACTCCTGACCTCAAGTGATCTGCCTGCCTTGGCCTCCCAAAGTGCTGGGATTACAGGTGTGGGCCACCACACCAGGTCTGTTTCTCTTGTTTATCCTGTTCTGCTTTTGGGAGTTGTTACAATATGACATATATGATCTCCAGGCAATAGGCAGGAAACTCTCATGTATTGCTTTTTAGTAATTTTGATAAAACATAAGGTATGGGGGGAAGTCAGAAACTTAAGGACTAAAATCAAATAAATTATTAGAAATAAAATTCTATCTACTCATGAGGCTGAGGCATAAAGATTGCTTTAACCCAGGAGGTCAAGGCTGCAGGGAGCCAGGATTGGACTACAGCACTCCAGCCTGGGTGACAAAGTGAGACCCTGTCTCAAACAAACAAAAGCAAAACAAAACACTACAAATAAAATTCTCAAAATTAATGTAGTTTCTTCTATAGTTATATATAATTATACAGGCTATATTTTCACCAGATACTTTAGCCACTTCTTTCTCACAGATGATGACAAGATAGATAAACCTTACCTTAGAAACAGCAGGGCAGGAATCTCTTCTGACTGTTTCTATTCCTTTTGCATCAAATACCGGGTCCTTCTGATCCAGTGTTTCATACATGTAACCCACATACCTCTTTTTTGTTTGTAAAACACAGGGCAAATATACCTGTGGTAAAATTAATAAAATGCCTCTTAACCATTTTTCCCCCACCAAGAATATTTTATTTTATGTCTCTGTGCTTTCTTTAATCAAATAGCCATTATTAAAAAAATTCTAAACATGACTTAGGGCCCAACAAATTCATGATATAAGACGTGGGAGCAAAATGAATTGTCTTTAAGTTGTTACCGCTTGCTCACTCCTTTTCTTGCACTACCAATTTTGTTCTTTTGCACTACCAGTTTTGTTTATTTACTAAATAAAGTATAAACACTTCACCTTGGTATTCAAGACAGTCTATAGTCTGGTCTCAACTTTATTTTTCCAGATCTATCTCCTGCTACCCTGTATTTCCATACTGTGCTTTTCCAATTCCATACATGCCATTTTCTTCTGTTCAGAATGATTGCAGCCCCACGTCTGCCTACTGAAATTCTAAGCATTTTTCAAGACATAACCATTTTTCAAGACACATTTCATCGTTACTTCCTATATGGAGTCTCTCTATCCAGCCCAGGAGGACACAATTCCTCCTTTCCTTTGTGCTCTCACAGTGTTTAAGCAGACTATTCTCATCTTGCTTTCTGTTATGTTTGTAACAAAAGAGAATGCTTATATAAATTAACCTTTCCTTTTAGATTTCTGGCTCTTAGAGGGCAGGACTGTGTCTTACGTTTCTTTGTATTCCACACAGTTCCTAGGCTAAGTATCTTTTATACAGAAAGAAATAAATACATATTTGATATCTAAAGGTAAGTGAAAAAGAGTTGAAAGTCCTTGTGGTAAACTTTGTTTTGCAAAGAAAGAATGTATCTTCCATCCTATGTGGTCTTGTTCCATTGTGACTTCGACATTCTTCCTATTAATAGTGGGGTCTATGTTCACTCCCTTTAAATCTAGAGAGGTGTGTGACACTGTGACTTTGAGCCTGGGTCATAAAAAACAAAGCAGCTTTTGTCTGTTTCTCTTTGGGATGTTCACACCTAGAACCCAACCCTCGTGTTGTGAGGGAAAACCAGCAGCCCCGGTGAAAGGCCACTGGCTGATGTCCCAACTAGCAGCTAGCATCAATCACCAGACATGATTGGTAAGCAAGCTTCAGATGGTTTCAGCCTTTTGCTGTTGGTTGGGTTACCCCTAACCCCTAACAGTCTTCTCAGCTGAGGAACTAGATATTGTGCAGCAGGGAAAAGCCATTCCAGTCGCACTCTGTCTGAATTCCTGAGCCATAAAATCTGTGAGCAGAATGAAATGTTTGCTGTTTTACACCATTAAGTTTGGGGTGATCTGTTACACAATAATAGTTACTGGAATAAAGTTTTCATTTCCTTACATATATACATTACTAAACAAATTTTGGGAAAATTATACAAAAGAGAAAATACTTAAAATGTAATTTTTTTTTTTTTTTTTTGAGACAGGGTCTTACTTTGTTCCCCAGGCTGGAGTGCCCTGGCCAATCACAGTTCACTGTAACCTTGAACACCTGGGCTCAAGTGATCCTCCCACTTCAGCCTCTGGAATAGCTGGGACTACAGGCGTGTGCCACTATGCCTGGTTAACTTTTTAATTTTTGTAGAGATGGGGTCTGGCTATGTTGTCCAGGCTGGTGTCAAACTCCTGGTCTCAAGCAACCCTCCTGCTTTGGCCTCCCAAGGCCACAGCAGGATTACAGACATGAGCCACTGCATCTGGCCCAAATTTAACACTTTAATAGACCTATATACTATCAGTGATTCTGAAAATGTACTGAACAAATCAGAGGTCTCTAGAAGACATGTGAGTTTTATATGTGATTACTAATATTACATTCCTCTTACCTTTTCAAACTTCAATTTCACTGGTTTAGGATTGGTAGCAGTTACAGCTTCGGCAATTTCCTGACCAATCTTAAAAGACTGCTCCTTAGTGGCTCCTTTCAGTAGCACAAACATACTAAGGGGATTAAAAATAAGGTAATGAGGAAGTCATTACAACAAAAATTTTATCAAGAGTAACTCTCCTGGCTATGACTCTGTCTAATGCCAAAGAAAACTCCCTTTCTCCTATTTACTCTTTCTTAAGATGCTTCCTATGTAAGCTTTCCTGTTTTATTACTTTCCATGTGTACTCATGATATATCTTGTTAAAAATCTTTTAAGACATCCAATATTTCTAACTTAGCTACACACAGAGCAGCTCAGATATCCCAGCAGTCAAGAAAGTCCTGGATCATCCCTGGACATTTAAGGCTTTGTGTGGTACACAAGGGGTCACCAACCCCGAGGTGGCAGACTGATACCAGTCAGTCTGTGATCAGTGGCACATCAGACAGATCAGTGGCAGCATCAGATTCTCATAGGAGCATGAACCCTATTGTAAGAACTGCGCACAAGTGAAAGATCTAGGTTGTGTGCACCTTATGAGAATCTAATGCCTGATGATCTGAGGTGGAATAGTTTCATCCCCAAACCACCCGGTCTGCGGAAAAATTGTCTTCCATGAAACCGATCCCTGGTGCTAAAAAGGTTGGGGACCACTGTGGTCCAGGCACAGGGGTTCACGCCTGTAATCCCAGCACTTTGGGAGGCCAAGGCAGTGGATCATCTGAGGTCAGGAGTTTGAGACCAACCTGACCAACATGGTGAAACTCCATCTCTACTAAAATATAAAAATTAGCCAGGCATGGTGGCATGTGCCTATAATCCCAGGAATTTGGGAGGCTGAGGCAGGAGAATCGCTTGAGTCTGGGAGGCAGAGGTTGCAGTGAACTGAGATTACACTACTGCACTGCAGCCTGGGACTCCATCTCAAAAAAAATAAAAAAGGTTGGGGACCACTGTGGTACACAGTTAAGTACATCACAAAATAAGAGACTGTGTGATTGTAAGAAAATAGAAGATGTACTGTGATATGGGAGAAGTTTCCTTAAGGCCAGAACCACTCAACTTAAAAAAGACAGACATTGGGCGGGGCGCGGTGGCTCACGCCTGTTATCCCAGCACTTTGGGAGGCCGAGGCGGGCAGATCACGAGGTCAGGAGATCGAGACCATCCTGGCTAACACAGTGAAAACTCGTCTCTACAAAAAAAAAAAAAAAAAGAAAAAAAAAATTAGCCAGGCATGGGGGCGGGTGCCTGTAGTCCCAGCTACTCCAGAGGCTGAGGCAGGAGAATGGCATGAACCTGGGAGGCGGAGCTTGCAGTCAGCCGAGATTGCACCACTGCACTCTAGCCTGGGCGACAGAGCAAGACTCAGTCTCAAAAAAAAAAAAAAAAAAAACAGACAGACATTGGCCGGGCGCCGTGGCTCACACCTATAATACCAGCACTTTGGGAGGCTGAGGCAGGTGGATCACCTGAGGTCAGGATTTTGAGACCAGCCTGGCCAACATGGCGAAATCCCATCTCTACTAAAAAAAATACAAAAGTTAGCCGACGTGGTGGTGTGCTCCTGTAGTCCCAGTTACTTGGGAGGCTGAGGTGGGAGAATTGCTTGAACCTGGGAGGTGGAGGCTTCAGTGAGCCGAGATTGCACCATTGCACTCCAGTCTGGGTGACAGAGTGAGACTCTGTCTCAAAAAACAAAACAAAACAAAAAAAACAACAAAAAAACAAAAGACATATATTCTGTAATGTATGTTAACTGAAAAGCAGTTAAAAAAACATAAAAAGACACAAGGAAGAAAATCAACATCTGTAATCATGTCGTACAGAAAAAAGACATTACAAAGACGTGTATATCTGTAAATCTTTTCATTTGCTATAATGGATCATATTATTTGGTAATGAGTAATATTGAATTATATGAATAAGAAATACCAATACAAAATATACTCAAAATACCAATACTAAATATACTCAAAAATAACTGACAAAATGCATCTATTTTTCTATTTCAGTATATACTACAACCTGACCACCAACAGAAGTAATGGTTAATAAATATTTAAGTAAGATAGACTATAAAGTTCATCTTCACTTATATTTCTAGTGAAAAGACATTAAATAGTGGAAATGGATGATATCTTGAAATATGACTTTAAGATTCTTGTTTCTAGCCATATAAACCAATCTCATATTTCTGAAGTGTTTTTATACTGGATTTTTAAGTCCCATTTTGGATGGTTTATTTGGAAAAAGTTTCTGCTAATATTGGAGACAGTACTTGCCTGAGAGCCTATATGAAAAATTAAAAGAAAGGAAAAAAGTAGTTTACTCAACACTACTAAGTCTTTAAAATAAATATTGTCTCAATCTGAATTAATTTTAACATTCACTAAGGTAGAACAAAAATGCCTTAGTTAATTAGACCTTCAATCTAGGCTATACTTTGAACCATCTGAAGGTTTTTGTAGTTTCTTTATAGGCCATCTGATACTCATTTATACCAATACTATCTGATTTTAATTTTTTTTTTTTAAGAGGCAGGGTCTCATTCTATTATTGAGGCTGAAGTGCAGTGGCATAATCATTGGTTACTGCAGCCTCGACCTCCCTGTACTCCTTTGCAATCATTTTTCAGTCTATTCCTGGCCCCAGGTTCAATACATAAGACTTGCTTTCTGTTACAATAGGTTTTTTCCAAGAATTTTATATAAATGGGCTGGGTGTAGTAGCTTTTGCCTGTAATCCCAGCAACTCCGGAGGCTGAAGTGGAAGGACTGCTTGAGGCCAGGAGTTTGAGATGGGCCTGGGCAATAGTGAGACCCTGTAAGTAAATAAACAAAAATTTTACATAAATGAAAGTATATGGTATATACTCTTTTATATCTGTCTTCTTTTACTCAGCATATTTTGAGATTCATCCATGGTGTCAAAATAACAGCAACTGGTTTGTTTCCATTGTTGAGTAGTATTCCACTGTATGGATATACCACAGTTTGCTTATCCAATCACTCACTGATAGACATTTAGATATTTTGCAGTTTTGGACTATTACAAACAAAGCTCCAATGAAGAACTGTACACAAGTTTTTATGTGGACATAGGTTTTCCTTTTCCTTTTTCGTTTTTGAGACGGAGTCTCGCTCTGTCACCCAGACTGGAGTGCAGTGGCGCGATCTCGGCTCACTGAAAGCTCCACCTCCCAGGTTCACGCCATTCTCCTGCCTCAGCCTCCCGAGTAGCTGGGACTACAGGGGCCCACCACCACGCCAGGCTAATTTTTTGTATTTTTAGTAGAAACAGGGTTTCACTGTGTTAGCCAGGATGGTCTCGATCTCCTGACCTCATGATCCACCTGTCTTGGCCTCTCAAAGTGCTGGGGTTACAGGTGTGAGCCATCACGCCCGGCCAGGTTTTCTTTTTTCTAAGATAAGCATAAAGGAGTGGAATTGCTGGGGCATATGCTAAGGGTATGTTGAACTTCACGTGCAACTGCCAAACTGTTTTTATGTAAGATTATTATTCTTAAAATGTTCAGATGCAATGATGAGTGCAACATTTTTTTTTTTTCCTCTTGTTGCCTAGGCTGGAGTGCAATAGAGCGATCTCAGCTCACCGAAACCTCCGCCTCCCAAGTTCAAGCGATTCTCCTGCCTCAACTCCCCGAGTAGGTGGGATTACAGGCATGCGCCACCACACCCGGCTAACTTTGTATTTTTAGTAGAGACAGGGTTTCTCCTTGTTGGTCAGGCTGGTCTCGACCTCCCGACCTCTGGTTATCTGCCCAAAGTGCTGGGATTACAGGCATGAGCCACTGTGCCCGGCCATATGCAACATTTAAAATCAGTGGACACACACATATTTCTATACAGTTTTATAATAGGCAAAACTAAGCTATGGTAATAAAAATCAGGTAAGTGGTTGTCTAGGGCATGGAGTGAGGGTGAGGGATACACTGTAAAGGGAGAATGAGAAAACTTTTTACGGTGATAAAAAGTGTTCTATATCTTGACTGGCATGGTAGCTGGTAACTTGGGCCTATACATTTTTATATTTTATTACATAATATTATACATGTTAAAAATTATAATTCCATAAAAATGATAAAGGTATATATACTTCACATCTTAAAAGTTATTATTGGCCAGGTGCGGTGGCTCATGCCTGTAATCCCAGCACTTTGGGAGGCCGAGGTGGGTGGATCACGAGGTCAGGAGGTCAAGACCAGTCTGGCCAACACGGTGAAACCCCATCTCTACTAAAAAAACAAAAATTAGCTGGGTATGGTGGCACATGCCTGTAGTCCCAGTTATTCGGGAGGATGAGGCAAGAGAATTACTTGAACCCGGGAGGTGGAGGTTGCAGTGAGCCGAGATTGTGCCACTGTGCTCCAGCTTGGGCAACAGAGACTTTAAAAAAAAAAAAAGTTATTACTATAGGGTCTATATTTGAGACTTTACCCAGTAATGTGAGTTTGTTTGAATCCATCTAAGCTGTTTTGGCCACTTTGATTTGGAGCTAAGCTTCAAGAAGGCTGGACAGAATGAAGTTTTTGTCATGTGACAGAATGGAAGTGACTAGCCTACAATAAGAAACACTGTTTTAAAATGAGTTTCTATTCCTGTAATCCCAGCACTTTGGGAGGCTGAGGCAGGCGGATCACGAGGTCAGGAGATTGAGACCATCCTGGCTAACATGGTGAAACCCCGTCTCTACTAAATACACAAAAAATTAGCCGGGCATGGTGGCAGCCGCCTGTAGTCCCAGCTACTTGGGAGGCTGAGGTAGGAGAACAGCATGAACCCCGGAGGTGGAGCTTGCAGTGAGCCAAGATCGCGCTACTGCACTCCAGCCTGGGGGCAGAGCGAGACTCCGTCTCAAAAAAATGGAGAGAGCAATCACTCCTCCGGTGATAACTTGTCTCGGCCTCCCAAAGTGCAGGGATTACAGGTGTGAGCCACCGCCCCGGCCTTTTTCTACTAGGTTGCCAAGGGCTGGGAAAGGTACTGTGTATGTGTGGGGAAGTGCGGATGGTTAATGGGTACAAAAATATAGTTAGAATAAGACCTAGTATTTGATAGCACAACAGAGCGATTACAGTCAACAATAATTTATTGTACATTTAAGAATAACTAAAAAGTATAATTGGAATGTCATCATAATTGGAAGGTCATTTGCCTTCATCTATCAGACTTCCTTCATTTTGATGAAGAGGTAACTAAGCCTCAGAGAGGCAAAATGACTTATTAATGGCTATGCCATCATCTAGGAGTATAATTAGAAAGAGAATCCAGGTCTCCTCACTCACAGTTGGGAACTCTTTTTTTTTCTGAGATGGAGTTTCACTCTGTTGCCCAGGCTGGAGTGCAGTGGCGCGATTTTGGCTCACTGCAACCTCCACTTTCCACGTTCAAACGATTCTCCTGCCTCAGCCTCCTGAGTAGCTAGGATTATAGGCATGTACCACCACACTCAGCTAATTTTTTAAATTTTTAGTAGAGAGGGGGTTTCATCACGTTGGCCAGGCTGATCTTGAATTCCTGACCTCAGGTGATCCACCTGTCTCGGCCTCCCAAAGTGCGGGGATTACAGGTGTGAGCCACCACGCCGGCCTTTTTTTTTTTCTTTTGAGACACAGTTTCACTGTTGTTGCCCAGGCTGGAGTGCAACGGTGCAATCTTGGCTCACCGCAACTTCTGCCTCCTGGGTTCTAGCAATTCTCCTGCCTCAGCCTCCTGAGTAACTGGGATTATAGGCATGCACCACCACACCCAGCTAATTTTGTATTTTTAGTAGAGATGGGGTTTCCCCATATGGTCAGCCTGGTCTCAAACTCCTGACCTCAGGTGATCTGCCCGCCTTAGCCTACCAAAGTGCTGGCATTATAGGCGTGAGCGACTGCGCCCAGCCAGGAACTCTTTTGCACTCCACCAAATATTACCTATTATCCCAAGAGCAGTGTTTCTCAACCTTTCATCGTTGTCCTTCCAAGGCAAATAAATAAATAAATTTAAATTATATTTAACAAGAGAAAGTAATTACTAAGGAGTAAAATATTGTTGGCCCACTGTGGGGCCAAAAACTATGGTACATTTTTTTTGGCCCCCTTCAAGAACTTACTTGTATTCTGCCAGGGTGACACTGTTGTGAACTGCCCTCATACAGATGTCACTAAACATTTAGGTTTCTTGTTTTTGAGACAGGGTCTCATTCTGTCACCCAGGCTGGAGTGCAGTGGCATGATCATGGTTGACTACAGCCTTGAACTCCCGGGTTCAAGCGATCTTCCTACCTCACAGCCTCCCAAGTAGCTAGGAGTACAGGTGCACACCACCATGGCTGGCTGATTTTTAAATTTTTTGTAGAGACAGGGTTGCACTTTGTTGCCCAAGCTGGTCTTGAACTTCTGGGCTCAAGCAATCCGCCTGCCTTGGCCTCCCAAAGTGCCAGAATTTCAAGCATGAGTCAGCATGCCTGGACAATGTTTGTTGAATGTATCAGGTAGTGAATAGTGATCAAAAGTTTTAATGACATTGCAAGTAAATTTCCTTTGACTGGAATCATATAATAACTATAAAATCTGATGTAGAGAGAAAGCATCAGTTAGGAATCAAAACACTGAATATCAATTCATGGCTCTTTACTGACTGCTTGCAAGATCTTAAATTTCTTATCTTAGGGAAATTTGTTCTTAATAAGCATCATTTGAGGCACATTCTAAGATCTCCCAATAGTATGAAAACTGCTGGCCTAAATAATATCAAAATCCCTTCCGGCTCTGACATTCTGTTATTTTTTGTAGCTTGACTTCTTATAGATCTTAAAGGGTAAATAATGTAACTACAATCAGAATCATGCTGACTTCTGAATGCTGTCAACAACATGGATAGCCTCTGAATTAAAATCAATAAGTTAAAGGATTAACATTTTTCCCTAAATATTTTTTAAGTTCTGCTAACAAATGCAGAGCTTATTTTATTAACTCTTATTTTGCTAGAATACCCAGCAGAAGTAGTTTCACAGAACAGTAAAATAACCAAAGCCAAACTAAGAAGTGGCTTTTTATGAGGAATAGGAGAGAATATGGATAATTAGGGCCTGGATAATTTGAAACTATCCCCACCTGCTGGTAATGAAACAGCTGCTCTATGAGGCAAAGTCTCATTCAGCATTAATATGATTATGCTGTCTGTATGAACATTTTAAAGAACTGGATAAGATTAAATGCTATTCAAAGATTACTTATAAGCTATTTAATGATTAGAAGCATTATCTCCTATTGCTCTGTTGGACTGTAAAGAGATCAGAGGTCTTGAGGCAGGTGCTCTTAGCATGTTCACACCGTGACTCTAAGTCCCCAACAGGGAAAAAATTTCACTGTAAGAAATGTGCATAGTGCCTACATTCTAGAAGAATTTCAATAAGCCATGCAAAAAAGATGTTACATAAATAACTGAAACCTGAAAATTATCACAGCAAACAAGGAAGCATGCAAGCTGGTGTTAATAACTTACATTATTAATAATGTGCCTTCAAATGCAGGCACATTATTTGCCAATCCATAAATAATGGGCTTGAGTAAGTCTGTGGACCCTCTGGAGTCAAATGGAAAACTGCATTTGCCTATATGCACTTCTCTTAGAAGGTCAACATATTCTGGGGCTGAGTGGTAAGTTAACCACTCACGGTTCTGGCAATTGCCCTTCAAAAACAGTTTAATTATTTTAAGATATACACTTAAATTCAGAGAGTTGCAGCTATATTAGAGGAATTATTCACATTAAAAGTAGTTTCTTTAAATAAACTAGACTCCTGCGTACACAGTTAGTTTACAGATCACTATCTACTTGGCTAAGAGCTACCTGGAGTGAAGCCATAGGAATCTTCACAGTTTGTGGCTCAGGACACAAACTGTCTCTTATGATCATATCTGGTAAATCAGGATCTGTGTTAACTCTGATCATGAGATCGTAAGGACTGGAAAGGACTCAGAACTCTATTTTTAGAAAGGATTCCCGTAAGCCATTTTAAACACTGAAATGAAGATGTGGACAGATGCAAAAAGACAACCACAAAACCAAAAACCCATTACCTGTCAGTATCGCCATATACAACCCTAGCCCCCCATTTCTTGGTATCATTCACCAGTTTAATAGCTCGTTCCAAGGTCTCTCTGGCTTTGTGAACAATACTATCGCCAACCTGTTGGTACAAACACATTGGAAATAATTTCTTAACATAGCTCAGTGTAAGTCAACAGACTTTAACATATAATACATTTAATTACTAAATATTTCCAGAAACGAAACAAGGAGAAAAGAACTTAAAAAAGAAATCAATGCATCATTCTTTCTCCAAGTACTCAAGAAGAAACTGAGGTGAAGAATTTGAAAGGACCAATCGATGTGCAGACTTGTCTTTGAGTGTAACAGTAAGTGGACTGCACTTGTTACAAGGTACACAGCTACACTGGATTCTTGGAAGAATAATTCTTGTTTATTCAAGTTCTTTTTTTTTTTTTTTTCCTGAGGAGTCTCACTCTGTCACCCAGGCTGGAGTGCAGTGGCGTGATCTCGGCTCAGTGCAACCTCTGCCTCTTGGGTTCAAGCGATTCTCTTGCCTCAGCCTCCTGAGTAGCTAGGACTACAGGCGCACACCACCATACCCAGTTAATTTTTCTATTTTTTTTAGTAGAGACGGGGTTTCACCATATTGGCCAGGCTAGTCTCGAACTCTTGACCTCGTGATCCGCCCACCTCGGCCTCCCAAAGTACTGGGATTACAGGTGTGAGCCACTGTGCCCGAACTATTCAAGAACTTTCTTACGTGCCCTTACAGTTCATTAGGCAAAAAAGCATTCTTTGTGGGTGCATGAGTATACATACGTGTATCTCTCAAAATTTTTCTGTTGAACTGTTGATGACAATGTTTCTCAATATCATTAAAGTTAATGCTGAACTTCAATCTTGTGACTAGTTATACAAGGAAAAATGTATCTAATTATATGATGGGAAATATATTAAAAGTGTTCAATTTAAATTAAATAGGTAGATATATATCTAGGAAGGTTTTTTCCATTTGTGATTAGTGAATTTTAACAGTGACCATGGCATGAATTTACAAAACAAGTAGATGCTGGGCCTTGACAAATATGAAAAGCATGCTAATGAGATTTACAGTTAAGTAAAGAGACTATATAACAATGCTGTTTTATTTATTAAACTAATTGAAGCTAAGAGTGGGAAAAGTTGTCATTCAACATAAAACATAAATGGAGCATTCCCTTTACAATTTTAAAATGCAAACTGCACATTTTTTGTTTTTTTTGTGTTAAGAAGCAAACAATAGCAATAATGATCCTTCTCCCTTTACTGTAAAACTTGAATTACTAAATGTAGGATTGAATAGTATTTAAAAGGCTGTTTAAAGTTGCATTACAAAGGACATATTAGGTATATGAACAAAGGAATAAATAATAAAACTGGTAGAAATGAGTTGGGATTTATTTATTTATTCTGATTTATTTATTTATTTTGAAACAGAGTCTCGTTCTGTCGCCCAGGCTGGAGTGCAGTGGTGTGATCTTGGCTCACTGCAACCTCTGCCTCCTGGGTTCAAGCAATTCTCATGCCTCAGTCTCCTGAGTAGCTGGGATTATAGGCGTGCGCCACCCTGCCCTGCTATTTTTCATATTTTTAGTAGATGGGGTTTGCCATGATGGCCAGGCTGGTCTTGAACTCCTGGCCTCAAATGATCTACCTGCCTCAGCCTCCCAAAGTGTTGGAATTACAGGTGTGAGCCACCACGCCTGGCCTTGGGTTTTAAATTAAGATTATGAATTCTGCTGAGACCTCTAGTACAATAGAAAATCTTGAGAATGTAAACTATAACTTAATACATTACAAAAATCATGTTATCTAATGGAAACTCAAATTGAATAAAATGTTCTGTTACCTGCCGCCACTTTCAAACAAGGTCAACTTTTATTTTATTTTATTTTATTTATTTATTTATTTATTTATTTATTTATTTATTCATTTGAGATGGAGTCTTGCTCTGTCGCTCAGGCTGGAGTGCAGTGGCGCGATCTGGGCTCACTGCAAGCTCCGCCTCCTGGGTTCACACCATTCTCCTGCCTCAGCCTCCCGAGTAGCTGGGACTAAAGGTGCCCGCCACCACGCCCGGCTAATTTTTTTGTATTTTAGTAGAGGTGGGGTTTCACTGTGTTAGTAAGGATGGTCTCGATCTCCTGACCTCGTGATCCGCCCGCCTTGGCCTCCCAAAGTGCTGGAATTACAGGCCACTGTGCCCGGACAAGGTCAACTTTTAAATATGTGAGGACAAAGAGTTGCATGAGCAAGCCATCTTAGCGTCAAAGTCAAATACACTTCTGAAATATATACTTACAAGTAAGTATATACTTGTACATATACATAGCGGTCTTAAATGTCTGCCTAATGCTCTTACTCTGACCCATTAAAGTTATACCCAAAAGAGTCAGAACTCTGCAGTTACCCCTGAAGACCATGTAGTAAGAATTCAGCAGCACTAGAGTGAGGGGGAGGTGGAAGAGGGAAGGAGAAGTAATTAAATTAACAGATTCTGCTACTTTATGGTAAGGTTCCTAACCTGAAAAGCATTACTTCATTAAAGGGCTAAGAGAGGATTTAAAAGAGGAAAAGAAATGGTTTCACAATTTAGGCCATGACTGGGGATGCTCAAAAGTTAATAAAAACAAATTTTTTTAAGTAAAAATTAATTTTCTGAAGAGACATAAAAAGAAATAAAGTTCAATTTTTAAAAAGGCACAAATATACCTTTATCATAAATATGAATGACCAATAGTTTAGTAGAAAACTGTCAACATACAAAAATTTTAATTTATGAAGTCCAACTAAGACAGAGGCATTAACCTCCACTATTAGCTACTTTATTCTCCATATTCTCTTCATAGGAATTTTTGCTGACAAAGTCTTGTCTTTCTCTATGATAGTACTGAGACAGAGACATTAACCTCCAACTATTAGCTACATTTATTTATTCTCCATATTCTCCTTATATGCTTACAAAATCTTATCTTTCTCTATGACAGTCCAGGTCTGCACTTTTTTGATTATGTGTTCTCTGAAGGAAAGCAGGAGACCACAGACAGTAATCCATTCGCCTCCCGCTTTTAAAGGTTTTAATTATTCTGGATAGATAACTTGTATATATATGTATATGTTGTACATATGATGTACACAGGCAGACAGTGTGTAATGATCAAATCAGGGTAACTGGGATACCCATCACCTCAAGCACTTATCATTTATTTGTGTTAGACATTTCAATTCCATTCTTTTAGTTATTTAAAAATATACAATAAGTTGCAGTTCACTATACTCTACTGTGCTACCAAATACTGGATTTTATTCATTCTAATTGTATTTTTGTACTCATTAATCATTTCCACTTTATCTCCCTCCTTCCCCACTTCACAGCCTCTGGCAACCATCATTCTACTCTCTATCTCCATGAGTTCACTAATTTTTTTTAGTTTCCACATGAGTAAGAACATGTGATATTTGTCTTTCTCTGTCTAGCTTATTTCACTTAGCATAATGTCCTTCAGTTCCATCCGTGTTTTGCAAATGACAGGATTTTATTCTTTTTTAGGGCTGATTACTGGACAAATGGGATCACATAAAGCTAAAAACCTTCTGCACAGTAAAGGAAATAATCAACAAAGTGAAGAGACAACCCACAGAATGGGAGAAAATATCTGCAAACCACCCATCTGACGTGGGATTAATAACCAGAATACGTAAGGAACTTAAACAACTCAGTAGGAAAAAAAACCAAATAATTAGATTAAAAATGCACAAAAGGTCTGAACAGACATTTCTCAAAAGATGACAAATGACTAATATTACTAATCAGAGAAATTCAAATCAAAATTATAATGAGATGTCTTCTCACTCCAGCTAAAATGGCTTTTATCCAAAAAACAGGCAATAACGAATGCTGGCAAGGATGTGGAGAAAGGGGAACCCACTGTTAGTGGGAATGTAAATTAGTAGAGTCACTATGTAGAACAATATGGAGGTGCCGCAAAAATCTAAAAATAGAACTACCATATGATCCAGATATCCCACTCCTGGGTATACATCCAAAAAAAAAAAAAAAAAAAAAAAGGACATTGGGACATTGAATAGATATCTGCACTCCCATATTTACTGCAGCACTATTCACAATAGCAGTCAAGATATGGAAGCAACCTAAGTGTCCATCAACGGGTGAATGGATAAAGGAAATGCCATATTATGTGTACAATAGAATATCATACAGCCATAAAAAAGAATGAAGCCATCTGCCCTTTAAAAAAAAAAAGTGGCTGATACCTTCCATTGTTACTTGATTGGTGCTAACTTTTCACTTATTCATAAGAGGCTCTTTCTGTGATTTTTAGCTGCTTTTTCCACTCATGATTTCACCTAGAAGTTAACACTGTATTGTTGTGAAGTTAGCATATGATGAGGGGCCAAATGCATGCTTGCAGTCATTAACCTGAGAATAGCTGAGAAGACCAGGGTCAAGGAAGCAGGTATTGCTTGGCAGTCTGAGTTCATCATGCAAAGCAGGAACGTACTCCCTGGTGAAACTCTATTCCTAAACTTCCACTGCTAGTTCAAAAATCCTCCCAAATTCTGGTTATTCTAGAGTTACAGTATTTACATATTTTTAAAATAGTATTTCTGCATTGTTTTATTACTAAAATACATTAATAAACACTTTTAAAACTGAGAGGTGGGAAGAAATTAGGGAAATGTGGAAATGGCCCCTAAGAAAGGATTTGGGACAAGCATGTGGTTAAGCCACTGCACTCTAGCCTGGGCGACAAAGCAAGACCCTGTTTCAAAAAAAAAAAAAAAAAAAAAGGATATCTTTTGGTTTTCCATTAGTAATACCATTTCCATTTTTTTTCTGCTAGATCATATCGATCAGTGCTTTTCAAATGTATTAATATGAACCCTCAGGACTAACAAAGTATTTTTTATCTCACCTAAAAGTATACAAATATAAACCTAGATACAAACTTTTATTGCTTACAGCCTTTACAGTGCAACCATAAAAAAATTTATACAGCACAAAATCATATTACTGTACCAAAATATTCAAGTTAACAATATTAAGTTTTCACTAGAGATGGTATTTTGCTGCTTTCAATGTGAATATGCCACTCCTGCCTTGCTCATGTTTTTGGAGTTCATTTTGCCTACTGTGAGCTGTGTGAAGACTTTATGCTTTCTTTGTTTTTCTCTTACTGAACTAATGCAAATATGATATACCACAATGTCCTCTGGCCTTCATTTGGCACGAAAAGATCACAATATAACAAGCTATTCTGTTCTTTTCTCACTCAGCAGTATATTATTATATTACCCTGTCACACTATATTGTATTTGTATCAAATAAATGCCTTAACTTAGTAAATAGGAAATTAAGTCTTATTCTATGAAAAATGTCTTTCAGCTGTCACTCATCACTGCAAAAAAGGTTCTGCTTTATATCTACTGGTATACTAGTAAATATGGAATGATTGTTGTTTATTCTGACTTAAAACATTTTTTTTAGTTTTCAATTTTATGTATTAATAGAGGCAAGGGCTCACTATGTTGCTTAGGCTAGTCTTGAACTCCTGGGCTCAAGCAATCCTCCTACCTCAGACTCCTGAGTTGTTGGGATCACGAGTGTGAACCACCACACTTGGCTAATTGTGACATTTGGACAACCCAATATAACTATAATCAGATCTCTTGTCAATACATAAAATGAATTATGCACTACCAAGGTTGTTGTAAAAACTGCTACAAAGGTGGCACTGAAATTTCATGCTAATAGAAAGTTAAAGTATAGTTATGAAGATAATGCAGAAATATGTGTATGCTAATTTCTAAAATGATCATTGGAATAAAGACACCGAGATACAGAGAAAAGTCACAGATCCCCAAGAATATGTACATATTGAGGCTTGGTATGAGAAAAACTGATCCTATGTCATAGAAATGAAATGGTTTATTAAAGTTTTAAAACAAAATGAAATGCTTGAATGAACAGGCATTCATTTAATGCTGCTTTAGTCTCTCTCTTTTTTTTGACACAGGGTCTTGTTCTGTCACCCAGGCTGGAATGCAGTGGTGCAATTATGGCTCACTGCAACCTTGACTTCCAAGGCTCTAGTGACCCTCCCATCTCAGCCTCCCAAGTAACTGGAACCACAGGCACATAACACTATGCCCGGCTAATTTTTGCATTTTTGGTTAGAGATGGGGTTTCACCATGTTGCCCAGGCTGGTCTCAAACTCCTGAGCTCAAGTAATCTACGTGCCTTGGCCTCCCAAAGTGTTGGGGTTATAGGTGTGAGCCACTTTTTTGAGACCAAGTCTTGTTCTGTCACCCAGGCTGGAGTGCGATCTTGGCTCACTGCAACCTCTGCCTCCTGGATTCAAGTGATTATCCTGCCTCAACCTCTTGAATAACTGGGATTACAGGTGTCCACAACCACACCCAGCTAATTTTTGTGTTTTTAGTAGAGACCGTGTTTCACCATGTTGGCCACGCTGGTCGCGACTCCTGACCTCGTGATCCGCCCGCCTCGGCGTCCCAAAGTGTTGGGATTACATGTGTGAGCCACCATGCCTGGCCTTTTTTTTTTCTTTTTAAAAAGAGATGAGGTCTCACTGTGTTGTCCAGGCAGGATTCAACTCTGGGCTGAAGCCCCCCATACCACACCTTAGCTTCCAAAGTAACTGGGAATACAAGGTGAGTGCCACTGTGCCTCGCTATATTTTAGTCTCTTTTGAAAAAACTACAGATTTGTATCACTTACTTCAATGCATGGCATTCTCCCAGAAAAATTAGCAGCTGTATAGCCAAATGTGACATTTGCTATCAGCTTAAGTCCCAACTGACGTGCATCAAGCATTCGTGACAGGGCTCTGTCTTGCTTGTAAGCCTTCATTGACTGCTTCACCATAAATCTAGTCTTCAAAATTTCTTCAAGCATTCTTGGTAGTACACCTTTTCTTACTGAAGGCTATCATAAAGAAAAAAAAAATGTTTAAAACCCCTCAAACATTATAGATTTATATAATTAAGAAGGAAGCATAAAATATAATAATGGCCAACTGTCATGAATTGAAACATGCTAACAATAGAGTGACCATAGTATTAGTGGCCGTCAATATAAAATCATCACATTTTATTTCTTGGAAGAGTATTTTTCTCCTAAATGGTTCCTGCAATGTTTATAAATCTAATAGAGCACTTCCATGTGAGTTCAGAGACCTCCAGGGAGGAGGATGTCAACTAGTGCATAAGTGACCATACAACAAGTTCAGAGGGAAATTTTGTTCAAAACTTTGACAGAAACCCCCATTCTTTCAAAACGACAGATGGGACTTGTATCACTCATAACCAACTCAGTTTTTAAAGATCTCATCCTAATGACCCCACACAGAAATCTGCATGGAACTCCATTTATCTACCTTGGAAGAATGATGAGCTGGGTTGACTCTGCTGACATTCAAACCTGCAGTTCCAGGGACTCTAGGTATTTCAAATCTGATGCTTAGACCACTAAGCCATCCCCTCCGGCCTATATTTATTAGCAATCTGGAAGAGGGGATGAATAGTGAGGTGATAAAATTTGTTGATGCCAAAAAAAAAAAAATCATTTGTATTAATCAAGACTAGGGAGAATTTATGAGAACTCCAGTAGGAATGAAAACCACAAAACAGTATTAACTTTGATGATGATTCACAGACACGTGCAAGGTAATGCATGTCGGACCTAGCAACCAAAATCTCAGGTATAGGATCATCACACACCTGAATATTTAAAAAATCCTATTTTTATTAAGCTTTACACACTGGGTCCAAAAGTAGACGCAAGTTTTAAAAAAAGCTGTTAAAGGGAGATAATAAGCTGCCAGATATGCGACAATGAGAACATATTCTAACCTCTAATTCATTTGGTGTACATTTTGAAGCAGCCATAATGTTTTAAGACATAAGATAAAAAGAACAGGGACCAAATTTGCAGAAATGTGATGTGAAAACTGATTTTTATATAAAGACCCATTTAATTAAAAAAAAATCTATTTCCATTTCTCCAAGTAGATCTCATCTACATCAGTCCCTAGAAATACTACATTTTAAAATTTTCCAAAAAGAAACATACCATGAACTCTTCGGTTAAAATTTTCTTCATCTACATTGCTAATTTTAGTTTAGCATTCCCTCTTACTGATAGAGAATGATGCCACTTTTGATATAGTACACCAGAATGAATTTGAGGGCTGGTGGGGTCCCCTCTACCATCAACCACTCTACTGTCTCATGATTCTAGTACAGACTCACTGCTAAGAAAATAGAAAAGGAATGAAGTTGGCATATAAGAGGCAATATAATCTTTTAGATCTCTCTTATTTGTTTTTAATTTATAAAGTTTTCTTTTGTCTCTTTTGAGGGGAGATACAGGAGAGAAAAAAGGGATCCTATTTTTAGTTTGGGTATCTTCTTAAAAATATAATAAATAAGCCTATTACAGTATCATTAATTCTAAGATAGTCTTAATTTAAAATAATGTAGAAGAACAACTAGTAGCATCTACACATTAAAGAAATTTAAATCTCTGTAGGTAATATATTTTGACCATTAAGTTGCTATTTAAGTCGGCCTGGTTCTAATAAAGGGCAGAAGGTATAAGCGTATTGTTTATTTCTTTCAATATTTCATTAACTAAAATTTAACAATTTAAAGATTTAAAACCTAAATTCAAGAAAAATCAAGGTGACTGGTTTGTTCCTGAAGTGATTTCTTAGACGATTCTTGTATCTTTGACTTTTTGAGATAAAATATTCAAGCAAACTTGGTGTTTTTCTTTTCTATTATGTGCCAACAATATCTAAACCATTATCAGCTCTCCACAAGTTAAGCCATAGTTGTTATCTTTCATTTACAAGAGAGTATTACCTTGACAAAAGCTACTCCATTGGGGGACACTGTGATATCATGCCTAACTTGGTAAAGTAAATCTGGAGGTACTCTCAGAGAGGTACAGCCAAATTTGAACTCATCATACCTGTTAAGAAAGAGAATATTAAGCAAACACTTCCTCAAATCATAGAACAGAGATTTTAGGCAATTTAAAAAATATTTCTAACTCCATTAGAAATTCATTTTCAAACATCTAAACGTGAATTCATGTACTTAGTAATATGTTTATTTGCCTCATTACCAAAACCCAAAGCTCTGCCTCCTGGGTTCATGCCATTCTCCTGCCTCAGCCTCCCGAGTAGCTGGGACTACAGGAACCCACCACCATGCCGGGCTAATTTTTTGCATTTTTAGTAGAAACAGGGTTTCACCGTGTTAGCCAGGATGGTCACAATCTCCTGATCTCGTGATCCGCCTGCCTGAACCTCCCAAAGTGCTGGGATTACAGGCGTGAGCCACTGCGTGCGGCCCAATCATCTTATACTAAATTAAATAAAAATTTATTTTTATTGAACATCCCTGTGAACATATTTAAAGAGAAGAATTTAAACCTTAAATAGAAAGAGTGTAAATCTTGTAAATTTTCCAAATTCCTGTTTTTAATAAAAAGACAGGATTACCAATATAATTTCCACAGATGCTTTCTATGAAGGAGTACAGCATATACTAAAACCAACACATGGTCTCCAATACGCAAAAATCAATAAAAAGGAAGACTCCGTATTTCCTACAAATCAAGAAAAGCATCTAATCCTTTGAGAATTTAAAATGTTATTATCAGTTTATGAAATTTAATTTACATTAATCAATAAAACCTACCATTTAATTTTTAAAATCCTGGACTATTTATAAGAAAAATAAAGAGGCGGTCATAGTTGGAGTTACAAGATCATAATCCTCAAACTGTTCCACTGCAAGGTAATTTATATCAACAATTTAACTTTCATTTTAAGAGAGACCATAGTTACATATGGAGTGAAACAGTTGCAAGGCTGATCTATTCCCAATCCTCTTCATGAGTCATCCATCCATGAAGCTGGATTAATCAGACGGTGATCCATGTCAATTAGTAAGACAACTACAATGAATGGATTAGCTGGGATATAGCCCATTTATCTTGCCCATAGGGAAGGTGTCAAGAGCAAAGAGACACTCAGAAAGTGTCTAATTTTAGTAGGAAGTACAAAACACAACATTACTGTAAATGTGAAAAAAACCTTACTTTCCCAAGTTCTCCACATGGCCAAGGCAGGTGGAAAAGCAGTAGTTATATGCAATCACGATGGAAGGATAAAGTGATTGGAAATCCAAAACAAGAACAGAGTTGCTATAGAAGCGGGATTCAGGCTCCATAATTAGAGGAACACACTGTGGGGCTCTCATTTGGGATCTTTGCTGAACACTAGGTGTCACAGGAATATAGTTCATTGGTTTAGCAATACGCAACATCATTGATTCCACACGGTACTGTGGGGAGAAAGGGAGGTGAGAAGAGAAGAAACACAGTTTAAATACATTGGTAATTTGAATATACAATCATTTGAGGATAATCTGCTTTTCAGAATAAGACTGTATGACTTTTTTTTTTTGCAGTCCTAGTTTTTTTTTTTTTTTTTTTTTTTCCGAGACGGTGTTTCACTCTTGTTGCCCAAGTTGGAGTACAACGGTGCGATTTCGGCAATCTGCAACCTCCGCCTCCCGGGTTCAAGCGATTCTCCTACCTCAGCCTGGGATTACAGGCGCACACCACCATGTCCAGCTAATTTTTTGTATTTTTAGTAGAAACAGGGTTTCATCATGTTAGTCAGGCTGGTCTCGAACTCCTGACCTCCCGTGATCTGCCCACCTTGGCCTCCCAAAGTGCTGGGATTATAGGTGTGAGCCACCATGCCCAGCCTGCAATACTAGTTATTTAGTCAGCTTTCAGATGTGAAAAGGGATATATGTAAATCCTTTTCCTATTCCTATGACTTTTATAAAAACTATAAAACATGTCAAATAACTTAAAAGATAAGTCAATTTTAAAGGACAGATGCAATTAGATCTCTTTTTATTTTTATTATTTACTTATTTATTTTGAGATCAAGTCTCGCTCTGTTGTCCAAGCTGGAATGCAACAGCACAATCTCGGCTCACTGCAACCTCCCCCTCCAGGGTTCAAGAGATTCTCCTGTCTCAGCCTCCTGAGTAGCTGGGATTACAGGCTTGCGCCACCACGCCCGGCTACTTTTTGTATTTTTAGTAGAGATGGGGTTTCACCATGTTGGCCGAGGGGGTCTTGAACTCCTGACCTCAAGTGATCCCCCACCTTGGCCTCCTAAACTGCTGGGATTACAGGCATGAGCCACTGTGCCTGGCCCTCTTTATTTACAGTTATACTATAATAAAAAAAGTGCAGGACAGACAGCTGTATAGTTTGACAATTTCATTTAAGAAGTTGGTCAATCATCTTGGAGACATTTATTTGGGAAAATTAAGAGAATGAAAAAGCTGTCATGAGACTTAAGATAGAAAATGTTATCCCAGTTTTTCAAAGAAACAAACAAAATGATTATAGAATTATAAAGTATTGAATGTGGCTTTTGTTGTGGAAATAATTAAAAAATAATAAAAAAAGAACTGAATAGTAATCAGCTTATTACTGGTCCTTAGCAAAACTGAATCAAGCAATTACTGGTATGTTTGTTTCTAATAATAACTATTAAGCAGATGGCCTGGGGTATCAGAAAAAAAAAATTACTCACAAGAATCAGCCTGGGTTCGAAGTATTCTCATGAGGTTTTAAGGTATCTTTGCCTTTTATTACAGGCTAGCTCAAATAGGTGTTAAATTTGATGGGTATAAATAAAATAAATAGCTTATAAACAATTAAATGAAATAAACAGATAAAACTAGCTGGAACTCTATTTTTGCTATATTTACTGAACTGGTTGATTGAGGAATGTTATAGACACAGGTAATTAAAATAATTAAGGATTTTACAAGGTTAAGGAATCTGAGTGTTTTAATATGGTATCCCTGATGCCTACCACAGTGCTTAACAAACTACAGGTATTCAAATACATATTTGTTGAATTAATACATAAAATCATTTTCAGCAAGGTGTTTAGCAAAAATCTCTCATTATATCTTTGGGAAATTACTTAGAAAGATATGAATTAAATAGCTTTTCATGTTTTTTTTTTTAATAACATTTTAAAAAGTTACATAGTCCACTTATATTGATTTTCAAGCTTTTATTTTTATATTAAAATTAACTACGGGAAGTTTTAAGAAGCCAAAATTAAACATGTAAAACAAAAGAAAGGTAGACTTTCTTTGTTGCTTCTCCAGTTTTAAGGGGCATCTTTAATCACAGTAACAATATACAGGAATATAATATCCTTAAGGGCATGGACATTTATTTTCTTAATACCATAAAACACTTGGCAGTGGCTGGAAAGCTGGCATAGAAAGAGAATAAAATAAGATTTTATTACCCAGCTATTGATTAGTTGGTACCAAACAGAAAGTTTAAAAAGTCAAATCACTTCAAATATCATAAAAGTGTATCACTCATACAGAACTTTCAAGTCTGCAAGAAAACTGATTTCCCACCTGTGAACCCCTTGTCAGTACATGTAAAAATTGAATGCCAAAAAGTCTAGCCATCTCACTGGTTTTCCCAATCAGGTCCAGTTGTTCCAACATTTGGAGATTTCCACGGACACGGCTAACATAATGATCAACCATTTTCCATCTGTTAAAAAAGAATCCACATTATGAACATCAGGGAAAAATTTGGACACTTGAAAACAGTACTTTTTTCCTGCCAAAAATCTACATGCTAAAAGTGTGGTTACTTAAGGAAAGTAATGATATAAGCCTTTAAGCCAAGTATGTTAAGGAATAAAACATTAGAAAATTTCAGGTATTTCAAGGGCATAAAAGCCAGGAAAAATAAGCAAAATTTAAAATAGTGCTTGTGATTAGGTGGTAAGATTAAGGATCACTATTTTTTGATATTTTGCTTGATGCTGCTCTATTCTTATTATAGAAAATTAACATTCTCCTTTAAGATACAGCTACCGATTATGCAATAATTATTATCATATCTATAAATTTTTAAAGAACATGAAGGGTCTGGGTTATCATGGTAAATATAAGTCTAAAATAAAAACATGCACTATCTTTTCATGGCAAAAAAAGTAATTTGGTGAAGATTCAGAAAAATCAGTAACATAATTTTTAGTGAGATAATACGTGGGTTAAACATATTTCAAATAATTATTTTTTGTGAAAATATAAAAGTTTTGTTTTTCAGTTTAAACCTTAAAAAATTAACCTCTTTACCTTACCTTCTTAAGAAAATAAACAATAAAGCCCTCAGCAAATCCATAAAATGAATTTTGATATTATAAAATGTAAAAATGATCCAAAAGTATACTATAAGGAATACAATTTATTCATTTGAAGATTAAGGTTCACATATATTGTAATCTTTAATTATATTGCTTTTAGAACAATATAGTCACATAATTGTTCAATAAATGTGTTTAAAAACCTTTTCCTCTGACACATGACTAATGCTTAATAGAAAAACTAGAAAATGAATGTGAAGGAAGAAAAAAAACTCCTATTATAAAAAAGATAATAACAGGTATTAGCAAAAAAGTGGAGAGACTGGAACCCTCATATACTGCTGGTGGGAACATAAAATAGTGTAGTTGCTTGGGAAGATAATTTGCCAGTTCCTCAAATAGTTAAACACAGAGTTACCATATAATCCACCAAAAATTCTACTCCTTGGTATACATCCAAAAGGAATGAAAACAGATATCTACACAAAACACTATATATGAATGTTCCAGTATTAATCATAGTAGCCCAAAGTGGAAACAACCAAAATGTCTATCAACTGATGAAGAAATAAAATGTAGTATATATCGATACAATACAGTATTATTCAGCAATAAAAGAAATACTGAAAGATGCTATAACATGGACAAATTTGGACAGCAATATGCTGAAAGAAGGCAGCCACAAAAGATTACATATTGCGTGATTCTGTTAACATGAAATGTCGAGGATAGTCAAATCTATGGGGACAGAAAGTAGATCAGTGGTTGTCTAAGGCAAGAGGTAGAGGGTGGGGGGACTCTGGTGGAGGGGGTGATAGGAGTGATGAAAGGTTGAAGAGTGGTGGCTACACGATGTAGGATTTCCATTTAGGGTAATTAAAATATTCTAAAACTTACTGTGATGCTGTTGTACAACTTTGAATATGCTAAAACTCAGTGAGTCATATACTTTAAATGGGTGAATTGTATGATATACAAATTTTATCTCAATAAAGCTGTTAAAACATTAGGCAAACATGAAAAAATCCTAAACTCTATAAATAATTGTTTAACAAAATAAACAGAAATTCTGTTTCATAATTTACATTTTTAACTTAATATACTGACTCCCCATATTTGTTTTGTAGCTATCGAGTATGCTATTGTATAATTATAACATATTTAATCGAAACATTTACTGAATATCTTTTATTACTGTAAGCAACGCTGTGATGAACATTTTTAAAGCTAAGTCTTTGTACAGATGATTAAATAATTCCTTAAAATAAATTCCCAGATTTGGTCAGTTTTCAATACCTAGCAATACACTGCTTTCCAGAAAAGTTTTAATAATTTATATTCATACTACTGATGATAAAGTGCTTGTTTCCTTGTATATTTGTCAACAATGAAGATTATAGTTTTTAAAGTTATGAGTTTGATAGACAAAAAATGGTATCACATTTTAATCTGATTTTTTTTTGTTTTAGTAACCCCTCAACAATACAAAACTGCAAAGTGTAAATCTGAAATAATGCATTATATATAAATCAAATCAGTCCCTTTAAAATAAAACAAAATGGATTTAACGGCTCACCACTCCTTTAGGATGTGTGGATTTATCTATGGATAGTGCAGAAAAATGAGATACATTTACACTTTGCCCTCTCAACATATGAACAGAGAGCTGACCTAGAGAAACGTGCCAAATGAGATACCAAAATAGTGAGACACCAACATAATTTCTGAAAATGCCAGGCAGCACACAAGCATTTTGCTGAGATTTGTAAAAGATGAGAAAAGTGTTAAGTCTCAACCAACACAGGTTTAACAGAAGACTTTAAAAAGGTATGTGTTACACAAAACTTATATAAGAATCTGTCTCAACAGATTATCATGCTGACTAGGCATGAATATTTCCTTGAAATCTGTAGGTGGTGATTCAGGAGAAGAGTTACCACTTGAAGTATGTTGATGATAATTTGTTTTGGAAAATGTGTTTTAAAACATACTGGTTTATTTTCATTGTTTACTCCAGCCTAAAGTCCTTTTTTTTTTTTTTTAAATGAGACTGATTTTGCCAATTGGTTTTTGTAATTCATGGTACAATTAAGAACATAATCAGCAGATTAAGAATTCCTTTAGTAAGGTATTTATTAAGGTATTTATACACTGTATATGAGGTAGACATTTGAATATTTCAGGATTTTTTTCCTTTGATAGTTGTTCATGTCTTTTACCCATTTTTTTTTTTACTAATTTAAAAGTATATAATACAGTTAATATACATAACTGTTATGGTGAAAATGGTTTTCCTAGATTGATGTTAGCTTTTTACTTTTGTTGATGTTATTTAATGAGGTACAAAAAGTTTGTTTTTTGGGCAAAAATGGTGAAAGTAAGTCTAAATACTTTGTATACAAAACTAATTAAACTGAATCTTTAAAGGCTCCTGATTTAAGTTATTTGACTAAGATCGACGCCATTTTTTGAGGCAGTATAGTCTATTAGAACTTAAATAAATGGGTATAATAGTATATTTCAAAAGAAATATTTTTACTATACTATATATAACTCTTTTTTTTTTAAAGTGGAAATGGTTTATTTCACATTTTGAAGAATACAATCTAAGAGATTTTCACACATTGGTTGACAGCACAGACTCTGGAGTGAGATAGTCCTAGGTTCAAATTGTGGCTCTGTTGTAAGCTACTATGTGACCCTAGGCAAATCACTTAACTCTCTAGCTCTCAGTTTCAGTATGTGTGAAACAGTGGTAATAATAAGGTTGTTGTAAGGTGTTAGGCAAAAGCAAAAACTTAATAACCTTTGCAGCTATTATTACAATTATGGTAATTACTATTTCATTTCATTCAGAATCTAATTCTCTATCCTGAAAAGAAAGACGTACCAATTAACATTTATTGAGAGACTTCTGTGTGTTCAAGACTCATACTATCTCATTTAATTCTTACTTCACTCCATGAGGTAGAATATATTAACATCTCTCTATTATAGATAAGAGAACAGAGGATTACTGTAAGCCTAATCTGTCCTAGTTTACAAACCTTGTATACTAGAAACTGAGATTTTGGTCAAGTAAATGAAAACATGATGAAAAGAAAACAAGATAATACATTACAAATGAGTAACTATCTTATTAAATTTCTATCACCACAGCAAATTACTCATTTCCTCACTAACAAAAATGGTAGACCATTTTGTGAAATGAATAAGCATTCACTATTTGGTGAAATAAGCATTTCACTAAATGTATTCCTCTCTACTGACTGGTAACCAAGTAATATATACAAATTAGATGCATCTTATCTTTCATAACTAAAGGTTAATTTAACAAGGGACATTTTAGCTTGTATAATTTATCTAGCAGGTAACAACTGCTGTTTTCTGATCTAAATCTGCTGACCCATAGGCATGAACATAAAAAATACTTTGAATGGCTAATTTTTTAAAAAATGCATTTAAAAAGTAGACTTTTTAATTTAAAACAGTGATCTTTCTGAAATAAGATATCATCATTTCTACTTTCGGGTCCTATCTCACTAACCATGTAACACAAAAGAGAAAGAGTAATTGCGGCCTTTACTTATGGTTAAAGGACAAGATAAGACTCTTGTTAGTTTTTAAAATTGTTGTTAAAGAATTATGCCATCCTCTTAATGCTTTGTGAAACTTAAGGGTAATAAATGCAAGTTTTGATCTGGAAAGGAGGAAGGGAAGCATAATTATAAAGCACATGCTACTCAAGATAGGCCTGGGTAGTGTTGAAATGCGAACTTAGAGCATTCTGAAGGCATGGGTACTTTTCAAGATAGTTCATCTGGGGAGAAGGTGACAAAAAAGGAGACAGGAGAATCCCGAGTACAAAATTCACTTATTCTGAAGTTTTTCTGTGGACTGACTCTATTTACAGCAAATATAAAATAAAATTTCTTATATTATCTTCTTCAGCTACACAACTCTGCTCCCAGGACATACCTCTTAGCTCAGAAACTGGAATAGTATTTAATAACTATTCCATGGATGACAGATAAAATCATGCTGGTATTAGGAATTATCTAGATTAGTAATATTAGAGATTAGGAAAAGTTTTATAGGCTGGCTTGGGAATCTAATCACAAGACATTATTTTATGAAAAAATGTGTTCTAAGCTCGAAACAATAAAATGTTGGGAAAATAACTCATTCACATAAATCAGGGGCTTCCAGGAGACCAAAATCTGGGTTTATTAAAAAAAATTAGGGTACCTTTGTGTTTTACAGCTTTAACACAAAAAAATCCTTGACTAGCAAGTTCTTCTCATTCTAAGTCGATTTACAATATATATGTATGTCCTTAAAACACTGTAGAAAGCAAATGCAAATCAAAAGGGGTTACCATACTTACCAAAAAAGTAAGTGATACTTACTTTTTTGTATTCACTTAAAGTTAATATGTATTCATTTAAATTTGTTAGTATTCACTTAAATTTAAGGATGAAGTTGTCTGATATTTCCAAGACTACTCAAAGAAAGAGTGCATGGTCTCTTCGTATAACATAATCCATTTAACATAAATGGTATAATTTCTAGTCTAAGTCCCTTCTATACAATGTTAGTTCCAGTTCTCTAGTTCACTTGCCAAAAACAGTTATCATCCTAGATAATACCTAATTAAAGGTGGTAAAACATGCATTTAGAGACTCCGGGGCTCATAAACAAACCACTGAATATAGTTTTCAATGTTAAGTTAAATATCAAGTTTTATTTATTGGTGTGTAACTTCTCCTCAGCTTTTTTTTTTTTTTTTTTTTGAGATGGAGTCTTGCTGTGTCACCTAGACTGGAGTGGAGTGCAGTGGCGTGATCTTAGCTCACTGCAACCTCTGACTCCTGCTCCCGGGTTCAAGTGATTTTCATGCCTCGGCCTCCGGAGTAGCTGGGATTACAGGTGTGCCTGGCTAATTTTTTGTATTTTTAGTAGAGATGCAGTTTCACCATGTTGGCCAGACTGGTCTCCAACTCCTGACCTCAGGTGATCCACCCACCTCAGCATCCCAAAGCGCTGAAATTACAGGTGTGAGCCACCGCACTTGGCCAACTTCTCAGCTTCTATTTCTATAAGGCTTTGATAGAAGCTAAGTGCTCTCTGTTACTTCACTTCACTTCTCTGAGATTCCTCAAAAGGGATTGGATGACATGCTCAGGAAGCAGTTTCCCCAGATATTACCAAGCTGTTTTCAAAGATATACTTTTTCCATCCTCACCACCACACAGCCTTACAATTCAGTAAGTACAGTTGATTCATTTAAAAAATCAGACACATTAATTTCAGGACTTTTCCTACATACAGTGCAGTGTGCCAGAGTCTATACAGAGCAAGGCTGTCCTACTAAGCCAAAGATGAAGAGCTCAGAGTTCATTTAGGCAGCTCACAGGTAGAGTCTGTGGGATGGAGTATGAGAGAGAAAGGGAGTTGTGCAAGTGGCAGGAGTTGGGGGGTCAGAAGTACAGGTGGATTCCCTGTGAGTGACAGCTCAAGGCTGTCCTGAAAACCAGCAGGATGAAACCACATGAGGCTGAATAGAGAGCAGCTCACTGGGGGTTAAGTGTGGGCAGAAATGGTCAGATAGTGCTGGGGTTGGAAGCTCACCAATGCCAGAGTGGAGACCTCATCACCCTCTTGTTAACAACCTTGGCATTCAGTTGTGAGCCTAGGAAAAACAGACGCCTTTGCCCTACAGAAAGGCCTACTCTAGATAAAACTTAAAACCAAATGCTGACAATATGTACAGATGACAGAGTTTGGAGATTGAATCCCACATCAAGTTGGAGAAGCTTAGGAACACCTTGGGCCTGGTATACTTACCTGTTCCAACCATAGGCTTTGAACTAAATAATAAGCAACTGGAAAAGTGGCAGGAAAACTTCCTGTCATAGATTCCAGGCAAAGGAATAGTATCATTGAGAAAGGAGCAGAAGAAAATGCTATCTGCCCCAGGGGGAGGTCAGGAAGTTTACTTGGGCCCAGGACCTGGCAGTGGTACAAAGCAGAGGTCTGTTGCCACTGTGGGAAGAGCAGGAGTGCTGAGCAAACCCCAGAAGAACAGGAAGAACCAAAGACTGAGGTTAGACAGGAGAACTGAGAAACTCCCCCTGCCTCCACTATAAACCTTGCAGAGAGTCATAAGCAACATCGGTCAACCACTCAGTAAATCTGACTTTGGAAAGAAAATGAATCACAAATACTAGAAAAATGAGAATAACTGTTGACTTCTCATCAGCAAAAAGAGAGGCTGGAAGAAAAGGGAACAAAATCTTTAGAGTGGTGAAAGAAAAAAACGCAACTGAGACTGAGAAATTATCCTTCAAAAATAAGGGTGAAATAAAGACATTTTCATACAAACAAGGGCTGAGATAATTTTTGCCGACAGACTTGCCAAAGAAAACAGATTAAGTTTCTTAAAATATTAACACACAATAGCCATATGACCCAGCAATTCTATTCCTAAGACATATGAAAATGTATGTTCACACGATGACATTATGCAGATATTTATTGCAGTTTTATTCATAATAGCCTCAAACTAGAAACAACCCAAATGTCCATCAACAGGTGAGTGGGTAAGTTCTATTCATATAATTGAATACTATCTAACAATAAGAATGAACAAACTATGCAACAGGGTAAATCCCAGAAAACAGTATGTTTTCTGAGTTTCTTCAAAGCCAAGGTTGATTATGAATATTTCCATTAATATGAAGTTCTAGAATTGGCAAAACTAATCTAGAGTAATAGAAATCCAATTAGTAATTATCTAGATGATTAGGGAATCTTCTGGGTGTCAGATATGCTCCTTATCTTGACTGGAGGAATGATTACAAGATAAATGCATTTTTCAAAGTCATTGAACAATACACTTCATTTATTTATATATTTTTTGAGACGAGTCTCACTCTGTCGCCCAGGCTGGAGGGCAGAGGCACGATCTCGGCTCACTGCAACCTCTGCCTCCCAGGTTCAAGTGATTCTCCTACCTTAGCCTCCTGAGTAGCTGGGATTACAGGCATGCATCACCACACCTGGCCAATTTTTGTATTTTTAGTAGAGACGCGATTTTGCCATGTTGACCAGGCTGGTCTTGAACCCCTGATGTCAGGTGATATGCCCGCCTCGGCCTCCCAACGTGCTAGGATTACAGGTGTAAGCCACCACAACCGGCCTGAACAATACACTTTAAATGTGTGTATTTTATTACATATAAATTACATCTCAATGATGATTTTATATTATCTTCTTCAGAGTTATAAAATAGTACCTGTAGAGATCTGTCTTGTTATCAAACCAATCTGACAAGACTCGAAAGGTAAAGAGGGGAAAACGCTGATGAAGAACATGAAAGCTCACATTTTCAAAGGTGTAGTTAGTTAGAGCCACCTAAAACAAAAAGGCAAGACATCATTATAATAATGCTTACGTTTATGTAGCAAATTTTGTTCTAAAAGATACCAATATCACTTTAACCTTTTCATAGTAGATATTAAAGCTACTTGTAAAATTGATGTGTGGTATAACTGAATCATAATTCAAAACTATGTAGAGCCTACTGGACAGAAATGTTCATAACAAATTGGAAAATTAATTAGAGAAAACAGACCTGATGAGATTCAACTTGGTCATATAAGACTTATTTTAAGAGATCCTAGTTCTTATCATTTTTATACTCTATGATAATATGCATATTGACAGAAGCATTGTCAAGCAAATTAATTTTTTGTTCTTTCCATACTTACTTTTTGGTTCTTGATGACATGCTGATTAATGGGATTCCACAGATTTGAGGATAAGTTATCTAGTTAAAGGCAGGCATTCTCCTCCCAATAATTACGTTACTAGACCCCACTACACAGGCATTATTATAGAGACACTCAATTTCATTCCAAAAGCAAAATATTAAAATGTCAGAAATGTCTCCCCATCTTCAAAATATATAAATGAAAGCTGTGTTAATGGGTAAAAGATCCTGCAAAAGGGCCCAAATTAATAAATATGTACTTTCAGCTAGATGATTTCTCTGAAATATCTACAAGACAAAAGCAATCTAGACAATGGCAGGTATTTCAATGCAAAATGGAAATTAAGGAACCAGTGGTCTCCATTCTTAGGTCAATTTGGGATTCTGAGAAATAGTTCAAACAGCACTTCACAATTGTATATTACAATTTTAAATTACTTTCTTTTCCACTCCTGTGATCCAGGAGGTACAAAATAGGGACTGAATGTTAATCTTATCTCAGTGCAGTGACCCAAATTGGTCTTACTTTATCTACAATTTCTGTCAATCTTCAGAACAATAGCAGTACAATGCAGCATACTTCACAGTGTGTGCATGTACTTGTGTATGTATACATATACACAGATGCCCCTCATAGGTTGTAAAAAGGTAGAGAGTAATAGAATGAGGAAAATGCCACAAGATTAAATGAGGAAGGATTATAAAATCACTAACAGAATGAAAAAACCCATATTGAAAGAAGATAATAGCAGAATAGTTCTACTAAAAGTCAAGTTAGGAATATGGAAATGTCTCAACATGCAGATAAAGAGAATGAAAAGATGAAAATGAGAAGAGGGAAGATACGGGGAACAGAGAACAGAATGTTAATATATAATTAGGTTCCTAAAGGAAAGCTTAATATGGAGACAGGAGCAATAATCAAAGATATAATTAGCTGGACCTTAGATTTCTCCTCTGCCGTACTACATTCCAGAGGTGAATGGCACTATATCTATTTGAATTTTAAAGGAAAAAGACCGCTGTTACTTTATATGCAGTAAGTGTAACAATTATGTGGGAAGAAACCAAAGATACTCCTTGACTCCTCGAACTCCTCTTCTCTAACGATTTTGTCCTCCATTCTACCTAAGCTACCCACTTCCATAATCATACCCCAGGATCTATCAACAGGTGTACTCCCTCCAAAATCTCATGCATCCCATTCTCCGACCATCATCTCCTGTGCTTCCAGCTTACTCCCCTTGGTGCTCTGACCTCTCTGCTCCTTATTTAGTTTAAATTTCATAGTCATTCATGGTAATCATTCCCCTGCATGTACCATTCATTCCCTTGTCCCTCTCCTGCTGCTGCTGCTGCTGCTTTTTATTTTTTTAAAGTAAATCCATAACCATTTGTGAGTGATGGTCAAATCTAACTTGAATCTGTGAATTTAAACATAGCTGGTGGGTATATCACTTTAATTTCCTAACCCAAATATCAAATAGACTCTTAATGTGGCCCAGTGTTTATATTTTCTCTCAAATTCTCCTAATAACCATTTCAAACTTCTCTCTTCTCAAACCCCAAAAGCCTCTCCACAATTCTCAGTTTCAGCTAAGAACAGTAACTGCTATTCTACTGAGAAAATGAATCACAAGAGAACTTCCACAGATTCTCACTGCCATATCTCTACCTACCAACATCCATACCCATATATTCTGCCTTCCTGTCTGTTACTATACTCTTACTTTATCTAAACCCAGGCCCTTCAACCAGTGCACTAGAGATGGCAATCAGTAAATATTTGTTGAATTGAATCAAGTCTGTTTCCAACTCACTTGGCAAATTCTTGAAAAGCCTAGATTGAGTTGACATCCAGAAGGCCTCTAAATGTAATTGTCTGGGGAAGAGCCATTTATTGTCATTTAAGCAGTCAACAAATATCTAATAAAGATTACTATTTAAGAGGTATTTTGTTTTGTCACTACAAATTCAAAGTCCATAAGGAAACTGCAGGAGTTCTATGTTCAAAGTAAAGCAGGAAAAATAAATCTAGTACCTGTATATTAAAAAACAAACAAAATTTATTATTACTATTATTTTAAGAGATGGGGTCCTGCTTTAGCTCCCAGGCTAGAGTACAGTGGCTATTCACAGGCATAATAAATAGTACACTACAGCCTTGAATTCCTAACCCCAAAACGTCCTCCCATGTGAGTCTCCTAAGTAGCTGGGACTATACGTGTGTGCCACTGTACCCAGTTCCAAATTTTATAAAACAGGTAAATTATCCAGCTCATAACTTTCTTATAGTTGTTTCCCACATTTGTATAAAGATCAGAGATATTATATATTCATCCTAAATAAGAAAACATTTGACCCTGAATTTTCAGTGAGGACTAGACAAGGCCCTAAACTTTGAAAAAAATATATGTTCTCTAATTTCCGATTTTAAGCTACTAGTGGATATACAGGGATGAAAAGACCCCTGAAACTAGGATTCAATAATTTACTTTTGTGTTTATACACTTAAAGTATGTGTTCATCTCAAGCAATATCAGACTATAGATTAAAATACATAGTGAGGCCGGGGCAGTAGCTCACGCCCGTAATCCCAGCATTTTGGGAGGCCGAGGTGGGCGGATCACTTGAAGTCAGGAGTTTGTGACCAGGCTGGCCAACAAGGAAAAACCCCGTCTCTACTAAAAATACAAAAATTAGCCAGGTGTGGTTCAGGCACCTGTAATCCTAGCTACTCGGGAGGCTGAGACAGGAGAATCGCTTGAACCCGGGAGGCGGAGGTTGTAGTGAGCCGAGACTGTACCACTGCACTCCACCCTGGGTGACAAAGCGAGACTCCATCTCAAAAACAAATCAAATTAAAAAAAAAAAAAATATATATATATATAATGAAATATACACACCAAATACATTACAATCTCTGTATCTCCTATATCCTGTGCTGTATCACTAGAAATTACTTTAAATCATTGGGGACTTACACTCTTATTACTTTAAGAACAACACAACAAGATAAAATTATTCTCAAGCAGAGTCATGTTGTATATTGCATACGGCAGCTTAGAAAGTCAAATGTTTTATATAAATCCAAAGAGCTAAGAAGACAATAGTGAATAATAAGTATATAATAGAAAGTGTCTAATGAGAAAGTAATTTCAAAGAGCAGAAGCAATTGTAGAATTAGCTTTCTTTGAAATATAAACATTTTAGTTGATACTATCCAAAGTCCAAAGTGTAAGAATAGACCAATTTATACTAGGTATCTTTGTTTCTGTTTTGTCTTTTTTGAGATAGGCTCTAGCTCTGTCGCCCAGGCTGAAGTGTGGTGGTGTAATCTCAGTTCACTGCAACACTGCCTCTGAGGTGTAATATTACAGTGCACTGCAGCCTTGAATTCCTGGCCTCAAAAGGTCCTCCTGGCTGAGTCTCCTGATAAGCTGGGACTATATGTGTGTGCCATTGGCTCTCAGGATCAAGTGATCCTCCCACCTCAGCCTTCCAAGTAGCTGTTGCCTGGCTACACACTAGGCACACGCTACCATACATGGCTAACTTGTATTTTTTGGTAAAGATGGGGTTTTGCTGTGTTGCCCAGCCTAGTCTCAAATCCTGGACTCAAGTGATCCACCCTACTTGGCCTCCCAAAGTGCTAGGATTACAGGTATGAGCCACCATGCCCAACCTAATTATTTATTTTTTATTTTTAATAGAGACAAGGTCTCGCTATGTTACCCAGGATGGTCTTGATTGAACACCTGGCCTCAAGCTAACCCCTCCTGCCTTGGCCTCCCAAAGAGTTGGAATTATAGGTGTGAGCCACCTTTACACTTCAAATAAGAGAAATTGGGTAACTTCAAGGATGCAAATATTATCCAGGAAAATTCCATGATCTTACTTTTTTTGTGTGAAATAATTCCTTTTTTAAGTGAATGCAAATTAATGTGATAGTTCATTGAAATTACTCTACTAAAAATCCTTATCTGAGCCCCCAAAGCCTTAATTATTAACTATTTCAAAGTACTGTCTCTTTAATTTATCTTATTAATCTGACCCAGTATTTAAATATAGTTCGTTTGAGAAGCTCCTTCCTATTTCTTGACTAAATTTTTCTTACTATAATAAATCAACGAGGCCAAGCTGAATTCATCCGGCTTTAAGTGCAAAAATGATTTAAGTGAAAAAAAACAAAACAAAACGGTGAAATTAGACAATATTCAACGTGTACAACACAATATTTTATTTTATTTTGAGACAGGGTCTCGATCTGTCACCCAGGCTTGAGTGCAGTGGCATGATCACGGCTCACTGCAATCTTAGCTGCCTGAGCTCAAATGGTTCTCCCACCTCAGCCTCCCAAGTAGCTGGGACCATAGGCATGTGCCTCCACATCCAGCAAATTTTTTTAGCTATTATTTGTAGAGACAGGGTTTTGCCATATTGCTCAGGCTGGTCTGGAACTCCTGAGCTCAAGGGATGCCCCTGCCTGGGCCTCCCAAAGTGCTGAGATTACAGGTGTGAGCACCGTGCCTGGCCCCAATATTTTATTATAGTTTAGACCTTTCTAATTATTGCTACCTCAGACACAAAGAAAAAAAAAATAAAACTCACCTGAAACATTAAAGTTTAATACCTCTGTAGTTTTGCATTTTAGAAAGTACTACTTTAACTCTACTTAAGTATAATAGTAATTGACAAACGCATAAGCTATATAGTAAATCTTACTAATACTCTATAATGATTAAATCATTATATTGACTGAATATCTTATTTCCAAACAACATTTTGGATAAATCACCTACCTCATTTCTCATGATTCTCCAAAGATTTAGTGTAATTCGGCCAACAATATTTATCTCACTCATTGTATATGATCCATACTCATCTCTTTCAGCTGCAAATCTGTTCTCAATTTTGTCATCTATAGAAATTAAAACAGATTGTATCAGGGCTCACAGAAAACAACTTTCAATAAAATTATGCCAAGGAAAATGAGAATAAACATTAAGGATGAATATTAAAGATGACATATAATTCACAATGTATGAAAAAATTTTGTTTACCTGAAGTCTCTCCCTCCCTCCTTCTTTCTATATTTAAATAAGAAACACTTTTTTCTTTAAATTTAGTAATTTTTGGCACTACCTTTTTTCTTCATTTTTTAAAAGAGACAACTCACTATGTTGCCAGGTTGAGTGCAGTGGCTAGCCACAGGTGCAATCATAGCACCCTGCAGCCTCAAACTCCTGGCCACAAGCAATCCGCCTGCCTCAGCTGCTCGAACAGCTGGGACTACAGGTGCATCATGCCTTGCCTGACGCTACCTTTATAAACACCTAATGCTAACATTTGCTTAGTTTTAGCATGAGAAAGGTCCATAGTTAATCTGGTAATTTCTTGGAAAAAAAATCAGTTAAATTTTTAACCTAAACGATTCTCTGAAAATTTGTTGACATCATGTTCATATTCAGGATGAAATTCTCTTGAATGCCTATGGAGAACTAGAAGAAGGCATATGGAGAATTAGATGAAGAGTTCCTCATAGCAAATAGAGTTCTGAGTCTAGTTTCTTAGGAGGTGAATTTTACCTAGAATATAAATTAAAATGTGTCTCTCCTATATAACACTAGGTGTATGTGAATGTTGATGATTAAAGGTTCCAGAATAATAAAAATATTTACCATATTGAATATTTATTATGTTCTAAGAATTTTGCCAACATCATTTATTTTAATACAAACATTACTTCCTTTAACACAACCACTTAAAAAGTAAAATTTTCATTTTGTATTACAGAAAATTCTACTCAGAAATGTTATATCTTGCCCAAGATCTTACAGTAAGAAAACTAGTATTCTAAACTAGGATTACCTGAATCAAAAGACCATGTACAACCACCCAATTCTCTTTCTTTTAAAGAGATAATGTTTAAAAGTTTGTTTTTCATTTAGCAAACAATAAAACATATACTCTGGTACTGTTTTAAGTTCCTCACAATCACCCTATGAAATAAGTTCTACTGTCCCTATTTTACAGATGAATAAATTGAGGCAAGGATATTTAAAACCTATCCCAAAAAAGATGTTGAAAAAAAAAGATATACCACTATTCCTATCATGCAAAGGACACACAAGCTACACAAAAATTCATGCAATGAAAAGCTAAACTTAAAGCATCTCTGTCCCCCGCTCCCTTTTTGTCTTGTTCTATTGCCCAAGCTTGGGTGCAGTGGTGTGATCATAGCTCACTGCAGCCTTGAACTCCTGGGCTCAAGCGACTGCCTCACCTCAGTCTCCTGAGTAGCTGGGACTACAGGCACATGCTATCACACCCTTTTTTTTTTTTTTTTTTTTTGGTAGAAATGGGGTCTCACTTTGTTACCTGGGCTACTTTTGAACTCCAGGGCTCAAGCAAGTCTCCCATCTTGAGCTCCCAAAGTGTTGGGATTACAGGTGTGAGCCACTGCACCTGATCTTTTTATTCCAATTTTTTGCAAAGTTAAAAAACTTTACTGTCCTGGAATCTTCCAGCTTTAACTTTTCCCAAGTATACACTACTTTGTTTTAGTTAGACTTGTGGGAACCCTTGGGAACAAATTTATTAAAAATCCCAGGTTTATAAAGAAAACCTAGTTTTAAAAAATGCATTATAAACTACAAATAATTTTGGTATGAATATTATTACTCCCTTTTCCAGTCAGAATCAAACTTTGGGGAATGGGTTTCAAAATTTCTGCAATATTTTTAGCCTGATATCCAAATAAAAATCAATGATTAGTTAACTATTAGTGTTCCTCAACCCATCCTGCCCTTCTTCACCAACAAAATGAATTAAAAAAAAAAACAGAGCCAGGCACACAATAAAATTATGGTACAAGTCAAAGAAATGCTATGTAGCTTCATAATAATTATGAAGACTATTTCATAATGCAGAAAAAATATGTGTGGTAAGACACTAGATAAAGGAAGCATAATAAAAATGGAATATATGGTATGATTATTTAAAAACCACTACATATGTATATGAAAATTGACTGAAAGGAAAAAACTCAACAACTATACTAACAGTATATATAGCAGTGAGACTAGAATATTTTTATTTTATTTTTAATTTTTTCTGCAATGGAGTTATGCTGTATCTAAAACACAACTTAATACTTAAAAATTGGGCTAGAACGTAAGTACCCTTTAACATTTTGTCTTTATTTCCTTTATAATTTGCTCTGTAGTTGAATGACAACACATTCACAATGATACAGACCTGGCACCCGAGAGATCATCTGACATAAGTCAACACTTAAAGCGGCAGCCCTTTGTAAGAGGTAACCCCAGGAATGCATCTGAATCTCATATCCTAGCAGAATATCAGGATCATACCTAAAACAGGAATTAAAAAGTTATATAAGTACCATACATTTGAACCTTTAACCAGAGTAATTGTTTCTTCATGATGTAAGGTATGAAAATAAAAACCTGTGTTCTCTAATGGTTCCCAGATTGAGAAGGGATGATACAGTGGTACCTACAGAGTTTTTATACAGGAAGAGATGGAGGGTTAAGAGTACTTGATTTGAAGCTACTTTGTTTCTTTTATTTTTTTGAGATGGAGTCTCACTCTGCTGTCCAGGCTGGATTGCAGTGGCATGATGTTAGCTCACTGCAACCTCTGCTTCCCAGGTTCAAACGATTCTCCTGCCTCAGCTTCCTAAGCAGCTGGGATTACAGGTGCCCCACACCAAGTCCAGCTAATTTTTTGTATTTTTAGTAGAGCCGAGGTTTCACCACGTTGGTCAGGTTGGTCTCAAATTCCTGACCTCCAGTGATCTGCCTGCCTCAGCCTCCCAAAGTGCTGGGATTATAGGCAATTTGATGCTACTTTTGTAAAGTAAGCAGAGTTTTTACTTAGACTGTGTATTTGTTTGATACAAGTGGGAAAAGAGGCTGATGGAAATTGGGGTGGAAGGCAGGCCATTACCACCGAAGTATATGAGTAAAGGTACAAGTGAGAATATAATGTGGGCAGGGGAAGGTGAAGTGTGAGGGTGTATGTGGGTATGGTATTTTGAAAAAGATCCCTAGGTCATTCCTGTTGTCACTTATCTACCCTTGTAATCTATACCACCCTTAAAGTTTTAATGCTGAGAAAAAAAAATGAAAATGCCTTCTTTTTCTCACTTAATTTTAGTAATGACTTGGTTCTCATACAAAATAAGGCCTAAGTAATGACAAGTTTGTCCTTTAAATTTAAAAGGATGGTGATTCAACTTAATGGAAGAATAAAATATTAATAGAGGTGGGATTAAGGTGGGGAAGGTAAACATCAGAATCTAGAAGAAAAATGTGCTCCTTGTGGTCAGAGCTGCACTGGCAAAACGGAACCGACAACCTGTGTCTAATCCAGAAGGAGCCTCTTTGTGGCTCCTCTTAGGACCTCCATGTTGTGACCACCAGAGAGAAATGTTTAGTTATAAATATGAAAATTTATCTTGAGTGGAAAATTGTGTGGGGGAGAGAGGAACTAATTATAAGTTTTGAGAGCAAAAACTACAGTAAGTAGCTCTATCAATTAGTAGCATTATCTTGTTCTTTATAAATGCCAAAAGGCCAAGTGAAATATCACAGAAATTGAAATCGTTGAGTTTTACACAACTACTCATGAAACACTAAATTGTGAGATGTGTAGCCTGTCCAATTTAAAGCATTTAATACCCTAAGCCTCAGCCAATGTCTACAGTATTAGACTACATTAATTTACTGATATAAGCTATCTATGGCTACTCTGCAAGTCTGGCATAACAATGGATCATGACCAGAACACCAGATCTGCTTTTAGAACCAATATGTTAATGTTTTATCATAATTCCATAGCTGTCTTCTAAAAATGGGTATTGAATGGCTTTCGTTTTTACCTAGTCAATAAAAATTGGAATGTCACAATAAATGTTTTCTGATTTTTAATTCTGGAGTATTTAAGTGGCTGATGTCAAAAGAACTAGGTTCAAACTTCTGCAACAGCATACTTGCAAATTTCCTATTCCCTAAAGGCCCTATGAAAGTACATTCTGTAGTAAAAATTTTAATTTTCTGGTGATCTGTTCATGATCCACTGTTATCCACAGACTTGCTGAGCAGTCTTCAAGCTTGTTAGGAGAAAAAGATATTAAACATATTACTTATGTGCTTTTCTCTACATAAATAGGATTGACATTTCTGAGAAAATGGCTTAATTTAATAAACAGCTATTGAAGCAAGGCAATAAGCAACAATGGCATGAATATCCAGAAAGATCCCAGGGCACTCAAGGAAGGAGAAATATCCCAATACTCTTTCTGTTTAGTCTTCCAACATAACACCCAAACCCTTAACCAACTCTTTGATACTGCCTTCATCTCTTTCATTAAACTCTTCTTAGTCCAAAGATAGACTATCTACTTGTCCAGTGTGTCTCCCTTTAAAACTAACTGTGTAATGAATGGCTACATTTGAGAATTGGGGCAGAAGTATCAAGTGGCTCTAAGGATCACCAGGGGTCGCAGACCTGAAGAATTCTCATACGCACACAACAGAACCCACACAGTTGTCTGCTAAGTACTCAGAGTGGCTCAGAACAGGCATTACAATGTGGCCACAGTTGACCTTGATCTTAATAATTTGGAAGATTCCTGGAATGCCTATCACATGGTTACCTATCACACATCACATAGTTATATATCACATAGTTACACAGTTACAACATGAAGAGGATGCCAGATGATTACACAGCCCTTCTGTTTTAAACGTTATAGTTCTTCTAATTTCTTCATCTGAATCGTTCTCATTTATGCAACATCTTGTTATTGCAAGAACTTATTCCAGTCAGCTGTTTGTTCTGTTGTGGCAACTAATGGAGCTGACTAAGTACACTTTTTTCCAAAAAATAATGCATTGAAAATAACTGTTTCAATTAAAAAGTTGTCTATTTTTATAAACTGCTACAGCTCAGAAATGACTGCTGAAAAAAGTTAGCCTGTGCTTCTCTTCTTAGATTTATTTCACAGATTTTGTCCCTTTGGAAGAACTGTAAAGTTGTTTCAGGCATATTTTTCAGATATATTACATATATTTATTTTTTGACCTGGAGGCTGTTTAGTCTTAAGAGACTCTTTTAAAGCTGATAAAACACCTGTTTTCAAGTTCAAAAGCCAAAGGATTCCATTCTTCTTCTCTAAAAACATTTGGAGTGAATAACAAGGTCTTGACTTGTTCTTCAATTTCTAGTGGGTTTTATTCATTCTATCAGGTTTCTGAAAGTTACAGAAAGAACAAGGTTGGGTAGTTGGGATTAGTGGTGAACACAACCCAAAACTGTGGATAAAATAGAAGCAGAAGAAATAGGAAAATGGTTTTATTTGCTTAGGTGGAAAAAAGATGCCTCACAGTATTTTAAGCCACTCACTACCATCTACACACATGATAGATAAGGGTACTCAGTAGAGGCAAGGGGCACGGAGGGGAAGGAATCATCTTGAAAAAGAATTCTGAGGTTAAATGGATATGATGTAAAATAAATGTAACAGTATTTAGGGAAGAGGAAAAGGGAAGAATCATAGTTTATATTTAAGTTAGGGAGACCGGGCAAAGTAAATAGTCCAAGGAAATACAGAAAGAGGAAAACGATTGTGACAAGATTATAGATTAAGTTTTGCTTGTTTAATATCACTTTATATTACTTTTTGTGTTTGCCACTTGAGAAAGTATTAAAAATGGAAAAATAAAGATATATTTTATTCGTTTTTATAGTATACCTAGCACTGCCCCTTACACACAGTTAACATTTATGTACTCACTAAGTACCAGACATGAGTTTAAGAGTTTTATGTGCATTATCTACCCATCTTACAGATTAGGAAAACAAAGTTGAGAGAGTTAAGCAACTTATTCAAGACAGAAACACAGGGCTGGCTGACTCCAAAGGCTGTGTTGAGTAAGTACACAACAAATAGTGTGAAAGAATGAAATAATCAATCTTTTTGCAGGGTTGCTTGGACTAATATATAAAGAACACTATAGAATTGAAAAGTTGACATTTAAACATTTTCCTTTTTATGACAGTTTTGTTTACCCCTTTTTCCTTAATTACTAGTACATTTCATTTTATGGACATTTAAGAAAGTTGTACTTGCAAATGACTGACACATTTCTCGATGCTGGTAGGTAATCCTATCGCTGGGAATATACCTAACAAGGAAAAGGCAAGCATATAAGTCCAGGGATGTTACTGGACATGTGCTGGTACACAAAATAGTATTGACTGAAACTCTTACATATTTCTTTTTCTGAGTTGCTTGCAGAAATAAAAGAAGTGTGGATACTGAAAGCATCTGACATGTTGATGACAACCTCTGTGAGAAGATAAAAGGTAGGACTGACAATGACGAAACTCAAATAGATGGGACTCTATCTAGTCACCAGTGCTATAAATAGTAAAAATACTTTACTCTTTTTTCCTTCATAGTCATGGGTAGTAGCATACTATTTTTGATGCTCTGTCATTTAATTTTGTTTTGTAGAAAACACGTTTTGGTTTTCTAATTCTCAGAATGGTTTACGTTAACTCATCTGGGAATCAATCTGATGACAAGTCTGTAGAATATCATCTTAATCTTTTGTGTAGAACACTGATTTAGTTTTTATAGGATAAAGTTCAACTATACAAGCAAAACAAAAAAGGGTGAGTATAACAACATGCTCATGGACAGCTTTTATCTGTACATCAGGATCCAAAGGGTGTTTTCTATCTTGCTTTAGACATCTAAAAACCTAAACCTAGCAATGGGCAGAATCCTTAAGTTTCTACAAAGTGAAGCATTTAATAACAGAGTCTATGGCTACCAAGAGTTACACTCTTGAGAAAATGCAAATGATCCACTTAATGATTTTATTTTTAAATTAAAATATTTTTGTTAAAATTCTTTTCATAAGCTTGGACAAGATTCTACTATCAATCTGAGGACCAACTACCAAATGGTCAAAAGAAGATTTTTAAGGAGCTCTGTGCACAAGAGTATGTAATAGACAGTTCAACATTTATTAACAGATAAATTTATACGCAGAATGCATCCCAAAGGTTTTTGAAGAGATTGGCTTGTTTAGAACTCAGAAAACTTTAAAAAAGAAAAACAAAACAAAACAAAAAAGGTACTGAAATGGTGGCTGGCTCCTAAGGTAGAAACCTAGTTAATGAATAATACAATGGAACTTTATACAGTTCTCCATTATTTCAGCACTATAGAAAAACAAACCTCAAGAACACCTGGGAAGTTAGAGGCTAAACAAATATTTGTCTTTCACTGGCCCCTCAATCTTGAGAACAGAACACTGCTTTTCCTATCTTGTCTGATGAAAATAGTGATGGTGGTGGGAAGTGAATATAAAATTTTTCCAAGAGTAACTCTGCTTTCAAGGCCCATAGGAAGGGATTCGTTTTCTTCCTACCTTCACTTTTGTCTTCACTATTATCTGCAATAGCATGAAACGACTCTCTGAATAAAAACTGGAAAAATCAGATAATACAAAACAATACCTCTTTATTATATGTGCAATTTCATGAAAAAGTGCCTTCTCATCAGCAGCATAGGTGACTTCGAGTCCTGTAATTCCAGATCTAATAAGTAATGGAGTCTGATATCTGATATCTAAAAAATAAACAAAATGTCTATTATATATAACATTATGTAATAATATACCTTCAAAATATAAAAGTAATATTATAGCTTACTTTTAAGTAAAATTGTACTACTGAAATACTTCAAATTAAGAAAACATCCCACCAAGTAAAAACATAATTAACCCAATGTCTTTAAAAAACTCTCAAAAGATTTTTTAGTTTCATATACAACTGAAAATTCAAATTTTATATTTTCAGCTATTCTCCTGAAAAGACTGCATTCACAAAATTTCCTAGAAAATGACATATCACTGGCTGGGCACAGTGGCTCAAGCCTGTAATCCCAGCACTTTGGGAGGCTGAGGCGGGCAGATCACGAGGTCAGGAGATCAAGACCATCCTGGTTAACATGGCGAAACCCCGTCTCTACTAAAAAATACAAAAATTAGCCGGGCATGGTGGTGGGCGCCTGTAGTCAGCTACTCGGGAGGCTGAGGCAGGAGAAAGGCATGAACCTGGAGAATGGCATGAACACATGAGGCGGAGCTTATAGTGAGCTGAGATCACGCCACTGCACTCCAACCTGGGCAACAGAGCAAGACTCCATCTCAAAAAAAAAAAAAAAAAAAAAAGAAAAGAAAAGAAAATAACATATCACTTGTGAAGAACCTGTATTACTTTGTTTCTGTCTTTACTCTTCCTAGCAGGAGAGCTTTGCTTAGCACAGGACATTTTAATCTCTGGTATGATGAAAATGTTTAACCACCAACTCTGTAGGAAAAAAAAGAAAGCCTTAATTTTTAGTGCTGGCCTATTTCATGATGTAACGACCCCTCCCCGACCCTATGGCTGATTTCCAACTGCCAAAGCGACAGCAACTAGTTTGAAAAATTCATGAAAATCCAAGAACTGGCTGTGAACTGGTATGTGTCAGCTCAAGCACATCACTGAATAAATTGCAAATTCTTAATATGGTTGTATTCTGTGCTAAGACTTCCTCCTCAGTGGACTGAATTCACTTGTAATGGTGACCACTGAAAGCTGCAGAGGGACAGTAAGTATTTTATAAAATGCCTTACATGGCATTCTGTATGAAGAACCTCTGAATCAAAAGTATATGTACTTAGAAAGAAAGATAAAGAGATATAAGCAAAGTAAGAATACATCTTAACAGTATCTTATGAACCATTAACTTATAGTAGTAAGATAAACTCTCCTATCAGCAAGAAAATACTTGCATATGCATACATAAGGAAGACTGTGCACCTAATCTAGGGATACATAATAATGTGGACTCTGTATCAGTAATAATTATTTTTATAAAATAATACTTAGAACAAATTGTATAAGCTAATTATAAATATTGAGATCTTTATATTGCACTGCTTCTAACTTAAAAATAAATAAATAAATGGGGTCTTGCTATGTTACCCAGGCTGGAGTGTAGTGTTTATTTATAGGCACAATCACAGTGCACTACAGCCCCAAACTCCTGGGCTCGAGCTATCCTGTTGCCCAGCCTCCCAGGTAGCTGGGACTACAGGCAGGCACCACTGTGCCTGGCTGCTTCTGACTAATTCAAGTAAGAATAATACATCTAGGACAAAGTTATACACAATCTTCTACTCCTATCTCAGCAAACATTTTAGAAAAGAGTCCTCAGGCTTGCTTAGATTGGATCTTCAGCATAGGAATTCCTCATTAAAAGGTTCCTCCTAGAGTGGGCAGGTATATCATTAATAAAAACAGACAATACCTTGACTGAAAACTGTCTTGTCTTTATCAATCACTATTACACCCGTGAGTTCTGTTTTTTCTGTATCTGGCAGTGGAGCGTCAGATGAGATGCAGTAAAACAGAGCACAGATTGGGTCAAATTCGGGATCCGGTTCTAAGTCTCGTCTGGTTCGAGCATGCAACTCCACACTGATTAGGGTAAGATTTTGTATCTATAAAAGCAAATAAATATTATGTTTTTAAAACATTTTTTAAAGACATGCTCAAAGAAGTATGTTTCACTAAGGCTCTAGAGAAATATATATGTAAGATTACAGAAAAAATGGACATAAAGGACAAAGTCACAACTCAGCACTCCACAGATTAAAACAAAAGATTTTTACTCCCAAGATTAGATCAATTCATGATGTTATTTCAGAAAATCTGCTCTTGCCATAATTTCTCAATGACAATATTTAGACTATTTTTCTCAAATATATGCAGGAGCTCTCAATTCTTGTTTGAGAAAGAGAATGACTAGTCCAAGTGGTTATACATTGAAACCAAAGTCTGTCACGTTTTACTCTTCATGTAGGTAGCTAAACTATACGGTTTTACCTGTAGTTTAAAGTAAAAAGAGAACTTTTATAGAATTTAAATTTCCTACCAATTAATTCACTACTACTTCAGGGCTACTTAGACTTTTGCATATACTAGGGTAGATTTTTAATTATAGTTTTTCCTGGAAAAAAAAAAAAAAGAACTGTTATGGTGTCAACTACACAACAGCCAGATTTTTACCCATGCACATTTTCTCTTTAACATATAATGCAAAAAATGTTAATATTTGCTTTTCATGCTTATTTTTCTATGCCAATAGAAACTTTTAACTGTAATTCTTAGTTTTCTTTCTAAAATCAATACAGAGTAAGAAAAACAAAATATAGGTTAAATTCATGATTACAGATAGAATTATACTTCATCTTTTTATCATGTACATGTACCTGGCAATGGAAAACAGATTACTGTTACAATATTGGTAATTGTTCAGATCATATAAATTTAACAAAGGATTTGTGTTTTGTATTTATCTTGCATGCAAAATGTTGAAGAAACGTAAATTCAAGCCTCTGACTAGCGACAGGAGTAGAATTTGGTAAATCTCTATGAAAATTAAAATTCATTGATGTGGCAATCCTATCCCTGAAAATTTATCCTAGAGATAGATATACATGTAGACAAAATATACGCACAAGGATGTTTACTCAAGAATATAATAGCAAAGACCGGAAAAAAACTGAAGTTTACCTGTTGGGGACAGGTTACATAAATTATGTGGTATCCATAAAGGATACATACAACGGAATATTCTGTAACCTTTAAAATTTTCAAGGGAATGAGGCAGATCTATACGTCCTAATATAAAAAGAAACTATAATAGACTGATAAATGGAACCAGTAAATATAGCAAACTTCTATACACGAAAAAATGGAAGCACATTCATAGAAAATTTCTGAAAAGTGACATAAAAATGTAGACATACTTATTGCTTTGGGGGAAAGAAATTGCTAGCCTAAAGTAGGAGAAGTAGGAGGGAAGCTTACTTTTCATTGCAAATTTTTTTGTCCTGATTATTTTTGGTACGTACCATTGCACATGCTCATTAGTAAATTTGTTAAAGATTTTTTTTTTTTTTTGAGACAGGGTCTCTCTCTGTTGCCCAGGCTGGAATGCAGTGGTGTGATCATAGCTCACTGCAGCCCTGAACTCCTGGGCTCAAGTGATCCACTCACTTCAGTTTCCCTACTAGCTGGGACTCTAGGTACATATTACCATGCCCGGCTAATTTATAAAACTTTCTGTAGAGATGGGGCCTTGTTGCTCAGGCTGGTCTCGAACTCCTGGCTTCAAGCAATCCTCCTGTCTCGACCTCCCAAAGTGCTAGGATTACCGGTGTGAGCCACTGTGCCTGGCCACTAAATACTTTTTAAAATAAAAAGAACATCAATTATGCATGTATAAGGCATAATAATAAAACAAATACAAATCTACCACTTTCCTCAGAAACATATACTGCTGTTTCTACTTTAAAATATTAGGATTAAAAAAAATCAAACCACATGAAATGGAGAGCTAAGTGAAAAATCTTTTACTTTTAAATGCATACTCTTCAGAATTTAATTTTAACAATAAGCATGCATCAATTTAGTAAATAAAAAATTTTTAAATGGAAAACTCCTCCCACAAACCCAAATAAAACAAAACAACTAGTTTCATCAGAAAGGGATGAACATATGAGGCCGGGCACGGTGGCTTATGCCTGTAATCCCAGCACTTTGGGAGGCTGAGGCAGGTGGATCACCCGAGGTCAGAAGTTCGAGACCAGCCTGGCCAATGTGGCGAAACCTGGTCTCCACTAAATACAAAAATTAGCCGGGTGTGGTGACACATGCCTGTAATCCCAGCTACTAGGGAGGCTGAGGCAGGAGAACTGCTTGAACCTGGGAGGTGGAGGTTGAAGTGAGCTGAGATCGTGCCATTGCATTCCAGCCTGGGTGACAGAGTGAGACTATGTTTCAAACAAACAAACAAACAAACAAAAAAAAAAAAAAAAAGAAAAGGGTGAACATCTGAAAAGACATAAAGACTCTGAAAACAATTTTAGGTTAAAATGGTCTTAGAGGTTGATTTTTGTTTACTAGATCAAATTTTCACACTCAAAATTTGCATTTCTATTCCTTGATAACAAAATGCATTACTGTGCTTAGGGAGTATTTTTTTAAAGCAAACTATATAAAGACATGGCTTGAGAGATTTAGTGAGTGTGACTAGGCAAGAGGGAGGTGAGAAAGGGGGACAAAGATTACAACCCTTGTCTTCTGCACTGAGTGTTGACGTGACAAGAAAGAGAGATTATCCTAGGGTAATGGAAACAGGGAGAAAATGCCACAAGCACAATTTCCTAGAGAAAGGAAGAGAACAGTGTTGAGTTTTTCTTTGGTTTATTCCTGTTTCAACCACCGGGCGGCAGTTCGGAATGTGCCTTGAGATGAGGAAAGCCCGTTAACTGGAGGAAGAAGCTGTCAGAGCAACTAGTGAGACCTCCTGAGTGATTTTAACTTCCAAAGGGCCCCTGGTTCTGAAACAGGGTTACCTAGGAAAATGTAGAAAAGTATACTTTTCAAATAAGAGAATAATCAAATGTAACACATCTTTTTGCTATAGTCTATCAAATTTGCTTTAATACATATTTTTAATAGTTTTAAAAAATTTGCTAATCTCAAGTGTGCATTTGATGGTATGTATTACTGAATTTATCACTGAATTTATGTAGGCTTCAGAGGCCAGTATAGACATAGGTATAAAACAGAAAATGTATGGATGTTGTTGAATGAGAAAAATGTGCAAATGAATAAATAAGAGACTATGTTCCGACCTAATTCTAAAAAAACATAATTTTCAGTTCAAATTTGAAGAAAAAAGGAGGACAATATTAAAATTTTTCCCTCAGGCCAGGCGCGGTGGCTCACGCTTGTAGTCCCAGCACTTTGGGAGGCCGAGGTGGGTGGATCACGAGGTCAGGAGATTGAGACCATCCTGGCTAACACGGTGAGACTCCATCTCTACTAAAAATACAAAAAATTAGCCAGGCGTGGTGGCGGGCACCTGTAGTCCCAGCTACCTGGGAGGCTGAGGCAGGAGAATGGAGTGAGCCTGGGAAGCGGAGCTTGCAGTGAGCCGAGATCGCGCCACTGCACTCCAGCCTGGAGGGCAGAGCGAGACTCCGCCTCAAAAAAAAAAAAAAAAAAAAAAAAAAATTTTTCCCTGTTTAGTTAATCTAACCCCTAGAACAGTTTACAACAGAATTGACTTGAGAAAAAAAACTACACTTAAAAATTGAGTTATAACTTAAAGGTGATTACTAATCTTCTGCTTTAAGAGCAAAGACATAAAATGACTGTATAAAACTAGCACTGTCCAACAGAAATATAATAAAAGTCACATGTAACTTAAAGTTTTCTAGTAGTCATATTTCAAAAAATAAAAATAGGTTAAATTAATTTTAAAACACTTTGATCCAATATATTTAAAATATTATTCTTTCAACATATAATCAACATAAAAATTACTAATAAAATATTTTATTCTTTCCATGAAGTCTTTGAAATCAGTATGTATCAGTATGAGATTTAGATCCTTCTAGCATCTCACTGTGCATGCTAAATTTTCTACAGAAATACTTGATCTATACTTAATTTCATAAAACTTAGAGTAAAAAATAGTATTACATACCTAAGTTGTTCCAAACATACTTTGAGTCAACTATGTTTTAAAATCTAAATTAAAATTAAATAAAGTTTAAAATTCAGTTCTTCAGTTGTATAAGCCAAATTTTAAGTTCTCAATATCCATGCTGGTAGTGGCTACCATATGACAGCACAGGTGTAAACAATGAAAATATACTTCGATTTCTACCTTACTGCCAGTCAGATATGTACTTTGAGTTTGTTTTCTGCATACAAATAAATTTATAGTGACCCATTCACATATTCTTTCCAATGCATACTGTGGCTGACGTATATTTTTGCAAAGTCCTAGTCTTTGGCAGACAGCCTGTGCTGTGAAGATAGCTGGGTTATATAGAGAGTATGTGAATGAATGAATTTATCCTCTTTTGTAGCAAGCTCTAATCCACTGAGCCAATCAAACAGAAAATACAAGTAAATATCACATTTCAGATGTGATATAACATCTTAATATAATAATCCCCAAAATACAGTCTTTTTTTGTTTCTCCCCAAAGAGACAGAGTCTTGCTCTGTCTGTAGCCTGGGCTGGAGTGTAGTGGCACAATCATAGCTCACTGCAGCCTCGAACTCCCAGGGTCAAGTGATCCTCCCACCTCAGCCTCCTAAATAGCTGAGACTATAGGTGCGTGTCTAATTTTATTTTTATTTTTTGGTAGAGACAGGGTCTTCCTACGTAGCCCAGGAGAGTCTTAAACTCCTCGACTCAAGGGATCGTCCCACTTTCACCTCCCAAAAATCTTTTCTTATTTTAATGTCCATAAGCTGAATTTCAGTTATGAGATTTGTGAAAGATATGAAATCACAAAGCAGTCTCAGCAACTTAAATTCTTTAAGTTTCTCTATTGTACATAAACATGTAAATATACAAAATAGTAAGAAAATGAGAACAAGATGAAGATTAATAGGATAGAATTCAATATATTCCTTCCTCGTTAAAAAAATTCCATACTTGTTTTATAGAATAAAAGAGGAGTTAAATTGAACACAATGTATGTGTCCTTACTGTTGCAGTTTTACCTCATGTAAAGCTTTTGCCTCCTGTAAGTTTTGTATGCTGACTTTGAAACCGTAAGTATTGTTTAAAGATGGTCCATCAATCTGAGAAGTTTCTTTCTGTGGGGTATTTACTGCTGCAAATTGATTCTATAAAAAAAAACACACACACACACACACAGCCAGAAAAAGATACATGAGCAATCATTTTTCTTTTGATTACTTATTCCCACATAATATGCTTTATGTGTTTGGTAATAAATGGTAAACTAATATCATCTCTAAATTCAAGGAGAAACTGTATTTATTAATGTTATTTTCATGCTAACAAAGATATCAGAACTGGATATATGTGGAAATATAAGTAAACCATATGTTATCTCTCAGTTCAGAAGCCCCCAATACTGAAAATAATAGTTTTGTAGGGAGTTGACATTTATACCACATGGACATTTATCTTGACCTTTCTTGAAAGTAAGACAAGCAAGCAATCAATATATTTCCAACTACTTTGGCTAAAGTTTGAAAAAGATTTGAAATATTGATTTGTATTTTACCCTAATACAACATGTGTCTGAAAGATGAATTAAATAAGACAATGTAAATAATCTTCCAAGATTGAGAAAAAAATGGCATCTTTCCTTTCCTCACAAAATTTTTTTTTCTGATTTCTAAATCTATTAACTGTTTCTCCCAAAGTGTTATGTTCACAACACACTGATACAGTATTTTTTAATATATGTAGCTTGTAATTCAATACTATTTTATAAATGAAAGTTTAAAAAGTTTTATAATCTCAAAGAAATACTAAAATATATTTTATGTAGTTAACGACATTTATAAGAAGTCGCCAATATATAAGTGATTTCTAGCATATATTTCCAAGGATGCATGTCCAATGTATACTTCTTTCATATAACCATATAATTCTAAGTTTTGTCATATTTTTAGTATTTGAATAAAGACATCTGCGACTTTCCAGAGTTTCAGTAGTAAATAATGTTGCTTTCTTTTGCTACTTAGTAAAATAAATTTTAAAAAATCAATAAGGTTATATTTTAGAAAAAAGTAATAAACCAAGAAAAAGGATATATTTTTGGTGGGATCAAAAATCACTTACTTGAGCTCTGCTGTCATTGGATTGTTCTGATTTTGCCAGTAATCAGTTAATGTATTTGTATCCTCATAATCCACATTTTGGCTATCATATTCACTTTCTCTGTAATATTTGTATTTACATATAAGAATCTTTTAGATCCCAACAGCAAAAAAAAAAAAAAAAAAAAAAAACTAAAAAAAGGCAAATTTTTGTTGTCTCAAAGATATGCAAATAATGATGCAAAAATTTAAGTAACAAAAATTTTTTAATTGAGACATAGTTATCAATTATCTAACTGAAATCTAGGAATAAGACTGGATCTTCCACTGATCTTTAAAAATGTTTAGTATAGTTACCTTTGCTTGTGTTAAGAGTACTCTTCTAAGAGTGTCAGTATTACTTCCTTTCTTATTACTCAACTTCTGTGTTTTTGGTTCTGTAGAAAGAAATTTCATATTTAACATGTATATCAAAATTACCTGCTTCTGGTTTTTAAAAAACTTTTTGTTGTTCCAAACACTTAAGTACCACTTGTGGGTGCTGTCCTATGAATTCCCCCCAAAATTTCATAATTTAAAAATGAAATTCAAACCTCTGATACCCACCAAAATAACATTTTAACATTTTGTATTTTAAATACGTTTATATTTTAATTACTGAGTTTTATACCTCAGTCATTAACCTACAGAACTGTTTAATTCATTTATTCACTTACTTATCAAGTACCTATGATGAGGAAGAAAAGACATAATCTGTGCCCTCATGGGGTCTAGAGAGAGAATCAGACATTCATCAAACTAGAAAAATAAATTTATAACTGCATTACTACAACAAAGGGGAATATAATTGGGAATTTTTATGTAGTCGAGATTAGGGAAGGTTTCCTGGAGGTAAAATCTGAAGAGAGTAGTAATTAACTAGGAACAGAGTGGGGATTTTTCCCTGATTACTGTGCAAAAGAATTGGAAATTACTTAGATAAAATGGCTGGTGCAGGAGCCCAGACAAGAGATGATGACAGTATGGCCTAAAGTTGTGGTGGAAGAAGTACAATAAAGTAAATAGATCTGGTTTACTTAGGAGATAAACAAGTGATAAGGCCTGGATAGGGACTAGAAACTACAAGGTGGGTAGTGAGGGAATGAGGTGAGTATTAAAAATAAATTCTATATTTCTTACTTGTGTAACTGAGAGATGATGGCACTATTCATTGAAATAAGGAAAACTGAAAGAAGGCCCGATGGGTTTTTATGTGGAGGCATGTATACATAAGTATGTTGGGGAAGTAGTGGTGAACGTATGCAGTGAGATCATGAATTGGTTTTTAAAATACTAATCTTGAGGTGCCATTTAGCATTCAAGTGGAAATGTCAGATAGGTAGTTGGACATAGTGTTCTCGAGCTTAAAAGAGAGGTCTGAACTGGAAATATAAATTTGCAAGTTATCTGTAGTAATCCTGAGGACAGGAATTAGATCATTTAGAGAAAGATGTAAAGAAGGCTTAAGATCAAGCCTTAATAAACTCCAACATTTAGATAACAACTGAGAATAATGAGAAAATCAAGTGGGAAAAAACAGAAGCAGGAGGAAAGCCAAGTGGAGAAGCAGCTCCAAGAAGGAAGGTAGGGTCAATGAGAAAATGGCTGCTTAGAGGACATATGGTAAGACTCAGGAACATCTACTGGTTTTAGCTATAAGTTTACTGGGAATCTTTACAAGAGCTATAATGTAGAATGACAGGGGCAGAATTCAGTTTAGAGTGGGCTGAGAAATGAGTAGGAGGTAAATAACTGGAGTTGTCGAATTAGATAAATCTTTTAAGAAATTTGGCTTTGAAGGGGAGGAGAAAGAGTAGAAGCTGGCTGGAGACGTGAGGTCAAGGCAGGTTTTTTGTTTCTGTTTTAAAATGTGGGAGACCTGGGTATGTATAAAAGCCAACAGGAAAGTCAGGTTGAGAAGATAAGCCTTTTGAGAGGGCTCCTGTATTTCACCCACAAGGAAGACAGGATGGAAGCAAATATAAGTAGATTACACAGCAGAGAATTGTCATGTGACGACTTTCTAAGATACAACAAAAAATACTTGCTGAGCTATACCTTCATTTAAAAAGCTCTGATTTTCATTTCAGTCTAATGTTATCTTCATTTCTATTTCTGAAGAACAATTATGGAGACTTCCTGTTATGTGTACACTTACCTGTTGATAATGGGCTAAGGCCAGTTGCTTCAGGAAGCCTTTCCAGAAGTTTTCTCTGTATGATTGGTGTACTATGAAGGCAAAGTGATTCACATTTCTCAGTTCTTGCCCTAGCAGTAATTGGAGATATCACTAGAGGCTCTTGAGGCTCACTGCAGGGGCTTTTTTGTATACCATCTTTTATTGGTTTTAAGAAGTTCTCAACAGCCAATGAAGGCAGCTCCTCTACTGGTGATGAGGGTCTATCATCTCCATTTAATGCTTTGGAATCTGGGGATACTGGTTGTTGCCAAGGGGGAATTACAGGAGAATCAGGGGAGCTATAATTAATGTAATAGTTATCATCATCTTCATCTTTTTCAGGATCACTTGAAGAGGCAACTGGTGGCAGCATCTGACTTTCACTTGCAGTTTGACTACATCCCGTGGTTGGTGCTTGTAAAGCAATCCGAGAATTAACATCCTCCTTGGTATGTGCTGTAGTGGGGAGTATACGTGGACTTACATCCATTTTTGGAGGCACTACAGGTTTGTCATCTGGGTTAACTGAAGAGCTAAAGTTCTCAGCAGATTTTACAACTCCAGTTGGCTTGGTTTTAGGCAGTTTCTTGGAACGTTCATATTGTTCTTTGGCTTGAAGCCACACTTGAACCAGTTGTCGACTTGGGGCACATTTGCAAGGCATAATCACAATTTTTTTATCTTCAACCATCTTAGGGCTATTACTTGACCCTTTATTGACAACTCCTTGGCCACTGCGAAGGGGTGACCCTGGCCTTGGATTCTGAGTCATTGCTGAGAATGCTGTTTTCCAAAGACGAAGTCCTTCCAAGGAAAAGTCTCCCTCAAACTCAGCCAGATCATTTGCAAGTCGAGTTTCTACCATGAGGAGCCGTCCACCAATCTCCCTATAAACAACATATTTTAGAACAACTGTTTTGTTTCAAAGAGCAATTACTAAAATATTTAACTCCATATCCTAGATAAAGTCCCTTTTGGAGTCTCAAAAATGTCCATTTCTATCTTCCCTGCCCCCTCTATTTTATGTAGGTACACTCTATCTTTAGTCTCAATATGCTTTTCCTCACAGGTATATGACTACTTAATTTCCTTTGGAAGGTACCATTAATCTTAGGGAGAGAAGGTATTTTTTGTTTTATTTTAATGCCCAATGAAGCCTTCTGTCCTTCAAGGAGATGAAACAAACTTTTCAGATTCCTTTCCTCTCCTAATATTAAAGTAATTTTCCATTATTACCACATATGAATAAAAACAATAAAGTAATTTATCATTCAAATACTATGTCCTAGGATATTATTCATAGCTTCTTCCTATATTCTCCAGTATTTGTAGTTTAGCAAAGCGAGTCAATTCAAATGAATCTTTGTACTCTCAAATCCCTTAAACATTAAAAAAACATACCAACTGAGGTAAATTATCTAATTCTTTCTTCCCATTCCATGGTAGGGATTAACATTGACATAACTTAGGAGATGGCAGAGCCCACAGGATACATGGCTTAAATGTTACCAATGTATGAATATGTGGGAAATCACTAATGAAAACAGTCTGGTTTCATTTCCAAAAGCTATAAATATTAAGTAAAACCTCTTTCTCTAATCCCTTGATACTATTTCTGCTTACTACAGCAACATAAAATAATTCTACTTCTTCATGTTAACTTTATTATGGATATAAAGATAATTCATAGTTTTTTCAATCACTTCTCTTAGGGTGTGATTCCCCAAATGTCCCCATCATTCTCTACATAAAACTCCACTAACTAGATTCATGTTTTCAGATCTGAAGCTGAAGGAAAAGCATTAGGGCTACCCTGTCTCCTTTATATGAAAAGACTTTAGCCCCTACTAGTTAACTCCATAACCAGCATCCAGCACTGTCCCTGCATCCACTCTTGGCAATGTGAAAAATCAGAAACAGAATTATGATTGGTGTTGAAGAATTAATGCTGTTGAAGGAAATGAATACACATACCAAGTGACCATACCCAACTCTAATACTAAGGATAGAGAAGTCATAATGAGGTCAAGAATAAAAAATGGTGAGGTGTGGTGAATTCAGTTTTCTTACGTACTGTCAGCAGCATGGTAATTGCTATAATTCACTAGGAAAAAAAATCTCCTAATATGTAACAAGAGTCTTATATTTTCCAGTAATCCTACTTCTAGGGCTATAAGGACAAACTCCAAAATACAAGAAATGCTTTAAGAAGAAAATGCTAATATCTTCTTAACATACATAATAATATACATACTATCTATAGTGGCAAAATCACAAACAATCTTTCTGTCCAATAATATATACATGATGCAACACATGCAGCGATTAAAATATTCAAGAAACTCATTTGGAAAATGTTTACAATATAATGTTAAGTGAAAAATGTGGATAATACTGTGACTACAATAAGATCACACTTCACAAAACAAAACAAACTAAAAACTATACTTTTAAAGAAAACAGAAAACACATCAAAATATTATGGTGGCTGTTACTATATGGAAAAATGGTGTAATTTTTATTTCTTCTTCTTTCATACTACCTAAATTTTCTATATTGAATATATAGTTTCTTTTTTTTTTGAGACAGAGTCTTACTCTGTCACCAGGCTGGAGTGCAGGAGCGTGATCTTAGCTCACTGCAACCTCTGACTCTCTGGTTCAAGCGATTCTCCTGCCTCAGTCTCTTGAGTAGGGATTACAGGCACACGCCACCATGGTCAGCTAATTTTTGCACTTTTAGTAGAGACGGGGTTTCACCATGTTGGTCAGGATGGTCTCGATCTCCTGACCTCGTGATCCGCCTGCCTTGGTCTCCCAGAGTGCTGGGATTACAGGCGTGAGCCACTGTGCCCGGCCTACAGTTTCATATTTTAAAAAATATTTTTCAAAAATGATTATTTTTTATTTTAGCTGTAGGACAAGTGTCAAAGTTGGACAATAACAACACAAACATAATGACTAGCACATAGTTTGGTAACTAAAAGTAAATATACCATAATCACTACTGATAACACCAAAGTCCCCAAAATGATGGAAACTAATGTTTAAGGAACAGACTTCATATGCCCCAGCAGTGAAATAAAGAGTTCCATGTGGGTACTAAACAAAACTGTGTTGAAAAGGGGCTGGGAGGTGAACATTTCTACCCTTCACTTCAAGTCATTATAGGAGAGAACTTTTATTCTACATTTCTGATAACATTTTCTCACCCCTTTATTAAAAAAAATAAATTTTTATCATGTATATTTAAGGTATAAAATATGATATAGTATATAGTAAAACGGTTCTTACCGTGAAACAAATTAACATATCCATCATTTCACACTCTCACCCCTTTTTTAAATGGATTCCTATAGGAATTACTGTGAATCTGCTGGGTAAAAGCCTGGCATTCACTGTCGTGTTTTTTTAATTTAAATTTTTTTGAAGATATTTTAACAGCTTTAGGTTGACAGCAAAATTGAAAGGAATGTACAGAGGTTCCCATATACTCCTTGTGTGCCCACACATACATGCCCTCCCTCATTATCACCATCTCCTACCACAGTGGTACACGTGTTACAATCAATGAACCTATTTTGACACATCGTAATTGCCCAAAGTCCATAGATTATATTTGGGTTCGTTCTTGGTGTGGTACTTTCTATGGCTTTCAACAAATGTGTAATATTCATATTGTATCTTTCTTTTTTTTTTTTTCCACTGGAGTCAGGAAGATGGTGCTGCCACAGGTCAGTGCATACATGCAGTGTGGCCTCTGCTGCTCTTCATATCTCTTTCCAAGATTTAGACTAAGGCAGGGCCTGCCTTAGCAGTTCCAGCCATCCTCTTCTGCTTCTGAATGGATGGTTGAAATGAACTGCCTGCTCTGCAACTGTTTAAGTATATGAGATCATGGACACAGGGGCAGGAACAAGAACCATCATTCAAACTTTCTGGATTAAGCCACGTTACCCAATTTAGCTTTTATCAGTTATGTCCTAACTTGGCGATGAAAGTGGTACACAATTACTCAACTACAGATAAATAAACCACTACTGTGATTTCTATTTTGCTATTTGCTGCATGTGTGCGTGTGCTCACATGTTTGTCTATCAATTCCCTGAAGAGATTTTTTTTTGAGATAAAGTCTCTTTCCATTGCCCAAGCTGGAATGCAGTGGTGTGAACACAGCTCACTGCAGCCTTGACATCCTGGGCTCCAGTGATTCTCCTTCCTTAGCGTCCTGAGTAGCTGGGACCACAGGTGCATGCCACCATGCCCAGCTAATTTTTTTTTTTTTTTTTTGAAATGGAGTTTCACTCTTTGTTGCCCAGGTAACAAAGTACAGTGGCGTGATCTCGGCTCACTGCAACCTCCACCTCCTGGGTTCAAGTGATTCTCCTGTCTCAGCCTCCTGAGTAGTTGGGATTACAGGCGCCTGCCACCATGGCCAGCTAATTTTTGTATTTTTAGTAGAGACAGGGTTTCACCATGTTGGCTAGGCTGGTCTTGAACTCCTGACCTCAGGTGATCTGCCCACCTCGGCCTCCCAAAGTGCTGGGATTACAGGCGTGAGCCACTGTGCCCAGCCTACTTTTTTGTAGAGACAGAGTCTCACTTTTTTGCCTGGGCTGGTCGCAAACTCCTGGGCTCAAGCAATCCTCCCACCTTGGCCTCCCAAAGTGCCAGGATTACAGGTGCACACCACCATACCTGGCCACCTGAAAAAATTCTTAAAAGAAAGGAGAATGGAAACCAAAGTCCATTTGCTAATAACTGCATAAACTATAATAACAATATAATGCAAGATATTGAAACCACATGAAAAGTGGTTTATAATAGAAACAACTTAAAATGATCTTCATTTAGAGATATATCAGAGGAATACTTAAAATACATATATGCTCATTTTCAAAACATTTGAAAATGAAGTTCTTTTAAAATGGTATAAAAGTTTAACATTTAAAAATTAAATACCATTTAAACAATGATCATTGTAATCCTTTTAAAGTATCATGACATCTTTAGAGTGAGCACCTCTAATTTTTAATGAAGACATAGTGTTAAATAATGGTAGATCCAAGTCAACTTACATAAACTTCTCCAGGTGTAACCATCCAGTTAATTTTTGAATTTTCTTAGTAAGTCTGTAATCAGAAATACTTTCCACAATGATATACTTAAAAATACAGTATCACAGAAAACTAGTAATCAGGTAACCAAATGTTATATTCTTTACATATACACATTATATTCTTTTTTTTTCAATCCCTATAGCATAATTTTATATATTATAGTAATTCAGAGTGACCCAAGGGAAAAAAATAACTGATTACCTGGGCTTTTCTGGTACATCAGAAGGATTACTGCAAAATGGTTCCTGGTAAATAGTCTCTGAAAGGTCATGATCCAACAAAGTTGCCATAATTTCTTCCCTACTTGGTGGGGACATAAGTGGTTTCAGAATGTGAGCAGTTCGTGGGGTGAAACTGCCATTTTTAGATTGTGAAGGAGAACTAGTAGATCTTGGTGAACTATCAGGAGTTGGTGTCAACATATCATTGTTTCTTGAAACATACAGTTCTAAATCTTCACAGGCCATGTCCACAAGTTCACCATCAGGGGAGGAGAGTATTGCAGTAAAAGAGGTATTGGCTGAGTCAAGAGACCGTCCCATTTCTTTTCTGGTATGACCTTGAATCCAGTCTGAATTGTTTGGCTGTGGGAGGCTAAGAAACACTTCTTTGCTTACTGAACTCCTATTCAATCTAGATTTTTCATTTAGACAGTCTTCTGCCTGCTGAACACAGAAAGAATCCATTATTGAATTAGACCGAGTTGTTAGAGGATGAAAGCTATTTTTCCACTGGTTGTGGCGATGATTCTCAATACTATCTATGGATGATTTCTCAAAAATTTCAGGACTTAAAGTACCAGATCTAATCCATGAGGCTGAGTCCGTAGTATGCTTGTCTTCTTCACATTTCTGGTTGTCATGACTTAAAAACTCATTTTTTTCTATAGCTTGTCCTGGAAAAAGATCCTGAACAGCATCACTTAGGAACTTCTGAGGCAAATTCTGATCAGCTGGGACAAACTGACTTCCAGAGTAAAAGCTACAAAATCCAGTCTGACCTATTGTGTTAATATCAAAATTATAATTATGTTCAGGAGATAAACTATCTTCAAGTGAATAACAACTTTCAAAACCTGGATCTGAAAAAAAGATGGGACTATCATCTGATACGGAGTTATCCAACTGGCTAGAGTTTTGTAAATTTAAAGAGTCTACTTTGAGAAGTTTGGGGATTTTTTCTTTTGGTTTTGTACTTCTGGGAGTTCGAGGTTTTCTTGGGGATGTTACCGATCGTGTCCGTTTATTTGCTTTGTTATGTTCAAGAGAACCAGAAATATTTTTATTTGGTTGGTGTTTATTAGATAACGGGTCTTGTATAATATTTGCATTTTGTGCTTTCTGCTGTCTTTTTTGTAACAATTCTTTTAGAACTGCCAGTCCAGACTGTCCTTCACCAAATGCTGAAGGTGCTGACACATTTCGATTTTTACACTGAGAAAGTGCTTTGGTTTGTGAAATTGCTTCTGATAATGACCTCTGTTTTACTCTTTCAGGTTTAAAATTTGACATATCTAAAATAAAGCCCCTTTGCTTTTGCTCCCATGCTATTTGTTTGATTGGACTTCTCAAGGAAGTTACAAAGCAATTATTAGGCATTTGGCTTTCATCTGAAGCTGTATTTCCCGGAGAACAAGTTTCACTGTGCTTTGACTGCTCTGCTATGCACACAATCTGCTGCTGACTATCTTTGCAATGCAAAAAATTAGGGGTATATGCTTGGTCCAGCTTTGATTCTAGGGAATTGCGATATTCACTTAACTTTCCGATTGATGACAAATAGTTTTTTTGTATATTATTTGCATTATCTTCTATCTTTGAAGACATACCCGAAGATATCTGTGTATTCTGTGCTACCTGAGACAAATGGTTGGAAAGGTCAAATACATTTTTCTGAATTAAGGTTGATTCCTTTAGAGTAAATATAGCACTTTGATTATGAGGTCTTTGAACATTAATTTTTGAGATTCCAGGTCCTATAGAATTACAAACAACTGATGGATGCAAATCATCTCGTGAACTGGGGAATGTCTGCACATCTACAGACTTCTTGCTTTCTAAGAAAGAAGAAAAGCAGCCAGATAACTTCTGTTGTGCATTAATTCCAGTGGGTAGGGGAGCAGAAAGGGGATGATCTACAGCAGAGCCCATTAGTGGCATATCTTTCTGTTTAAAAAGTAATTGAGCGCCTCCAGAACTACTTGCAAATTCAGACACATTCTGGTGTTTCAGTACAAACTTAACTTCAGCACCAGACTGAGATTTTATTTTTTCATCCTTAAGTGTTATATGCTTTCTCGATGTACCTTTCGCATTTGTTTTTTGTTTTGCTCTTGGTTTCTTTTTTCCATCATCTACTAGTTTATTTGTCTGATTTCGTTTGTTCCTTTTCTTAGTAACTACAGAGGGATTAACGAGCTTTGCTTTTGATTTCTTAACCTGTGCTCTTGCACGACTATTTTTTCCTATACGAGAATTAACAGTCTTATTATACACATTAGGACCCTTAAAAAGCATTGCCTCTTTTTCTGCAGCAGCCATGATTTCTTCAGCTCTTGGATCTGTGGGAGACCAGCAGCGAGGTGGAGAAGAATTTATGGGACTTGTGCTTCTCTCAGAAAGAAAACCTAGTTTAGACATAACATCACTATAATTCAAGTCACAATCTTCGGTTTCAGCATTGTAAGATGGTGAGGGAGGAGAAAGAAGAGCATGTGACCGTTTTTTCCTGAAAGACAAAGTTCTCTTGATATTTTCATTATTTGTCCTTTGTTGCTTACCAGTTTTTTTCTTAGCAGACTTATGTTTTGACTTTCTTCTGTGACTTTTCTTTGGTGTTAGTGGATAAATGGGATATTTGGTTGCAGGGGAGTCGGGAACTTTTGGCCAAAAGTCCTTCAAAGGTGCAAGCTTTTTATATAGTTCCATTTTTTCTTCTGTTAATATTACTTGTTTTTCTTTAGCGTCTATTTTTCCTAGCTTCACAAGCATATTTTTTCTCCCTCTAAATCTATTAATAATAATATACTTTATGATGACAGGAGGCAGCTTTTTAGACATTTTTCTTCGTTTTCGAGATTTGAGAGTTCCATCTAAACTTTCACCAATTTCCATGGGATGAGGTAGACTAATTTTTGAGTTGTGTGTTACAAAACTCGACTCACTATCTTCAGTCTCATAATTTACCTTGCGTTTGGCTCTAAGTGTGTATTTATTTCCATATAGTCCAAAGGACTGCTCAGTTTCTAACGTTCCATCTCCAAAGTGACAGTCTATAAAACCATCTGTGGGTGTTTTATTTTCAAAAGCTCCACGAGAGGTTTTAGTTAAATCACTGGCGAATGCACTATCCTTCTCAGGATTACTATTACAAGGATTATTTTGTATACTATTATCTTTCGTAGATCCAGTCTCACTACTTTTGGTAAAAGTCTCCTGATGACCTGCAAGTTTCTTTTTATTCAATTTTAACCGGGATGGTTTATTGCCAGGTTGTAGTTTATATGTGACAGGAGATAGTTTCTGTGGTCTAGTAAGACAGTTAGAAAGAACAACACTGGGAAAAAACATATAGTGTGCTGCTTGCTGGCTGAGGCTTGGCTTTTCTGTTTTATGTTCTTGAAATTCTTCATACCTAATTTTAAGTTTATTTAGTCCACTTTCATCAGCAGTGCTATTAAGAGAATGCACCATAGTTCTATTCTCCCCTGAGCATGACAGCAATTCACAATTTTCAGTAAATGATGAAGGGAATAAACTACTCAGAGCTGTGCTGTTTCCTTTTTCATTTCCTTCAGAGGACACTTTATTTTTTGAATGATTCAAGTCAGAAAAGTTGAAAGAATTTTTGCCCAATGTATTCTCGTTAGGGTGACGGTGCATATGTATAAAAGGGGAATCCTTTTCGATTTTTCTAATGTTTGTATATTTTCTACTTGGTACTTGTCTTGTAACAGATGGAATATCTTCTTCATAATCAAAAATACTACTTTCACAGGAAGACACTGGGAGGATCTCTTTCTTACTATTCTCTTTATGAGAATTTTCTGAATGAACAGTACTGCTTAAAGATCCAGGGTATTTCACAGAGTAAGTGCTTTCGTTTGTAAAAGAAGTGACTGAATTATCTAGACCTTTTTCTATATTTTTATTTGTCTGTGAAAGGTCTTCAATTAAATCTTCCTTGTTCAAAACATGGGAAGAAAGGGCACTTGTGTGTTTACACTGAAAGGTAATCTTAGCAGAAGATGAGGGTTCTAACGTAGCAGCATCTTTGTGAAAGATGGAGGGTTTAACTGATAGCTTGCTTGTTGCAATTACAGAAGAGTGGGTTCTAGAGTTTTCGTTGTTCAATGGATTGTCTGAAATGAGGAGGGAAAAACAGTTTATTTCATTTTACTCTTAATTTTTAAGACATTTTCCCACACCAAGATATTAATGCTATCACTATGAAAAAATTACATAAAATTAAGTTTGCATGTTTAAAACGGCTATCTTAACAAAAAGGTAATGTTTATCATTAATGACTCAATCTAAATATAGTTACAATTATGAGTCATCATTTTAAACACATATTCAATTGATCAGAAATAGATTATATTACTATTTAGTGCCTTTGGGGAATAAGGGAAAAATACTGTCACTTTAAAAATGTTCATAAAGTAATATGCTTTACATTATCACTTCAAATAAACTGAGCATATTTTTTAGTTTATTATTCTACTTACACAACAAACATTAAAGTTTTCAAAGCTTGAAATCAGTGATCAACAAATGTTATATCCTTTTAGAAATGAGAAACAAACCATATATCTACATTCTTTCAAAAGAAAAAAATCCTGAGGGACGAAACATCACTATAGCCTCACTTAGCCAACTATATAGAAAGTATGATTACAGTTTCAAAATCAATAGAAAGTATGATTAAAGTTTCAAAATCATATTTATTTATTTATTTATTTATTTATTTATTTTTTTGGAGGCAGGGTCTTGCTCTGTTGCCTAGGCTGGAATGCTGTGGAGCAATCACAGCTCACTGCAGCCTCAAACTCTTGGGCTCAAGTAAGCCTCCCACCTCAGCCTCCTGAGTAGCTGGGGCTACAGGCATGCACCATTATGCTGGGCTAATTTTTTTTTTAGTTTTTTAGAGACAGGGTCCCACTATGGTGCCTAGGCTGGTCTCGAACTCCTGAATTCAAGTGATCCTCTCACCTTGGACTCCCAGAATGCTGGGATTCCAGGTGTGAGCCAGAGCGCCTGACCTCAAAATCAAATATATTTTTAGATCCTAACTAACCAATTTCTCACAGTAGACTTGTTTACTTACCACTATTTTCATCTGCAGTTCCATCTAACTGAGGTATAGAAAGATTGGCTAGAAGCAAACTGTTATCACTCCATTCCATTTCTTCTTCTGAAGATGAGTCATCATCTTCAGTTGAACTTCTGTGGGTATTTCTGCACAGTGATCTGGAGAATATTAAAATTCACTAGTGAGCATGATCATTAGAAAAGACCATCTCAGATGCAAATCATGTATCTAAGTTAACTCTATAATAATGTAAGTTAACTATAATAATGTATCTAAGTTACTCTATAGTAAAACAATAAAAAACCCCTGAAAATTGTAACTTCTAGAAAAGCATATTTACTTTGCTTTATTAACATGTCTCACTATAGCAACTTACAAAGAATTATTATAATTACACTTTATAATCTCTTTCATGTGAGCTGAAATACACCACAATTCCTGCATTCTGAATTGCAAGAAATAAGAACAAAGAGATGAGTGAAGGGGCACTGAGGTCAGGGCTGAAGAGAAAATATTGAAGAAGAGAGAATAAATAGGAAGTAGTAAAGGTGTTCAGTCAATCTGACAGTAACTATAAAGTAGGGTTACTGAGAAATTCAGAGGGGCAGTGAAGTCCAGTTTCTTTAAGTTTCATCTCATATTGATATTAACTTGATGCTTTCCCTTTTAATTGAATGGGCAAACTTTTTTCCTATCCATATCCAATTTTTTCTTTCACTAATCTCAACTATTTGAAATTATTATCATTTTATTATACTGGAACTCTTTTTCCACTAAGCCTTTGCAAATCACAATTTATCATAAAAATCACTCCCTTAAGAGCTGAAAGAGGTATCAGAGGGCTAGTCCAACTTTCTATCCAATGCAAAAACCTGATTTTTTAATGAACCTGAGGCAATCTCTGTTTTTACATAATCTATATAAGGGGCTTGCTGTCTCACAGGGCAATCTTTCCATTGTTAATAGCTTTAATTGTTAATAGTTGTCTTCTTGTAATACACAAACTCTTTCAACTTCCATACATGATTCCTATTTTGTTCTCTGTAGCTATACACAGCAGGTTGATGCCATTTTCCACACGATAATCTTTAAAATACATAAAGGCATTTCTCATTCATCTTGTAATTCTAATTAGATCAAACAGTCTCCATTCAAAAGTTCTTCAAAAGTGACAATGCTTACAGATCCTTCTAGTTTTCTTCCTCTTCTTTCCCTTTCCTTTTTCAGTATTCTTAAAATATGGTGATCAGCACAGAATATAATATCCAATATAAAGAGTAGAATTAACTAAATCATTTTCTGGACACTATGCTTCTACTATTCAGTCTCTCTCTAATAACGTGTACAAAATGTTTAGGTTTGTTTTCCCAAGGTTAAAGTGGGCATGGTTTTCACTAAATTGGTTCAGCCAATGAACATATAAGCATAAATGTAATCATAGGATCGACAATGCCTATTATTAGAGCAGTGACAATGTTAGAGGAAAGAATTTAACATCACATCTGGAGATTTCTATATCTGATTTATTAAACAGAAAAATCAAAACTTTTGTCATATACATGTAAACACTGAATTTATGGATTAACTTCTTTCACCTTTCAGTGATGGCTTTGGGGTTGAAAATTTCAAACACAGACTAAAAAAGTTCTAATCTAGCCTACAGAAGTTTAAAGGAGAGGCATACTCAGTCTTTCAGGCTCACAGGCCTAGATTTTTCGATACACAGAGCATATAACTAAAGGGCAGACTCAAACCAATCAAGTTCACAGAGACTGATTTAGAAAACCACAACACCAACTTATTCACTGATTTTGAGAAACAAACCACAACACCAGTGTTTCCTTCTCAGTCTTTTATTTATTTGTTTTTAACCTTAGTTCCCTTAGTCTAATCAGACCCCAAAGCCATACCCTATCTTCAGTCTGACTCTATACATTGTTGCTCTGATACTCAACAACAGCTCAACTATCACAGGGCATTCTTTTTGTCTAGTTCTAAGATAAGAAGGCACTCCAATTTTGCCCCATTTATCACTCACATATGTTAATAATGTGTATATAAATGGATAACTTCTAAAAGTTAGGTTAATCTCTTAAAATGTAGCAGAACCTTATTTTGCTTGGAATATGGAGTATATGCCACATGAAAAACAGATCACTAAAAGGGAATTTTAAAACACCAATTTAGCTCATAAGGTATTTTATACACTGAACAATAGTAACAAGTAATTTCTGATTGAAGGATGATAATGCTAAAAGTTAATAAAACAAATGAAATAACTAAAAAATTACCTCTTTTTGGCACAATGTTCTTCAATATTGCTGTCCCATCTCTGGGACATCACCAAACTAAGCTCCATTTCCTCTTTTTCAATTTGTGGTTCATTTTCTTCATCATCACTATTTTGGGGATATTTATTATTTCCAAAGGAGCGACACGGTGATGGCATCCTATTTCTTTCCCCCCGATATCCATCACTTTCCAAACCAGCAAGAAGATGTACCAGAGCCTCATCAGGACTACTGTCCACTACAAAACAAGTACAATAATCACCAACAAATAACTCAAGTTTTCTTTTTTTTTGACACGGAGTCTTGCTCTGTCACCCGGGCTGGAGTTGGAGTGCAGTGGCGGATCTCGGCTCACTGCAAGCTCCGCCTCCCGGGTTCATGCCATTCTCCTGCCTCAGCCTCCCAAGTAGCTGGGACTACAGGCACCCGCCACCAAGGCCAGCTAATTTTTTGTACTTTTAGTAGAGATGGGGTTTCGTTGTGTAAGCCAGGATGTTCTCGATCTCCTGACCTCGTGATCCGCCTGCCTCGGCCTCCCAAAGTGCTGGGATTACAGGCGTGAGCCACCACACCCGGCCTGTTTTCTTAATAATCCAACAATTCAGATCACTTAGAATAAAATAACAACATCATAGATACTGGCACAGGCTGAAAGAATACAGTTGGTACAAAGGCTCAGGTGTTGAGGTAGCTCTCCTATCAAAGTTGATCCTTGGACCACCTGCATTAGAGTAATTTAGGGACATCATTAAAATAACATTGTTGTGTGCTCCGGTCAGGGCTGCCTGGGACTGCACAGGGTTTTGGCCATGGGGACAGCTCAGCACTGTCAGCCCCTAGTTGGAAGGCTTTGCCAGCGAAGGCTGGCAGTGGCTGCAAGAAGTCTGAGATACCACTCAAGGGGAGGCTGCTGAAGGACTGGTTGAGCGCAGCCCTGGCCAGCGAGATGAGGAGGCTGGGACCGCAGCCCTAGCAACCCATGTTTCCTCCAGTGAAATCTGTGATACTCACCAAGAAAGAACCACTTATGGTGTTTCAGTAATGTACTGAACTTTGCAAAATATTAATTCAAAATAAATGCATTCTCCTTCTAAACTAATACGGTTTTCCCTGAATCAAAGTACAGTTAAAAAAAACTATTTTCTTTCACAAAGTTTTTTAAGCTGTATAGAAAAAAAGGCAAAGCTACTTGATTTAATGCAAGGTTTCATTTTCATATTCAGTAGAGTGCTTATTGAACATGCAACATTTACCTCTTCAAGTCAATAAAAAAAAACCTCTTCACAACACACATTTTCTCTGAATTACAATACTGAATATTTATGGTAGCACTGTTACTTACTGAAAACAGGTGACTCACTCAGTCTTTGGGTCAAAGGCTGAAAAGTCTGACTATTTTCCATGAGGTTCAAAATTGCTTCTTCATTAATAAGAGCTTCTTCCACTTTGTGTCTAGTGTGACCTTAATTTGACAAAGAATTAAAAAATTAAAGCAATGGCCTAAATCCAAAATTTATCATTTAGGATTTGTGTAAATTTGGAAGCATTACCATATAAACCTATTTTAAATTTCAAAATGTTAATGACGTATGCCAAATAAAAACATAATAAAAAGCCACAGAAATATTTAACCAGTCACATGGATTCATCAAATCAAACACTGAATCTATAAATCACCAAATATTTATAACCTCTTTAATCCTACTTAATGCGTGTAGTTCTATTAGTCTGATAAAAATCACTGCATATTCAAATATATAAAGTGAAAATGAAAGATAAACTATCTTATTTGAATACTAAAATTCTTTATTCTCTATGGTTCAAAAACAACAAATTAAGAATAAATGTTTTTCAACTCTTCTAAGAAAAAAAATTGACAGTGCTCATTATTTGACACATGTGTACTGGACTCTCTTCTGAATGCATAAAAAATAAAGAGCTTAGTGTAATTCCTAATGGGGTGTGTGCTGGTTTTTCTGCCTGTTTGTGAACTGTAGTTGTGGTTTCCCATTTCATTGTCATAACTGGGCAGAAATAGTTTTTAAGTGCTATAAAAACACAAAGAAATGGTTAAGCAATTAAAAAATTCATTTTACATTATATATTTCTCAGAAAGCTTTCATTATATATCACATTCATTGTATTTTCATGATATCAAAAAATAGTAGTCTATATGGCCATATAGAACCCTCCAGCAATTGCCGTCCCCTGCAGGAACACCAAACTGAACTATCCACACAAGCAAGCACCTTCATTAGAATAGAAAATCAGGAGAGCAATCACAGTACTTGGTTTTAACAACATATCAAGGAAAGAGACAGTGAAGAGGGTAGAAAAGACAGTCATGAATTGCTGATAGCACCTCCCACCCCTCAGGCAATGGTCTTGTGGCACAGAGAGAGAAATCTGTGTGCTTGGGAGAGACAGAACACAGTGAATGTGGGGCTTTGCATTGGAACTCAGTGCTACCCTGTCACAGTGGAAAGCAACATGGAACAGAATTTAGCCAGCACCCATGGGGAGAGGATTCGACCAGCCCCAGTCAGAGGCAAACTGCCCAATACAGCAGTCCAGAACCTGAGGTGCAGCCAGCATTACTACTATGGGCTAAAGCACTTTGGGATCCTAAATAAAGTTGAAAGGCAGTCTTATCCACAAGGACTGCAATTCTTGGGCAAGTCCCAGTACCGTGCTGGGCTCGGAGCCAGTAGACTTGGGGTACACACACCTAGTGAGAGAGTAGCTGGGGAAGCCAAGGAATTACTTGTGACCCCTCTTCCCCACCCCGCACAGTCCCAGGCAGTACAACTCACAGCTCCAGAAGACTCTTTCCTACCACGAGAGGACACGAGAGGGAAGAGCGAAGAGGACTTTATCTTGCAACTTGGATACCAGCTCAGCCACAGTAGGGAAGGTAGAGTTGTGACACACATATTCCAGGCCCTAACTCCTGGATGACAACTCTAAACACGCCCTGGACCAGAAGGGAACCTGCTGCCTTGAAAGGAAGGACTCAGACCTGGCAGGGTTCATCACTTGCCCACTAAAGAGCCCTTTGGCCTTGAGTAAACACAAGTGACACTCAGGCAGTACTTGCTGCAGGCCTCGGGTGAGATCCAGGGACATGCTGACTTCAGGTGTGACCCAGTGCATTCAAAGCACTGGGAACAATTGAAAGCCCGTTCTCTAAGATCTGGAACAAGACAAGGATGCCTAGTTTCACCACTGTTATTCAACACAGTACTGGAAGTCCTAGTTACAGTAATCAGACAAAAGAAAGGAATAAATAAACTGCATCCAAATTGGAAAGGAAGAAGTCAAATTATCCTTATATGATCTTATATTTGGAAAAACCTACAGACTCCACTAAAAAACAAATTCAGCGAAGTTGCAACATATGAAAATCAGTAGCATTTCTATATGCCAACAGTGAACAATCTGAACAAGAAATCAAGAAAGTAATCCCATTTACAATAGCTACAAATAAGATACCTAGGAATAAACTTAACCAAAGAAGTGAAACATCCCTACAATGAAAACTATAAAATATTGATGCAAGAAATTGAAGACGACACCAAAAAATGAAAAAGATATTCCAAGTTCATGGATTGGAATAATCAATACTGATAAAATGTCCATACCTACCCGGAGCAATCTACAGATTCAAAGCAATCCCTATCAAAATACCAATGTTATTCTTCACAGAAATAGAAAAAAATAATCCTAAAATTTACATGGAACCACAAAAGACCCCGAATAACCAAAGCCACTCTGAGCAAAAAGAATAAAACTGGAGGTCACATTACCTGACTTCAAGTTATACTACAGAGCAATAGTAATCAAAACAGCATGATACTGGCATAAAAACAGGCACACAGACCAATGGAACAGAGAACCCTGAAATAAATCCATAACTACAGTGAACTCTTTTTTGATGAAGGTGCCAAGAACATACCTTGGGGGAAAGAACAATTTCTTCAAATAAACGGTGCTGAGAAAACGCTGGATATCCACATGCAGAAGAATGAAACTAGACCCTGATCTCTCACCATATACAGAAATCAAATCAAAATGAATTAAAGACTTAAATCTAAGACTCAAACTATGAAACTACTAAAATAAAACATTGGGGAAACTCTCTAGAATATTCGCCTGAGCAAAGAATTTTTGGGAAATATCCCCAAAGCACAGGCAATCAAAGCAAAAGTAGACAAATGGGATCATATCAAGTTATTATACAAAGCTTCTGCACAGCAAAGGAAACAATCAACAAAGTGAAGAGACAACCCACAGAGTGGGAGAAAATATCTGCAAACTATCCATCTGACAAGGAATTAATAACCAAAATATATATAACTCAATAGTAAAAAATCTAATAATCCAATTAAAAAATGGGCAAAAGATCTGAACAGACATTTCTCAAAAGAAGATATACGAATGGCAAACAGGTGAAAAGGTGCTCAACATCACTGATCATCAGAGAAATGCAAATCAAAATTACAATGAGAAATCATCTCACCCCAGTAAAAATGGCTTTTATCCAAAAGACAGGTAATAATGAATGCTGGCAATGATGTGGAGGAAAGGGAACTCTCGTACACTGTTGGTAGAAATGTAAATTAGTACAGCCACTATGGAGAACAGTATGGAGGTTCCTTAATAAACTAAAGATAGAACTACCATATAATCCAGCAATCTCTCTACTCGGTATTTATCCAAAGGAAATGAAATTGATATGTCGAGTTGAAGAGATATCTGCACTCCCATGTTTATCACAGTCCTATTCACAACAGCCAAGATTTGGAAGCAATCTAAGTGTCCATCAACAGATGAATGGATAAAGAAAATGTGGTACATTTACACAATGGAGTACTATTCAGCCCTAAAAAGTGTGAGATCATGCCATCTGCAACAACATGGATGGAAGTGGAGGACATTATGTTACGTGAAATATGCCAGGCACAGAAAGACAAACTTTGCATGTTCTCACTCACTCGTGGGGGCTAATTAATAATTAAAACAATGGAACTCATGGAGATGGAGAGTAGAATGATGGTTACCAGAAGCTAGGAAGGGTAGTAGGGTGGGGGGTGGGGAAGTGGGGTGGTTAATGAGTACAAAAAAATTGAAGGAATAAGATCTAGTATTTGATAGCAGAACAGGGTCACTACAGTCAACAATAATCTATGGTACATTTAAAAATAACTAAAAGTATAACTGGAATGTTTGTAACACAAACAAATAAATGCTTGAGGTTATGGATACCCATTTATCCTGATGTGATTATACTGTATGCCTGTATAAAAATCTCTCATGTACCCCATAAATATATATGCCTACTATGTACCCCAAAAAATTAACAAAAAATTAAAAGTAAAAAGTAAAATTTCAAATGCATTAAAGACCTAAATATGAAAAACCAAATTGTAAGCACACATAAGCCTTAAAATGAATACTTCAGAGAAAATTTTCATTACATCAGGGTAGGGAAGGTCTCATAAATCACATACCAAAACTAAACCATAAAGGAATATTGTAAACTTGACATTAAAACTGAAGACATGTAAAACTCCAAGGATAACTTTTTTTTTTTTTTCAAATGGGGGGAAAAGAAGTTAACATTTTTTTTTTGAAGATTTTTACAAGACAAGCCTAGATGGAGAGAAAATATCTCTACAATAAGTATAACTGACAAAGACTTAATATCTAGAAAATATGAAGAACTCCTACAAATAAGAAAAAGAAATGACTCAATAGAAAATGAGCAAATAACATAATTCACAGAGAAACCCAAATGGCCTTTAAAGATGCTCAAATTCGTTAGTAATTAGGAAATGCAGATTAAAATGCAGAGACACTATTTCAAAGAATCAGAGCGGCAAATCTTTTACATCTATTATTTTATACTTATTATTTGATGCTATCAAATGTTGAGGTTTCGCTTGCCTAGTAAAATTGCGTACGATACAATGTGACTTCTGGGTAAAACTTTTATTATTGTCTTGTTTACTAACCATGTATAAGCTAATTGCATTATAAAAAAACTGTTAGAACAGATGCTATCTAGGTAGAGTACAATGCATACACCCGAATATTCAGCAACTCACTCTTCTGCATGTGTTTGGTAGAGAAACTCCTGCATATAGCCATAAGGAGACAGATATAGCACTAAGTGCAAAAGTAAAGACCATCTAATACTTGTTGAGAAATAGATAACACTGTTGTTTAGTCTTAAAATGGAACAGTCATCAGCAGCTAAAATGAATGAACAAGGATAAATTTCAAAGTTATAATGTTGACATAAAAGATGCTCAACATTAGTAGTAATGAGGGTAATGAAAATTAAAACCACAGTAAGATTCTATTTCACACACTAGGATGACTACATTAAAAAAGACAGATAATAACAAGTGTTAGTGAGGATGGAGAGCCTGAGAAACTCTCCTATATTGCTGGTGGGAAAGTAAAACATTGCTGTCACTTTAAAAACAGCTTGGGAGTTTATTTTAAATTAACTCAAATTAAACACAAATGTACCACATGCCCTAGCAATTCTTTTGCTTGGCAGAGGTAATCTTTTTAGTGAAGTTTATTCTTAAACTGTTTCGTTTGTTACTATTTATATCATTTTACAACTCTTTTTATGATATTTATCCTAAAATTTATGCTTTACTGCTTATAGCAGCACTTTTTTTTGTTTTTTGTTTGTTTGTTTTTTGTTTTTGAGATGGAGTTTTGCTCTGTCGCCCAGGCTGGAGTGCAGTGGCATGATCTTGGCTCACTGCAACCTCCACCTCCCAGGTTCAAGCCATTCTCCTGCTTTGGCCTCCTGAGTAGCTGGGATTACAGGTGTGCGCCACCACACCCGGCTAGTTTTTATATTTTTAGTAGAGACAGTGTTTCACCATGTTGGCCAGGCTGGTTGCCAACTCCTGACCTCAGGTGATCCGCCCGCCTCAGCCTCTCAAATTGCTGAGATTACAGGCATGAACCACTGTACCTGGCCAGCGGCACGATTCTTACCAATCAAAAGTGAAAACAACTCAAATGTTGATCAACTGATAAATGGATTAACAAAATGTGGTATCTCCATACATACTGATAGATACTACAACATGTATAAACCTTGAAAGTATTATGCTAAGTAAAAGAATCCAGACACAAAATACTATATATTATATGGTTTCACTTACATAATACACAGTATCTATACAAGGCCCATGTATTATTAGTGGTTACTTGGGGTTTGGGGTAGAAACAGGCATAACTGCAAATGGACACAAGGGATCCTGTGGACTGATGGAAACATTCTAAAATTGGATTGTGGAGATGTTTGCACAACTTTGTAAATTTACTATAAATCACTGAATTATACACTTAAAATGACTGAATTTTATGCTATGTAAATTAAACCTCAAGTTGCTTAAAAATATAATGCTGACTGAAAAAAGCAAGTTGCTTCATCTACGCCAACATCATTTATGTAAAATTAAAAACTTAATGGTATATATGGTGGGCAAACATTATAAGAAAATATAAAAATTATATATGGTAACAGTTTGCACTAACTTCAGGATACTCCTTACCTTTAGAGATGCAGAAAGGGTGACAGAATGGGAGACATTTTTGCTATATTCACAATATTTATTTCGTAGGGAAAAAAATTCCTAGCAAACTCAATCAAATATTAACATCTCAGTGCTAGATATATGTTCTAGTAGCTTCTTTATACATGAAAAGCAAATCTTACCTTTGCTTGATTCTTTGTCTTTGTGAACCTCTACCATATTGGCTGGTGTACACTGAAGCATTTCAGGAGACAGAACCTCAGAGTGCAATGTTAACTCAGCAGAGAACTCCTGGGATCCATCACTGTAGTCCACAGATCCTGATAATGTTCTGCTTAATTAAAACATATCCTTTATAACAGACTAGATAACAAAGGAATAAAATTAGTTCTGAGATCTATAATAAATAACCACTTACACAGAGAAATCATTCTGTTTGAGAATTTCCTGAAGTCTCTTCTGAAATTTTTTTTCACTTTCTGTTGCTGGCACAAACCTGTGATCTTTGAATTTTAAAAGTGCATTAAAAAATGTAGATAGCAAATGAATGAAATATTTTCCTTTCTCCTAAAGTAGCTTTAAAAATGGTAGCAATTTCTTATCTTTCTCTAAATATATATAATACAACCTAACTGTAGTCTTACTATAGAATCACACAAAAGAGAAATGGTTGTTACTAAAGTTACAAAATTAGGCATTTAAACTCAGTTCAAGATTAAGTTCTATAATTATAATCTAAATCTGAAACAGAAAAACTGTTCTCTACCTATAAATACATTGTATCCTAAAACTAAAAATAATCCCCTTATAAAATATATTTCTATTTTTAAAATAAAAGGCACTCAAAGTTTATCAAAACATTTTAGTGCGTAAGATGTAACAATTTTAGTAACAATTTTAATTGAACTTCGCTATAGGCTTACTGCTGTGTTTTGAAATAATGTATCTGTTTTTGAATGATGTCTTTCATTCTTTTATCTTTATTTTTAAAATTCTGTTGTATCCATGGTATTATCTGAACCCCCTCAAATTCTTTTTGAATGTGGCACCATTTAGTAATGAGTATTTCTTTAGAGCTGTACATAATGAACGAAGTGAGAGCTTATATGACATACTCAGAAAATAAACTGTGGGCAGCATTTCAATGGCTACATTTTCAAAGCTTAATGTATTAAACAGTGTTCCTAAGTTGAAATTCATGATCTTCTGTGAGTTTTCTATAGTTCATTTGGAAAAACAGAGGGCTAGAACACACTAGAGAATGAAAACAAAAAAGTGAGGCAAGAGGACAAGGTACACTAAAAACAAAGAATAGTAAAAATGTCAACTTCTTACAGAGAGAGAGAGAGATAATAAGTGACAATTTGGAGATAGTTATAAAGATAAATACTGGCTGTACAGCAATGACAACAAGAAAAATACAAAACAAAATGTCATTTGAAAAGTAAAATCTAATGTCAAAGGAACAACTCAATGACAAACTTTCCCATTAAAATACTTGGTTTAAAAGAATAATCAAAGCACTATTAGGTTTATACCTTGTGACTCAGGTTGGCTAATTTGAGAAGTTTCATTTCTGTTTCTTCGCCGTTGCTTTTCATCTTCCCATATAGCCTGTAGACCAGGGTTTCCACCAATTTGAGCTGTAATCACAATAATATTTCAATATTACAGGGTCAAAGTAAAAAAACGCCTAAAAAAATCTAAACTTTTCTTTAATAAATACTGCCTTTAAAAAAATCTATCATATATTTTGTGTAATAAAGTGGACAAATTATCCCAACCTACACTTATTATGTTACTCCTTTTTAAGCTTTCTTCCTAGTGGTTCCCCAAAATCCAGCAAGTGAATACAGTTCAAACACCTGATGACAGTCAACAGACCTAAGAATACCCTTGCTGATATACAATATGAAAATTAAGAAATTAAAAGGCAGAGTACATTAAATTACTTTATATTAGCTAATTTTATTTAGTGTCACCCTTATTTTAGTGTATCTATTCAAATATAGTCATTTGGACAAAAATATAAACAAAAAATTAATTACTATCTCAGTAGAAGTATAGAAGCAATCTTCATAACATTTTGTATCCTCCTTCTATAATATCTTAGTTTCTTTGTAAAGTTTTCTTTCCTACTTTTTCTATTCTACTTTGGTCATTAATTTTTTTTTTTTTTTGAGACAGAGTCTTGCTCTGTCACCAGGCTGGAGTGCAGTGGTGCGATCTTGGCTCACTGCAACCTCCGCCGCCTGGGCTCAAGCAATTCCCCTGCCACAGTCTCAAGAGTAGCTGGGACTACAGGCGTCTGTCACCACGCTCAGTTAATTTATTCTGTATTTTAGTAGAGATGGGGTTTCACCATGTTGGCCAGGATGGTCTCGATCTGACCTCATGATCCACCCACCTTGGCCTCCCAAAGTGCTGGAATTACAGATGTGAGCCACCACACCTGGCCGGTCATTCATTTAAAAAAATAAAAACATGTATTAAGAACAATTGTGTATGAACCTTCAATGTCCAGACGATTTAAGATATCAGCAGCTACAGCATCCACTTCTAATTCACATGTACTCTGTGGTTCAACACCTTCCAATATTAAAGAGCTGCAATTAAAGGATATAAAAAACATAATAATTATGTGAGAGCAAATTTTCTAAGATTTTTCTTACTTATACAATTATCTTATGTTTAGCTGGTACCCAGAAAACCTGATTAATACACAATTATTCATGACAAAATTGATACTTTGTGTATATATAAAGAAAAATAGGATGAGAAAAATACAAAACATATACTGACAACCCTATTAAAATCCTATTGAAGTATATTCTATATATTTTGGTTCATTAGATTTTATATAAAAAGGAATAGAAAACGTTTTAGCATACGGTCATACCCGGGGCAGAATGGGATAGGATAATATAAAAACCACAGAGGAATGCATAAAAAACCATGCACATATGAAATCAGTTGCCTAGAGACATCTTTTTCAGTATTCAAAAAACAAGGGAGAACGTGCAATAAGAGATAAGGGAAGGTGAGCACACTGAGAAATGGGCAAATGATAATTCACCATTCTTCCTGCCCTCACCTACTGCTGAGATGGGGAATACTTTAAAATTCTTCATAACTACAGAATTGATAAAACTACATGAATGATCAACAGTGGGATCATAGCTAGGAAAAGTAATGATACCACAAGGTCATTAATTTTTATAAGAACTACAAAGGATTGTTTCCCATTCAGGATCTTTGACTCAAAAGCATTTGCTTTTCATCAGTGCCCCAAAAGAGAAGATAAGGAAGATACCACATAATTGATCCTACTTAACAGAATGAAGAGATAACATCTAGTGTGGCTCCTAGTTTACTTATTCCAAAATTTAGGACTTGTACAAAAACAGACACCAAGTGGAAAAGGGGAGATCCATAATTTTACTACAAAGTGGGTGATGACACATTTCATTAACTTTTTATTTCAAACACTTTGTTTTTGTTTTTTTTGAGATGGAGTCTCACTCCGTCGCCCAGGCTGGAGTGCAGTGGTGCGATCTCAGCTCACCTCAACCTCCACCTCCCGGGTCAAGTGATTCTCCTGCCTCAGCCTTCCAAGTAACTGAGATTACAAGCATGTGCCATCATGCACAGTTAAGTTTTGTATTTTTGGTAGAGAAGGGGTTTCATCATGTTGGCCAGGCTGTTCTTGAACTCCTGACCTCAAGTGATCTGCCCACCTCGGCCTCCCAAAGTGCTGGGATTACAGGTGTGAGCCATTGTGCCCTGGCCTTGAAACACTTTTTAACATTTTAAGAAAAACATGTTAGCAAAACCTCATTTTCCATCGTCTATTTTAAAGGAAATTTTGATGGAATATTTTATGTTAAGTTTGTTAAACCACAGAATTTTTACAACTTAAATAATATATGTATATATGTACTCACGGGTATATATTTAGATATTCATACACACATATCTTTTCACCATTGATAGAGAAGGAATATATTAGTCAACCTATCATAATATATCCCTTTCTCTTTCAAAAAAAATATTTCCCAATGTAGATTGTCAGCTGGGCTTGGTGGCTCATGAATGTGATCCCAACTTTGGCTTGGGAGGCCAGCCTGAGCAACACAGTGAGACCTCATCTCTACAAAAAAATTTTTTAAATTAGTCAGGCATGGTGTTGCACACCTGTAGACCCAGATACTTGGGAGGCTGAGCAATACAGTAAGACCTCATCTCTACAAAAAATTTGTAAACATTAGCCAGGCATGGCGTTGCACACCTATAGTCCTAGATACTTGGGAGGCTAAGGTGGGAGGATCACTTGAGACCAGAAGGCAGCGGTTGCAGTGAGCTGAGATTGTGCCACTGAACTCTGGTCTGGGCAACAGAGCAAGACCTTGTCTTGACAACAACAAAATGTGAATTGTCCTCTTCATTCATACAACTTAACAGAAATTGAACAGATTTAAAAATGTTTATGATCAACAGTTTTCTTATATAAAAAAGTTTCGTAATTTGAAATAACTATGTCGTAAATGTCAAGGATGAATATTGCAGAAGTAGCACATTTGAGAGAAAGGAGGGAAACAATAACATCAAAAAATATAATCTCACAGTAGAAATTTACAACTTGCCCTTATTTCAAAACTGCTTCAGACATTCAGAACAGGAGCTAATTAAAAATTAGCATCAGTAGATAGAAAATGTAGTAAAAAATTTGCATAAGCAAATACACAGCTGCTTTGAAACAGAAAAATCCAAGCATTTGGAATATACTGTCTCCAAAAAAAGTCTAATCAATAATGAAACAAATAAATTACAAATTATTCAAAAATAGCATGTCAAAATAATTTATTACATATTTAATATTTATAAATTTTAGGGGTTTTTATTAAAAATATTTAGATTTTTGTTTTAAATTACTATTTTATCATAAATGTAAATTTTTTTTACAAGTTATAGGATATCAAATTAGAATGGACAATGAAGATGAATGCTGCAGAAAAGTATAACAATATCTACCTCGTATTCCTTTTGTTAAGTAGGTAATAACTAGGTACATTTTCATGATCTGTTTTTTAAATCGTTTATTCCTTGTAATACACTAATGTCAAGGTTTGCTTTTTTAAATAAGTGTATAGATTAAAAAGATCCAACACAATAAAAGGTTAAAATTTAATCATGGTAACCACTGATTTCTGATCACAACTAGGATATATGTAAAATTTTCATTTCCTTTACAACATTAACTAACCTTGGTATTTCATCTTGTTCCCACCGAAATAAAGTACCAGCAAGAGAATTTCTTGATAAATGATTCTTGCAGGATCCAGTTGCATACAGTGTATTACCTAGGAATAGAAAAGTAAAAGGAATAAATTCTACTTTTAATTTTTATATAATTACTTTTTAGAAGATAAATGTCTTTTTTTTGAGACGGAGTCTTGCTCTGTCACCCAGGCTGGAGTGCAGTGGCACAATCTTGGCTCACTGTAAGCTCCACCTCCCAGGTTCACGCCATTCTCCTGCCTCAGCCTCCTGTGTAGCTGAGACTATAGGCACCCGCCACCACGCCTGGCTAATTTATTTTGTATTTTTAGTAGAGACAGGGTTTCACCATGTCAGACAGGATGGTCTCGATCTCCCGACCTCGTGATCCACCCGCCTTGGCCTCCCAAAGTGCTGGGATTACAGGCATGAGCCACAGCCCCTGGCCAGTAAATGATCTTTAAAAAATTTTATTACTCATAAATTACAGATCCCTTTTTATTGATACATAATATTTGTACATATTTATGGGGCACATGTAGTATTTTGATACATGCACACAACCTGTAATGACAAAATCAAGGTACTTAGGATGTCCATCAGCCCGAACGTTATTCATCGTTTGTGTCGAGAACATTTCAAATCTTCTAGTTATTTTGAAATATATATCGTTGTTAACTATAGTCACTCCTGTATGCTATCAAACACTAGAACTTATTTCGTCTAATTGTATTAACCAGTCTGTCTTCAAATCTTCCTGGAACCCTTCTCATACACCCTTCCCAGCCTCTAGTAACTACCATTCTACTTTTTATTTTTTTGAGATGGCATCTTGCTATGCTGCCCAGACTGGAATCAATCTCCTGGACTCAAACAATCCTCCTGCCTCAGCCTCCCATGTAGCTGGGACTACAGGGGTGCATCATGACTCCTGGCTAAAGGTGAACTTTTTTTTAGTTCCCATATCAGTAAGAACATGTGATATTTGTCTTTCTGGGCCTGGCTTATTTAACATAATGATCTCAATTCTATCCATGTGGCTGCAAATGACAGAATTTCATTTTCATAAAAAATAAGGCAGAACAGAATTCCATTGTGTATATATATCACATTTTCTTTATCCATTCATCCACTGATGTATACTTAAGTCATGATTCCATATCTTGGCTATTATAAATAGTGCTGCAATAAACATGGGGGTATAGGTATCTATCTTTGACATACTGATTTCCTTTCCTTTGGATAAATACCCAGCAGTGGGACTGCTATATCATATGGTAGTTCTGGTTTTAGGTTTTTGAGAAACCTCCGTACTGTTTTGCATAATGGCTGTACTTACATTCCCACCAACAGTGTATACGAGTTTCCTTTTCCTTGCATCCTCACCAGCATTTGTTACTGTCTTTTCCATAACAGCCATTCTAACTGGGGAAAGATGATTGCTTATTGTGGTTTTGATTTGCATCTCCCTGATGATTAGTGATGTTGAGCATTTAAAAAATATATCTGCTGGTCATTTGTATGTCTTCTTTTGAGAAATGTCTACTCAGATATGAAACTATTTTTTTTTCTTGCTGAGTTCCTTATATATTTTGGATATTAGTCTCATTTCATGAATAGTTTGCAAATACTTTCTCTCATTCTGTAGGCTGTCTCTTTACTCTGTTGTTTCCTTTGCTGTGCAGAAGCTTTTTAGTTTACACAGTCCCTTTTGTCTATTTGCTTTGGTTGCCTGTGCTTTTGAGGTCTTAGCCATAAAATTTTTTCCCAGACCAATGTCCCAGAGTATCTGTCCTACAATTTTTTTTTTTTTTGAGACAGGGTCTCACTGTCATCCAGGCTGGAGTGCAGTGGTATGATTATGGCTCACTGCAGTCTTGAGCTTCCAGGCTCAAATGATCCTCCCATCTCAGCCTCCCAAGCTACTAGGACAACAGGCATGCGCCACCATGATTTGCTAATTTGTAGAGATGGGGTTTCACTATCTTGCCCAGGCTGGACTCAAATTTCTGGGCTCAAGTGATCCTCCTATCTCAGCCTCCCAAAATGTTGAGATTAGAAGAGCAAGCCATCATGCTCAGCCCGTGTGTCTGTTTTTATACCAATACCATGCTGATTTGGTTACTAAAGCTTTGTAGTATTATTTTGCTCAGCCTATGTGTCTGTTTTTATACCAACACCATGTTGATTTGGTTACTAAAGCTTTGTAGTATTGTTTTGCTCAGCCTGTGTGTGTGTCTGTTTTTATACCAACACCATACTGATTTGGTTACTAAAGTTTTCTAGTATTATTTTGACCTCAGGTAGTGTGATGTCTCCAGTTGTTCTTTTTGCTCAGGATTGCTTTGGTTATTTAGGCTCTTTTGTGGTTCCACATGAAGTTTACAATTTTTTTTCTATTTCCATGAAGAATGTCATAGGTATTTTGTTATGAATTGCTATGAATCTTTAGATTGTATTGGAAAATATGGCCATTTTAACAATATTAATTTTTCTGATCCATGAACATGGGATATCTCCATTTGTCTATTTCCACTGTTTACTTCCATTAATTTTATCAGTAATTTCTAGTTTTCCTCCTATAGAACCTTTACTTCTTTGGTTAAATTTATTAGTATTCTTTTTGGTAGCCATAATAAATGGGACTGTGTTCTTGTTTTCTTTTTCAGCTAGTTGTTATTGGTGCACAGAAATGCTATTGATTTTTTGTGTGTTTTTAAAAAAAATCTGCAACTTTACTAAATTTGTTTATCAGTTCTAACAGTTTTTTTGCTGGAGTCTTCAGGTTTTTCCATATATATATATCATGTCATCTGCGAAAAAGGGATAAATTGACCTCTTTTTTCCCAATTTGGTGCCTTTTATTTCTTTACCTTGCCTGATTGTTATGGCTAGAACTTTCTGTACTATGTTGAGCAGGAGTGGTAAAAATGGGCATCCTTGTCTTTTGAGGTATGGTCCTTCTGTGATTAATTTGTCAGGAGTTTTTATCATGAAGGGACATTGAATTTTATCAAATAACTTTTCTGTGTTAGCTGAGATGATCATATGGTTTTTGTCTTTCATTCTGTTGATGTGATATATCACATTTATTGATTTGCATATAATGAACAATCCTTGTACCCCTGAAATAAGTTTTTTTTTGAGACAGGGTCTCACTCTGCCACCCAGGCTCGAGTACAGTGGCATGATCTCGGCTTACTGTAACCTCCACCTCCCGGGCTCAAGCCATCCTCCTACCTAAGCCTCCCAAGCAGGTGGGACTACAGGTGCATGCCACCACACCCAGGTGATTTATTTTTTTGTAGAGACAGGGTTTCACCATGTTGCCCAGGATAGTCTCAAACTCCCGGGCTCAAGCGATCTACCCACCTCAGCCTTCCAAAGTGCTGCTGGTACTATAGGTGTGAGCCACTGTGCCTGGCCCTAGGATAAATTTCACTTGATCGTGGTGTATTTTTTTTTTTTTTCATGTTTTGTTGGTTTCTATTTGTTATTATTCTGTTGTGGATTTTTGTGTCTATGTTCATCAGTGATGCTGACCTGTAGTTTTCTTTTTTTGTTGTGTCCTGTCTGATTTTGGTATCAGGATAAAGCTGACATCATAGAATGAGTGAGGAAGAATTTCCCCTTCTTCAAATTTTTGAACTAGTTTGAGAAGAATTGGTGTTAGTATTTCTTTCTACGTATGGCAGGATTCAGCAGTAAAGCCATCCAGACCTGGGCTTTTCTTTATTGGCAGACCTTTAAATTACAGATTCAATCTTGTTACTTGTGATTGGTCTGCTCAGGTTTCCTTTTTTAAAAATTTAAAATAGAGGCAAAGTCTCACTGTTGCCCAGGCTGGCTGGTCTTGACCTCCTAAGCTCAAGCCTTCCTCCCACCTTGACCTTCCAAAATGCTAGGATTTCAGGTGTGAGCCACTGTGCCTGGCCAGGTTTCCTATTTCTTCCTGGTTCACTCTTGGTATGCTGTAATGTGTCCAAAAATGTATCCATTCCCTCAAGGTTTCCCAACTTGTTCACATACATATAGTTGTTCATGACAGTCTCTGATGATCTTCTGTATTTCTGTTTCATAAATTGTAATGTCTCCTCTTTCATGTCTGATTTTATGTGGGTCTTGTTTTTTCTTGGTTAGTCTAGCTAGCGATTTATTGATTTATCTTTTCAAAGCACCAGTTTTTTCATTTCTCTGATACTCTGTATTTTTTTTTTTTTTAGTCTCTATTTTGTTTAGTTCTACTCGGATCTTTATTATTTTTTTATTCTTCTAATTTTGGCTTTGTTCTTGCTTTTCTAGTTTCTTAAAATACATCATTACAGTGTTTATTTGAAATCTGTTTTTTTAATACAGGCACCTATTGCTATAAACTTACCTCTTAGTACTGTTTTTGCTGTATCTCATAGGTTTTGGTATGCTGTTTCCATTTTCATTGGTTTCAAGAAATTTTTAAATTTCCTTCTTAATTTCTTCATTGATCCAATAAAGGTTCAGGAGCACTTTGTTTAATTTCCATGTATTTGTACAGTTTCCAAAGTTTCTCTTTTTATTGATTTCTAGTTTTATTCCATAGTGGTCAGAAGACAATAAATATGATTTCAATTTTCTAAAATTTGTTGAGGCTTGTTTTGTGGCCTAACTTATGATTTTTTCCTGGACAATGTTCCACATGCTGATGAGAAGAATGTGTATTCTGCAACTGCTGGATAAAATGTTCTGTAAATGTCTGTTAGGTCCATTTGGTCTAAAGTACAGTTTATTTATTTATTGAGACAGTGTCTTGTTCTGTCACCAGGCTGCAGTGCAGTGGTGTGACCATAGTTCACTGCAGCCTCAACTTCCCAGGCATAAGCAATCCTCCTACCTCAGCCTCCTGAGTAGCTGAGGCCACAGGTGTATGCCACCTCACCTGGCTAATTTTTAAATTTTTTGTAAAGATGAGGTCTCACTATGTTACCTGAGCTAGTCTCTAACTCCTGGGCTCAAGCAATTCTCCTGCCTCAGCTTCTCGAAGTGTCAGGATTATGATGCCTGGCTCTAAAGTGAAGTTTAAATCCAAAATTAATTTTTGATTTTCTAT